CCCGAGCGGACTCCCTCCCTGGGCATTTTTAATGCTTTTAATTTTTGCTGCGCCAACGAACAGGGAAGCACGGAATGAGCACTAAAAGTAAGCCCAAAAAAAGAGAAGCATTCTCATATATATTTGTACGATATGCTCGTTCGCTTTTCGGGGGTAAGATGTTCAGTTCTGCTCGGTTAGGGGTTGCAAATGTCCTGGCCTGTAAGGACGTGTGCGTCTGTGTGTGTGCGAGTGTGAGCGAGGGTGTGCATCCTTTGACTGCGTGTGTGAGTGGGTGAAGGCAACCGAAAATGTGCAAAAAATGGGCGTTGCTCGACGCGATATATCTAATGGCTTTGTTTCCGAGAGTTGTCGCCCCAACTCCGCGCACTTCTTGTTGCTGCTGTTTAATGCATGTTGGCAAATGTTGAAATGATGTACTTGCCACCACTTTGCACCACCCTCCCCACACCCAATCCTCCCCCTTTCCCCCCCTGCGGTGCGGCGGCATATGCCAGACTGCTAAATATGCAGCTGTTAATGGCTCAAAAATTAAAACATTAAGGCGGAGCACTCGTCATCATCGTCATCCTCCCAGTCGACGACTTTGATTGGAAATGTGTTTGGGCTTTCATCTAAACCACCCGATCCTTTCGCAACCTCCCACCGCCCTATTAATTTCCCCGGAAAAGCGCTGAGTAATGGGAAAAGTGCACCTTGCATGGAAAAGGTTCGGACGGGCGGATAGAAATCACATTCGAAAAAAAGAACTCGCTGGTTGACTGACGTGCTTTGAAAGGTTGCCATTACTTAAAATGGTAATCCCAAATAATTTAGAACAGCAAGGCAGTGAAAAAGCCATAAGTCTAGTTATAATATTGGACAGAATATTTGTCATTTTATCTCAAACAAAAAATGTAACATATAAACAGCATGATTTTTGATTTATAGTTTTTTAACAATATTTAGAAAATATTGAGTAATATTTGTCGCTCTAAATCACATTTCTTTTCACCTAATTCTCACGCTACATAAAAAAATGGTATAAATACCATCGAGGAGATGACAGATCTGCACATTTTCTTTGCCTTTGATTTGTTTTTCAATCTTTTGAAGGGTCTGATATCTTCGTTGTGCCCTACTTTGATTTTCCTCATTCAGTTTTTTATTCGGTTCACCTTTGTTTTGGTATTTCTTTTGAAAGGGTTTTTTTTGGGTCACTTGCCCCCTGAGTGCAAAGGGTTACGGCTGCGAATGGTTTGGGAAATGGAAATATGGTAAAATATGTTAATTGAAGTAGACCCAAGTTCAAAACGAATGGCGTTAGAACCCATTTACTTTGTGCGGTGAAAGTTCAATTACCTTTATCCGATCATGGAGCTTGACAGCCGGGTGAGCACTAAATATAGTTTAGGTTGAGGTACGTTTTTTGTACCTAATTTACCGGCGAATAAAATCAATTGAGAGGGGTGTTGGGTCGGAATTATTAATCGAGTATGGTTTGAGGAATATTTCTATAAGCAGCAAACTCAAAAATTAATTTCCGTTCTTACCCACCCGATGTTTCTGGCTGATTTCCTCCCAATGGCCAGACATCCGAGGGAAATTTCCTTGGGAAACTGTTGTTCTATTGTAGCATTTTCTTTGCTTTCCCCCAAACCCTGAGCTGCGCTTTGTCTGCTTTATGTTTCCCCTTCGTTTGCTCTGGGCAAATTCATCCTTTTCATTTTGGGCAACTTTTCTTGGACTTGACTCAATTCCCCAATTTTGTTCTGTACACAGAAACACACACAATTCCCTTGGCGAACATTTCCGAGAAGCAACAATGCACCACCCACCACCGGTGCTCCCCTTTTCCACCGCTCCTCCACCGCCCAGCTTTTCCAGCGGCAGACAATAACAACGTTAAACAACATTGAGGCAATAGACAAAGGCGGGCTACTTACAAGCCGAATGCCACCACAAGATGGCCAGTGCTCCGTGGAACTCCACCTCCACCTCCACCTCCTGCTCCAGTGCCGCCAATCTCCCCCTCACCTGGCACATCTTATCTTATCGCGCAGGTGCACGCCACACGGCTCAAGAAAGCGACAAGACAGCGACAATCGAGCCGAAAGAAGAAAAAAGAGCAATTGCCCGGTCCCCAGCACCTAACCAACCCCCCTTCTCCCCCTCCCAACCGGCTGCCCATGCGCACAGTGCACGACATGAATGGCAATTCGTTGGCCAGCTAGAATTTATGAGGCGGCCTCAAAGAACAAGTTCAAAGATTCCTCAAAAGCGACAGAGACATACTTGCACAATTAGTCATTTGTGGCTGTTTCCTCCATAATGTATTTTTTATGTCTCTATATATTTTGGAAATATGAAAACAAAATATTCTCTTCACATCTGATGTTAGTTGCGGAGTGAAAAAAGCCAATCTAAATACAAAGTAGATCCAATAAACGTGTTTTTCTTGTGCAGAAACAGAAACAGAGTGCGGGTCATTGATGCTGGATGCTGGGAAATGCAAATCACTTGAAATGAAAATGAAAATGCCTGGCATGGGAGTGTACTCTATATGGACGTAGGAGAACATCAAAGGCCTGGGCTGTCTAATGAGGGAAATGCATTATTTGACCCCTGGCCTCACCGAATTAGCCTTGTCTGATGGCGGGTTCCGTCTGGACCAGAGTTTCTTCGCTTGGCGAGGAGGGAAATTGCTTTCAGCGGCAGGAAAATGGGAATCAGAACACCAAGATGAGGCGAATTTATCAAACATATTTCAACATGCTGCGGGAAATGTGTTTCTGATGATGCTGATGGTTCGAAGGGAAAGCCAGCAGCGGCAGCTAATTAAAATGGCTTATAATTTTCATGATTTACACTTGCTGGCTGGTTTCGCCGCCCCACAAAACTCCCAGTTCTGTTTCTTATGTTTGTGTTTTGGGTTAAAAGCTCATAAAATTAAAGGCCCTAAAAACATGGCGTGGGCAAAAGGGAGATTTTTTCGAGACGCCCAGCGAGGAAAGTTCTTTTCAGAACAATGAAAAGAACATAGTGCGACTGAAATAATGGAGATGATGAAATGATCCAGTACTCTTTAATAAGAAAGATGAAATATTCAAATTTCAAGCCATAAGTTAAACAACTTAATTTACTAGTTGAAAGTAATTAAGTATAGTTCCTTAATACAAATAAAGTAATCAAGGGTTCACGAAGAGCCATAAATGAATTATAAAATCACTGAAATAAATTATAATCGCCTGACTTGCTTTGCATAACTTCGTGTCACGATTTTTATCCCTAGCAAAAAAAAAAATCGAATAAAATAAACCTGCTTAAGCTTTTCGATTGTGCAAAGGCACAAATAATAAACGACGACTTCGGCGGAGTTGGAAAAAAAAGAACAAAATTGTAGGCGCACATTTGGTTTTTATGCTATCCGGTGCACAAAATATAATTCAATCAACGCCAAGTGCCACGCCCCCATTGCCGCCACACCAACGCCAGTGAGGGAATTCATTTTCTATTTTTTAGTTATTTTTGACTCTTGCATGCCGCACGTCAGCAAGGGAAGACTATAGAGGGGGGCAGGGGGAGGGTTAAGGCAGAAGAGAAATGTTCCTCAAGATAGTATATATCGTCGTGTATATGAAAAATATGGCATATGAGCTGTTGGTGCCCGACCCCTTAAGACCAGATGATGGTCTTCCGACTTCACCTCGTGCCGCTGGTTGTCCCCCCCTTTTTTTGGGGGTGGAGGATTCGGGAGGTGGTGGCCCATTTGGGGGAGAAGGGAAGTGGAGCTGGTGCTAGTGGTGCTGCTGGTGGTGCTGCTTTCGGTTCTGGGGTTCCGGAGTTCTCGGGCTGTCAGCTCACGGCGCGCGCAGCAGCATAAATCAACTTATTTCATTGGAATTTATGTTTTGTTGTTGCGCCTGTCGTTGATGCAGTTGCAGTTGTTGTTCTTGTTGGTGGAGCTGTTGCGTTCTTGTTGTTGTTGCCCTGCATCGGCATTGGCATCGGCAGCGGCATTGGCATAGCCCTGTGCAACAAACACTCCGACGACTGACGCCACCACCATCATCCTCAAGCGATCCGGCAATCCAGCAAATCCACGAGGGGATTACACTTGCTTCCTCCTCGAATACCCTTTGCCAAAGCTGATTTGTGGTTCCCGGCGAAGAAGGATTGCAATTTATAAAACAACAGGAAACTTTATTCAAAAGTTTAAGTCTCTTTAATGAGAATGTTGGAGGAAAACTTCTAAAAGTGTGTTTATAAAACACAACTAATAATAAGTTTATATTTTGTTCCAATAGTTGAATTACTTTCATATTTCTCAAAGATGTTAATTTATGTATGACAAGAGTATCCCCAGTTCGATTGTGTGTCAAAGATATTTTCAGGAGTATTTCATGCTTGTTGGCTGGTTGTGTGTGCAATTGCTTCATTTGCGGCAATGTCTTCGAGCAGTTTGGGGCAGGGGTTCCGGGGTTCCGGGGGAAAGTGAAGTGAAAAGAGGTGGAGTGGTAGCAAATTCAGAAAAGTAGGAGTTGAACGAGGAGGCACAGGCCGCGTGTTAAAATGTACACTTTGCATTTAAATCATTCCGGGAAGTTGGGTTCGTTATATTTATCTGTTGCCATTACCTTATACTCTCCAGGGCACCGCCCCTGCCCCTTCTACGCCCATGTGCAACCGGAGGAGCCTTCAGGAGGAACTCAATCAGCAGGGCCAGTGAAATAAGCAGAATTGAAAAGCTAAGCACTTTGCTTTCTTATTTTTACCCGACTTCTGCTGTTGCTGCAGCTCAGAGTGCTTAGAATGCGGCTGACTTGTGGCAGGAATATCCACTGTATAATCCGGAGTGTAAGAGATTAAAGACTCGTACTAAAGCTGCCACATAAATTAAATTTGCTGAGCAGATTTCAGAAATTGTTTCCCCGTATGGAAGTTGAACTTTTGTGTAGCATGATTTATACCTGAGACTACGTGAAATGCTAAAATGTTTATTCTTCTTTATTTATTTGCAGGTATGTTGAAGATAATGACAATATATACGACTGGTTGAAGTGGCAGAAGTTTAACCTGAAGAAGTGAGTTGAAACACGCATATGGAAATTTTACCTTTAACTTGAGTTGTAGATAAAGGCGTACGTTTTTAAGGTGGCCACTTATGACCCAGTTTGTTAGAAAAGTCAACCTTTTTAAGACCTTTGATGGATTGCTTGGTAATTGTATTGAAAATTAATTTTTTTCATATCAAAAACGTACCTTTTTTAGTAGCGCTTACTTTTAAGATTGAATTCTTTTGTTACAAATTTTAATGGTTAAATATTTGCGCTGAGAAATGAAATATTTCAGATGAGTTCTGGCTGCGTTCCCTACTCTGCTACTATTGAAGTTCCTCACTCTTCACCCCATTTAACTTTTCCAAGAGTACTGCACTTATGCCAGACATTTTTCCTGGGAATCTTTCTCTTTGCCTCGATAAATGACTTTGTCCGGTAATTTGCCTTTATGTTGAGCAACTCCCCGTCACTTTTTTAGGGGATTCCCACACCCTCTTCCCGTGTAGCGGATAATTATGTCATGCTAAACATTGTCTCACACTCGACGGTCTTCCTCCTTCGCCCACACTGACTGGGTTTATGGAATACTTAGCGAACAAAGTTGTGAAGACAACAACGTTCCCCCTTTCCAGCAATTAGACGCCATTTCCATTAGCGTTTAACCATTTAACATTTTTCTACTACATCGTTTATTTTTTTAGTTGGTTTGTTCAACAAGTCTTCACACCTGCCCACATTTTGAGCAAATATATTTGAGCAGGGGAGCGGGAAAATAAAACGAAAAAAGAAGTTGTACGGGAAAAAATCTTGTCACTTGTTGCCAATTAAGAGGAAAAACAACGAACACAGCCTGAGGACCCTGATGATCGTACATCAAGTGGGGTCGGCATGTACAGTATGCCTGCCTGTCTGTCTGTTTGTATACTCGAATATGTTGCTATATATGCCTGATTCTCCAGAGGACCCAAAGCGGTCAACGTCTGACGCTGACGCCGCAGCTGCTTCAATTAGCTCAGTCTGTTTATTTGCAGATTTCTTTTGCAGCTTTTGTTTTGATTTTCCTTTGGCTTTTTTTTTCTTGTTGTGCTCAAATGTGCAGATTTTTTGCTTGGTTTGGCACATGTGAAAAAAGGCAGGCGAGGCGATCCAAAAGGAATCATTTTCTTCAACTGTTTAATTGCAGTTGCCTTTAGTGCGTTGCTGCCGATGTTGTTGTTGTTGTCTGGCTGCCTGGCTTTTGCATTTAATTACTTTGTTTATGGCCCCGGCAGCAACAATAAAACTTCAATTTATGTGTGTTCTTTTTGGCACCCCGCCCCTCTTTTACCACCCTTCCCCTTGTGGAAGTCGAATTCCAATGCACAAATTGACAGGCATGCCCACATTCACCATATAGCCACCCCCAATAACCCCAACCCCTTCCCCTTTTTGCTGGCCTTTGTTATGTAAACAACGCGAACTTTATATTTTTTGTGTCGACGCTGCAATACTAAAACCAACTTAACTCAACTCGCCGCCCTGCCACCCAAAAAATACAACAAATACAAAAAAAAGATGGAGGAAAAGAAAGGGAAAACCACCCACAATTCGCATTCTAACTGAAGGCAAAAGTTTTTCCTTGCACAAATAACTCGACTTCTGCGACTCAACTCGCTTTGAATGCTTTGCAATTTCCGCTCTTCTAAATTTGTTGAAAATATTTTCGCCTCCCGGAACCCCCGGAAAAGCGAGAAAAACTTTTCTGCTGTGCGGGCGAGCAGCGGCAGCAACAACAACAACGGGACAGCAACCCATGACTGACTGCCCAACCTTGCGTAATATTTTAATAAATTTTGTCGCCAGGCTCTGGGGGCTCCCACGCACTGGAGCGAGCGAGACAGACACGGAGCGTGCGAGCGAGAAGGCAGCGCACAATACAAACTCTGATTGCTGCCACTAACCTTTGTCCGATTTCCGTTCGCCGTTCCTGTTGTTCGGCGCCTGCGTCCTAATTAAAAACGCAGGCAAAAAGTAGGATAAAACCAACAAAAGTGCGTCGAACCTGTCAAGCAAAAAAAAGGAAAGCACAGGAAGAAAACGATTGTAGTGAATCAGAAGTTTCGAATTTAGTTTATCAATTCGATCTATAAAAAAAATCGGAAAAACACAAACTGTTATTTAAAATGTTTTTTTCTAAGAAAATATAAGTAAAATAATAGTTAAAAAAGCATTTGTATTCTGTATAGAAACAAACATTATTTAATGATTTATTCATAAAATTTTGATAAATCTGAACATTTATTTTGTGAACATAAGAAACTTATCACATAGAAAAGAAGGACGTTAGTTACGATATATGTATATAAACAAATAAAACCACTCTGTCCCATGTTTATTTTATTTTTCCGTGTGCGAGGATCAACTAAGCAGCAGGACATGGGCTGTCAGTTGATTCCTGCGACGGAGTGGAGTGCGCTCCGTTGGAATTTCCATGTCAAAGCAGATTTTCTAACTGATTTCATGTCCAGCGATTTGAAGCGCTCAACAATTTCCAGTTTGCCAGGCAAGTGGCCGCGTCCCGCTCGCTCCGATGTCCTGTTCCTGTTTCTAAGCCCGCTCCTGCTCCTGCTCGTGCTCCTGCTCCTGGCTGTATGATGGCTGATGGCGTTGGCGGCGGCGCCCACTGATGTGGTAATAAACACCCCTTGTGCAGTCTAATGGACCGTAATTAACTCGTGCGCCGACTGCGACTGCTACGTCGACTGAGGCAGCGACAGAGACGTCGTCGTCGTACAAGCGATGAATAATAATTTTTTGCCAAAGCCACAGAGCCGTATAGTCGTCCAATCCGTGGACAACACAACAGGACCCATAGAAAAAACCCCCCACTCCCCTTGTTCCACAAGGCCCAAGGCACAGTGGTAACGATTGCCGATTTAATGGCCAATAATTTTCGGGGCCTGATCGCCGGCCATTCGCATCGCATTTACATATGTAACTGGCCAACAGGCAAACACCGTCCAGATGGTGGAAATTACTTATCGCTTGTCATTTCGGGTAATCACTGTTCCACATATTATGTTCGATTATGAGGCAATCTTTATGTCCACAGCAAGTTGTTGATTATGTGCTGCGTTGATATACATATTTGCTTTCGACTACTTTTATGAGATATGGGATATGGAACACTTTATATTAGGCGAGAACAGATGTCAACAAAACAGAGATGGTAATTTGACCAAGGAGAGAATTATTACCAGATTAATGTGCATGGTTTTATGGTTGACATATAGAAGACTTAATTTGATGTCATTAGCTATGATATGTATTCTAAGACTAGTGTCGAAAGTGTAATATATGTATATCCTAATGAAATATTGATATATAATTTAAACGATATTAAGATACCATTACCCGATTAGCGTATTTATTATCCGCAATCTGGTAATATAACTCTTCATTTAGTGTTGCGATTAGAGACAAAAATAAACTCTAAATTATAAAGATGTTAATTTTGGTTCAATATTCTTCTTGGATCCAGCTTAACAATATATAATACTGAACAACAAACGATTATACATGCCACTTGAGGTTGTTTTCCGCTCCTTAAAAGGGCTTTGAAAAAAACTCCTATTCATTGAGTTTATGAAATCAGCTTGTCATAACCCTTTTCGGAGACAATTACCTCTTCTGGTGGAACCGATTCTGGCCATTGTACTCTCTGCGGCTCCAGATTACCATTGTTGTTGCTGCTGGTCAGGGTGTTGCTGCTGCTGATGTTGCTGTTGCTGCTGTTGCTGTTGCTGCTGCCGTTGCTGCTGCTGTTGTTTGCGTGACGGATATTGCCTTGTCACTTGCATGTACGAGAAATGTTAAAACGTGGAGCCGCTTGGCTTGGGTTTCATCGGCTTTTCCTTTTTTTCCTCCTGGCTCGCTTCCCCACATCAGTCCACTCAGGACTGAATCTCCACTTCGCCCGCTCCTCGGTTGTTACCCCTTTTTCGACCAGCGACCGCAGCAACCGCAGAGCGGCAATCAACGCACAGCAGCAACAACAACAACAACAACGACAACAGCAACAACAACAACAGGCAAACGGGCAACAACATTTAACCAGTCACTGAGTTTTTGTACCGTTCGAAAGTTGTGCTAAAATTTAATTAATTTCGCAATTTGCCTAGACGCTGTCGATTGTAGATTGTCAATTGCAGGCTCGTCGACCAATTTCTATCTTTCGAAAGGCAACCCCCCCTCGATTTGCGCTTTTTGTGCTTCTCCGCTGCGGCTGCCGAAAAATTATGATGATTGCCATCATCATCATCATCATCGTCGTCCTCGTCGTCATCAACATACCGCTGGCTGCACTCCTTGCACGTAATACCCATAGACGTACTCGTAATACCCCACACTAAGCGCGGGGCGTGGCAAATGGGCGGCGATTTAGCCATGGCCATTATAAATACCAATTTAATGAGCGCAACATATGCAACGGGCACAATCCAGGGGCGCAGGGCAACTCGCGGAGGAGGGGGAAGTTGCAGCGGCGAACGTTTAATGCGATTACATGGCAGCGGCACATTTGTCATCGGGGTAGAGTCGCCCAGTAACGGGCGTACACTGAGCCGAATTCGGAATGGACAGGGACTAATCACTTCGATAATTAAATAATAAATTACTAATGGGCTTAACGTTAAAAAGCTGCGGTTAAAATGCATTTTGGTATGGAGTAGTCACTAAAGATAATTTTTAATTCATTAAGGGGTTGTGTTTCGCCAGTAAATCAATACTGAAGTGTAGAAACAAGTTATATTAAAAAAGCAAATTTCGTATGACGTGAGATATCTTTATTTAAAGGTAGTTTTAAATTCGATTATTTTCTGCAAGTGTCTTGGGTTCTAGTGCGAATTTTAAGTGTTGCACTGTATGCTACTTTATAGTTTATGTAAGTTTTTCGCATTTATGATGTTATATTTCATGCACTTTTTTATGAGCAGATTTTAAAGCAGATTAAAGCCGAGTTATGTGTTCTTTTGATGGAATTAATAGGCTGTTTACGCAAGCTGTAACGATTAGAAGTGATATCTAAGTGTTTCAAGTGGCGCCCGATGGGAACTGCAGTAAGTCTTAATCCGCATAATTGCGGCAAGTGCAGTCAGTGGCCCCCTGTGAACTTCGGCTGCAACTTTCAACTTGCAACTCGCAGCTTGCAACATGCATCTGCGCCTGTGTTTCCATGTGTGTGTGTCAGCTTAAACAAATCAAGTCAAATTACTGCAATGCTAAACAAGCGAGCAGAGGAAGCAGGAGAAGAATCTGTGGCAAAACAGCAAACGAAACGAAATGTAACGAAGCAAAACAAAATGAAACTGGCGTACCAGCCGCAAGGTTTCGCATCCGTAAGATAGATTTTGCTGCTGCAGATGCTACTGGTGCTACTGCCGCTGCCACGCCAATTGCATGGCCATCGTGCATAACTCCGGCTGGATTGTCTGGGGCTTTTGGGGTCTATGGTCGGTCCTGTTCTCTGGTTTTAGTCCGACATGCGGGCCACTGCAGTAGCATCGGCAGTAGCAGTGGCAGTGGCAGTGGCAGCGGCAGTGGCAGTGGCAAACGCGGTCGAAATGTGGAAGTAAGAGGGGCTCCAGTCGCCGCTCATTAAGTGCCACTCTACGACAGTTGTCGCTAATGCCGCCGCATCGTCCCGATTCCCCCTCCTCTTTCCCCTTTCCCCCATCGAGTCAACGTAAATTTGCAAATATTTGCTCGAATCGGACGAGAGCAAGTGCCACCATGTGAAGCAGTTGATGCTGCTGCAGCAGGGCACAAAAATTCCTGGAATTGCTGCCCCGGCGCGGGCTTAAATGAGTGTTAGGCGCAAGAGTTGCAAATGCGCCGGGGCTCTGCTCTGCAAATACGTCTGCTCTCCAACTTCATCTCCTTGAAAGCGGCATGCCCTTCCGCTCGAGGGCCTAAAGAAGTTTGGCACTTTAAATGCCAAATGCCAGCCGGGAAACCAATCTCCACTAATCCCGTCCCCGGGTCCTTCCATCACTCTCCCCAAAGCAGTCTGTTGCAATTATTCCCGCCTGGCAAGACCCACCTGAGGCCATCGTCGAATCTCTTTTTCATTTCCTTTATGGCCAACCGCATATGGCGGGCATGGCTATAGCGTATAGTTAAGTTAGTGCCACTCCCCGCCCTCTTTGAAAAATTTCCAACAATTGTCATATTATACTTTTAGGTTGTTCTATTCACTTGGTTCACTCCATTGTCCTCCTGCGTTCACGTGGCCACTCCCTGGTTTCCCTTTTGATAACCATGTCGGCGAAGGGCGCCACTTGCACCCTGTGTACCTGCAGCTGCAACCTGGATGGTTCGACAGCGAGGAGTGCTCGAAACATATACGAAATCTGTGGCATTGTGCTCAAGGCACAGTTTATAATCCAGTTAAAGTGAACCATTAAACTAGAAAACTTCATAAGTCGCTGCGCATATTAAGTTTCATTATCTGACGCTTAGGATATGAAATTATCCAACTGGAACACTTTTTTCTAAGATGTTCAGAAATTCGATCTTTCTAAATTAGGATGGCCAACGTTTTGGGTTTACCTTTTAGGGGTGTTAGATATTTGCTTTCGAGGTCACCCTTTATTAAAGTTTTTCTTTTCCCTAAACCAAATTTATAAGCAGCTAATTAGGTATTTTATTTCGCTTTGGAGGTCAGGTGGGATCACATTTTAAATGGGCTCTCCTTGTTCTATTTCTTCCCGCATATCTGAAAATTTAAGAAGTTGACAGCCAAGTGTGAGAACTTTTATGGCCACTACGGGGGTCACCACAAAGAATAGATTTAATTTCGAACTTGGGGTCATCTTGGGGAGAGAAAGTTGAGCCATTTGGCTAACAGTTTGGAATGGTCTCCGGCAGAAGAGGTGTCACCACTTGACGGGGTCACCCCTCAAATGGGGTCACCCAACAGGCGTTTTTCAGACATTTAAAGCCACTTGCAAGATGTCAACTCAACTTGACTTGCCCCAAAAAAAAAAAAAAACGAGAAGAGAAAGAGCATTCCAATCCATATCCAAGTAAGAAATCATCCCTGGCTTCTCGAGCAACCCTCGTGAGGACTAGGATCAAAACTGCCGGAGTTTTGCCTTCGAAGCGGGGCGGTTAATGACCATTCATTGTCTTACCTGACCCACTTGTTCCACTGCCTCCCGAGTGGCCCGAGTTCGGTGAGTCAGCCGAGCAGAGCCTCGATGTGTAATTTGTATTTAAAATGCAACAAACCATAATTTTAAAGTCGCCGCTGTGCGTGCAGTTTGTCAAAAAAAGGCGGTGGGCAGGATGATGGAGAGCAGGCAACCTACGGTGCGACCGAGGAAAAACGGAATGAAATTATTAAGTATTTGCCTGGGCCGCGGCAGTTGGAGGAACAAAGGCCAAAGCTTTTAAATATTTAATAAGTATACAAAAATGGAGGAGTCGGCGGGAGCAGAGCGAAGGGACATTCGCCTGTTGTTGAGTCATGTCAATTGACTGACTGAGTGCCCCGCTGTGGCGAGGGAAATGGAAGTGGATGCGAGAACGGGAGTGGGAGTGGGAATGGCAGCGAGTGGGGAACGGGAATGGAAGTGGAATCAATACCATGGATGGCCGCCTGCAGGGTTCCCGAGTACTTGTAAGGATATACACACACATACACACACACACTCTCTGACGCACTAACGGTGACAATAAATGAGTAAAAATGACTTCAACGAAACGAAAATGAAACGACAAACCAAACGACCGACCGTCCGACGGGCAGACGGACGAAATCTGTCATCAACACGCCGCCAGTGAAGAGCAAAAGATACGAAGTGAACCTGGCTGGATACGACGCACTCACAGATACCCACGCACACCCATGAAATTTGATACGATGCGTGTGCGTCAGTTGGAGTGAAATGGGAAGGGGACACAGGACACAGGACAGTCCAAAGAAATTTCCATTTAATAATTTCAGTCGTCTGTTCTTGGGTATTTTCCAGCAATCTTCCATTAAATTTAATATAAAGTTAAAATTAATTCATGCATGATTAACGCGGAAATAATGGGGGCCTTTTATGTCAATTTAGTTTTTGATATCCAGATCATAAACGCAAAAGTGGTCAAGATTGGGTAAAACTACCATTTCCCGAATCATTAAAAAGTTATAATCTTAAATTTTAATAATACCAAAACTTAGGCTACATTTAGCCCTTTTCGTATTTGTAAATTAGAAAAGCAGTGGTCATCGATACTTCATTATGTGCACAAGGTTTATTCTCTTGCTTCATTTTTTGATAGCCATGTACTTGGCTAAAGAAGTAAGTAGAAAAACAGTATAGTGAGTTCAAAATTTGTTAAATCAGAGCTTAATAAACGTTTCAGGCAGTATCTTTATTGGTCTTGAGGAATATCAAGTGTCAGACTTTGGATGAAGAGTTTTCTAATTTCGAATATTGTATTTTGAAATCTGTAAACAGGACGTACAAGTACATTTCCCTAAAAGTGAATCTTTTAAAAGTTCCAATTTCTAGTGTTCAGGTATGAAGAATCGAGTTATGCTTTCTTCCGAAACTTATTTATTTACGTAGGTCAACGTGGAACTATTTCAAAGACTTAATGGATATAAACCCTTTTTGTACAATATAACAATAGATGCTTGCAAGTTCTTTAAGAACCAAAAATCCAACCCCGTCGCCAGTTACTTCTACGATTCTTTCAAAAAATTTTCCAACATTAATCATTCCTGTCCCTACAACGTAAGTACAAATTAATGAATCATTAATAACACCTCAATTTGGATACATCATTTAATTTTAGCATGACCTTGTGCTGGAAAAGCTCTCTGCCGATTTTTTAAATCATCGCTTCACTAAAATTCTACCTTTTCCAAAGGGAGAGTATATGATCCAAATGAATTGGTTTGCCTACCACATCAACCGAGCTCAATTTCAATTGCACTTTGTCCTGTCTTGATAACAATAAATATACATACCATATATACACCATTCTGACTTAATAAATTAAAGAACGTTTAATGAAACCATATAAATATATCGCAGTTCGCCAGTCATCAATCCACTTTTCAAAGAGGTCCATCGAGCTCCAAACTTTTTGTTTTTATTTATGATAATAAATTAAATAAAATACATTAAATTTTAAATCAAGTTGAAACCAATTCATACACTGTTAACGTGAAAATAATGAGGGGTCTGAGCGGCAAATTAGTTTTTGACATCCAGTTTATAAACGCAAAATTGATTAAGTTTCGGAAAAAATACCATTAGCTGAATCATTAAAAAGTCATAACCTTAAATTTTAATTACATTTTAAAAATGTAAAACTTTATTTTCTCAACAATAGCAATACCTAGGTTACATTAAGCCTTTTTCGTATTTGTAAATTAGAAACCCAGTGGTCATTGATACTTCATGATGTGGTCAAGGTTTAAATTTTTGTTTTATTTTTTGCTAGCCATCTACTTGGCAGAAGAAGTAAGTAAAAAAAACAGTAAAGTAAGTTAAAAATGTGTTGAATCACAGCTTAATTAACGTTTCAGGTAGTATCTCTTACAGTCTTGAAGAATATAAAGTGTCACACATTGGATGAAGAGTTTTCTAAGTTCGAATATTGTATTTTTAAATCTGTAAACAGGACATACAAGTACTTTTCTACAAGAGTTAAACTCTTAAAAGTTCCAGTAACAAGTGTTCAGGTATGAAGAAACTAATTATGCTTTATCCCGAAACTCATATATTTGCGTAGATCAATCTGGAACTATTTCAAAGACTTAACGGATATAAGCCTTTTTTGTACAATATAACTGTAGATGCCTGCAAGTTCATAAAGAACCAAAAATCCAATCCCGTCGCCAGTTACTTTTACGATTCTTTCAAAAAGTTTTCCAACATTAATCATACGTGTCCCTACGACGTAAGTACAGCAGATCCTAATAACACCTCAATTTGGATACAATATTTTTTTTAGCATGACATTGTGCTGGAAAAGCTTTCTGCCGAATTTTTAAATCATCACTTTACTAAAATTTTACCTTTTCCGATGGGAGAGTATATGGTCCATATGAATTGGTTTGCGTACGGCATTAACCGAGCTCAATTTCAAGTATACTTTGCCCTGTCTTGATACATATTTATATACTCATATACCATCCTGACTTGATGTTTAATAAAACTACATATAACATATAAATAAATAGTAGTCAACCAGTCATCAATCCAGTTTTCAAAGAGGGTGGCTCGATGGGTTATGACTGGCCAGATTAATCGAGCTCCAAACTTTTTATTTGTTTTGCCGCGTCTGCCAGTCCTTAAAGATATTTACTTTGTGCCTCGTCTAGGAATTAATAAAGAATAACGTGATTTATGTTTTTCATGGGCGTTGGTTTGGGGCTGAACTTCCGCTTTATTGGCCAGACACATGACGGAATGACAGTACTTTGTGGTTATGTTCCATTTATGCTGTTGTTTTTATTAGGCCAAGCGAAATGTGGACCATTGATGGCAGTTTATTGTTATTACCAGATAAACTGCAGGGATGCCTTGCTTTGCGGATCAACCATAATTTTAGTATGTTGTGTTACCGCATGGAAGGGGAATGGTTTTGGTAATGTGAATTTTCATTAGGCTTTGATATTATGTCGTCATGTCAGAAGATTAATCAGAGAGTTTATGAATTTTTCCATGTAATTTGTTTACCTTTCCTGTGAGACTGCGTATACTTTAAGGCTATAACTTCTGAAATATCCTGGCTTGCTCGCTGCGCATTCGGGTTTCCACATTCACTCGTCAACCTTTTGACTCCGGGGACTCGTCTCCGCGTGGCTGGTGAAATTTACAACCTTACCTGTCCTAATCCCGTTGATGCAGCAAGCCCGCTGCAACATATTTCACTTCTCGGAGCCAGAACAATGCGAAGGCTTTTAGGGGAGGCGAAGAAGACGCTCTACCTGACCCGAAATGCGGAAAACAAAAGCCGCAACAAAAACAAACCTGCGCCGCAGCGAGAGCTCAACTGCAACACGCATTGCACCTGGGATTCGGTTGGGATGCGATGGAATGGGATTGGACAGGGGATTGGGAGGAACTAGCGCACGCCTCGGCTTCTCCCTTTCGGTTTTTTTTTTTTATGGATTTGTGAAACATTTTATAACTTTACATGGAAATGATGTGTGTATGCGAGATTGCCTCAGGTGGGGCTGTTTATTGTTATGATGGCAACCTCGAAAACAAGTTGAAACCAGAGACAGTGCGACAAACTAAATAAGGCAGAGCTTTGTATTTGTCCATTTCGATGATGGGCCCACACAGTCGAGATAAAGATAAACACGAGATAAATGAAGATTGCGTTTCGGCACTCGAGGCGCCATTGTAATAATAAAGCCACCAAAAAGTAAAGCAGTAATAATAAAATCCAAGCCCAAATCAAATAGAGCATAATCTGCTGGGAGCTGGGGACTGGGGACTGGAGACTATGGTGAACACTTGATCGTCATCATCACTTGTTTGGGGGCAGATCGAGAAAACGAAAACGAAATCCAAATGAAAACGAATGCGTGGCACAAATTGAATGTGATTGTTCAAGTTGTCGGGTCTCGGTCTCTGTATCAAATGTAAATCAGTGTCGGGCATCCAGCCTGGCCAACCCCCCTGCATTCGCTTTATTCAAATTGAACTCAAAAACAGCTGCTTCACTTCATTACCATAAGGTTCGCCTTGGATAGCACTCTGCTCTGGCCGGGCATGCAATTTGATGTGTGATTATGCCTTTTTGTTGCTTATCAAAATGAAAATTCAAATTCAACTATAACAGCACATTGTTTACAACGCCCCCGAAACCCCTTTGTGGACCCTGAAAACATCTAAACAAGACCCAAACTCAAACCCGAACCCGAACACAGCCACATCAACGGCAGCAACACTTGGAGAGCTGCAAAAGTGACACTTCTAAGAGATTAAAGTGACATGTAGTGGTCCGTATATTCAGGCTATATGGCGACGGATAGCGACGGACTGTCTGATGAAGAGACCGACCGACTGCCGACACCTTCCACCACTCGAAAGTGGGGAAAGTTGAGGGACAGACAGACAGCAGGGGAATTACGAGTCGAGTACGAGTATTTGTTGGGCTCTATGCATAGATTAATAAATTATAAGCCGCTTCTCTGAATGGAGTCGCTCTGATTACACTCACAGAAAATGGGTAAAAAGCACGGCTTACACTCCGAAATGCCCAGAAGCAGGAATTGTGCCCAGTCCTAATGGGATTAATTAAAGGTTTGGGTTGGCCAGCTACGCAATTCGTAGAAAAATTCTGAAAAATTCAACTTGCCTGATTTTTATTGGGCCAACTGAGAAGGAATTTCTGGTGAATTTCGCATTTCTTTGATCAATAAGCTTTCCAGACTAAGGTTAGGGCCAATTGAATATAAATGGGAAGCCCGCCATCAAAAATGAATCTGTTTAAATAAAGTTTATGCTACTGGAAAAGCGGCACACTGTTGTTGTTGTTTCTTATAATTACATTTTAATTGATTTTTGCATTACCTTATGCGACCCTATCTTAATTGAAAAACCAATAATGTTATCCAACATTGAAAACTGGCTATTGGTCAACGCAATTCAAAATTCAATAGGAGTTCTTGGGAGTTTGTCGATCTGTAATAATGGGACCAAGTTTAATGATCCTGCTTCGTTTGATCCTGGCCATGTACTTCATCAGCGAAGTAAGTAGATCTGTATTTCAACGGCTTAAAACTGAGAATACATTTCAGGCAGTTTCCCTAGTCGAGTTCAAGAATATTAAGTGTGAATCCATGGATAAGGAGTTTTGCACTTTTGAATATTGCCTCCTAAAGTCTGTAAATCGTACATACAAATACTTTTCACTTCGAGCCAATCTTTTGAAAGTCCCTGTAACTAATTGTAAGGTATGCTTACAATAAATTCTTGATGTTGCATAAGTATAAAATTGTGACTTAGGTCAATGGAGCGCTGTACCAACGGCACAATGGATACAAGCCCTTCCTCTACAACATCACAGTGGACGCCTGTAAATTTGTGAGTAACCAGAAGACAAATCGTGTTGCAGAATTTTTGTTCAATTCTTTTAAAAGATTTACGAACCTGAATCATTCATGTCCCTACGATGTAAGTCCAGATTGAATCTGAAGCGATTTTGTTAAATGATTTACTTATAGCATGACATTGTGCTGGATAAAGTAACTATAGGATCGGTAAACAACTTTTTGACCAAGGCTCTTCCTTTTCCGGATGGAGATTATATGCTGGAAACGGACTGGTATACCAATGGCATTAGGAGAGTCGTATTTAAAGTATTTATGTCTCTTCGGAATTGATCTATTAAAGTCTAACCAGTTTTGTATTATAATTATGTATTAAAATTATTGCTAATTTGGTACGGTTTTTCCCAGTGCACCTTTCGCTACCCTATTCGCTTTCTTTTCCACTCAACTCCTGGGGGAAAATGACAGTCAGTCCCCTGAGCATATGTACGCCCCCCGGCCCCTCAAATCCCCTTTCCTGCCCATCAGATTTTCCTCCGCCGCCCCCGCATCAAAATGTGAACGTGAATGTGAATGTGAATGTGGAGCAATTAATGTTTGTGTTTTGTCATTTCAAGCCCGACATTGCCCGCTGCTCCTTATTCTTCTGATGATGGGGATGCTGTTTTTGTTGTTCCTACATTTTATGCGCATAATTAAGTCGGTGTATCCGTAAAAGTATGCGACACTTCCGGCTTGGACAACTGTCGACGCGAGTCCCTGTTGGAACTTGGCTTTGGCTTTGGCTCTGGCTTTGTACGGCTTTTTCCTCTGATTTTGTTTATTTATTTTTTTCCCTCGTTTGCCCCCGGCGTTTTTATTGTAATACAATTCATTGGGCATCGGAGCGCGGAACTCTTTCTTTCTTTCGAACGTGTTCTTTGACGTGACATTCACATTCTTTGGAGGGGGTGGGAAAATAAGAGGCTGCGGAAATGGCAAAGCACGAAATGGGGAAAGATGATGACGATCAGCGTGGAGAATCTTTGAGGAGGAAATTGGGAAAATATTTTGATGTGCTGTAAATGGGCGATTATATCGCCAGACGCACGCACCAGAATCAGACTCAGATACAATCTCGATTATCTACGCTTGAAATTATCATTTACATTTGACAGATCTTTCCTGTTCTCAACCCGTAATTGATATGTGTTTTGGTATCTCCTTCTCGGTTTTATTGATAATTATCATTTAGAACCTCTGTGTAGTATAATTATGGGTCTCCTCTCCTTTTGACATTCCGTCTCTGTTTTATTTCAACTTTCAGCATTTTATAGATCCATAATCGTTGGATACTTGAGCACTAATTGAGGGTCTCATGTCTGGCCATTCGAATTGGCCTGCTCCATCTGAAAGCACACGAGAGTATTCTTTTGGTGAACCTGTTTCAGGGAGTGGGCACAAATTCCGAATAGTTGTCTGGTCTTCATCTCCGACTCCATCTGATATATTGATTGTTTGCACTTTGTTTTCCCGTTTCTGCTTTGTCAACAGTTTTTCCCGTATTTATTGTGATTTTTTTCTTGCTCTGGCTCTGGCCATTGATTAAGACCCCCGACATCTACTCCATCTGCAGCTCGACATGTTTGACTTTGGCCACGCTGACTTCAGCTTAATCCCTCGGAGAACTTTGATATGGCTTATCTCTGTCTCGGAATGGGGAGTACTCGTAGTAGGGAGCACAGCGATTTTGACACATGTCATAGGCAATGGACAAACAGAGTCCACCTCCCCAGGCGGGATTCGCTCCCCACAAACCACTGTTCGTGTAAGCCACAAAAAAACAAATCACTTGAGGGCAACCCCTCCATCTGGTTGGATCCCGACTTCCAGCTCCCTCCTCCCTTTGTATCCCCCAGTGGCATTATTTGAATTAAGTGCATACTTAAGCGTAATTTATTGGAAAATCCACAAGAGCCTCCGGGCGAGCTGGGCGCCGCCTCCATCCAACCATCCTACCATCTAGCATCTACCATAAATCTATTGTTTCAGTTGGTGCGAGGTCGCGTCATTAATCTGCAGACAACTCTCTTAGTCCAGTCTGAGATTTCTGAGCGGCAGATGACATTCTATCTATGTGTCTCGGGTTTATTTGCGCTGTGCCCGGCTCTATTTGAATAGTTCCCCGGCAGTATGTGCCTTATCTCCTGGTGTCAGACCAAATGGCACTAAAAAGAGCGGACAGATTGGGAGGGAAAATCGTTAGGGTTAGTACAGTGTGGGTGTGGGTTGTTTATTTGCCATGGGAATGTCTGCCAACGACATCGATTTCATTCAATATGCCAAGTGCCCATTTTAAAACCATGTTAATGGTCATTGTTTATGCATTAATATAATCATTTCTAGCCGTAATAATAAATGAAATAATCACCCGAGTCACGGTATCGGGCCAACATTATTTATCCAGCGAAAGAGGAAATTTAGTTCAACACATATTTTAATTGCTAAATAAATATGTACCCCAAATTGTCAAAAATAAGCTTTGGTTTTAATTTATTTGTTGAACTGGAAAATACGGTTGAAATTTAAAATTTTTGTGGGTCGGTGAGAGGTAAATAGTTATCTAAAATATATAAACATTTTGGTAGTATTTCCAAGCAAATATTAGTCTGTGATTTTGGGTAATGTGGAATATGTGTGCATAATACTCGTACCTCAATCGTTTATTTTGATTTAATTCTGATTGGAAATTGCAGTGTTCCCTCGTTGGCCATTTAATTTGCAAACACAAATCACTTTCTGGTTAAAACTCTCAACTAAATTGATATCGAGTGCCTTGGATTCTTCTCGGTATCAAATTATTGTTGCTTTCCTGGCTTAGCTTAATTCGTTGCCACTCTCGACTAGACCAACGTCCGCTGGCGATTTCCAGTTTTGTTTGGAGCTCGAAGCAGGCTTCTTTTGCTATTTCAGCTCCCCGGATTCTTGGGCTTCCACATCTTGGGCACAAGAAGAACGAGTTATTGGCATGCATTGAATTTGCCTCGGAATTTGTTGGGCACCAGGGCACCAGGGGATCGGGGGAGAGTGGTGGCTGGGCAAAAGAGTAGACAATCAGTGGCATGTATAGAATTTCACTGATTTATGTTTCATATGAGCCGACTACGAGGCGGAGATTCCCTCAAGGCAGGAGCGTGGCACAGCCGAAGGACGAGCAGGATGAGCTGCGCAGGATGGAGGAGCAATTCTCCGCCCGGGTGACAATGCAGTGATTACATCTTTTGAGAATATCCGTACGTATATACGTATATATATACTCCCCCGCAATTTCCGTGATGTGAAAGGCATGCCTTTGCTGCTGCTGATGCTGCCGTTCAAAAAATATTTTCTTCAGAGCTTCCACAGCTTGGAGAGAAGGCGGAGCGGAGCGGGAGGCTTATATGATAAATTTTTGATTAAAGGCCCCCATGGCTGCTCTTGATAGGCTCCCCCATCGTACATCTTCGTGTGCGTTTCGTATGCATTCCGTTTGTGTGGAAAGCTTGCTCAAATTACGTTTGACATTCAATTGAGTTTGAGTTGATTGCCAGTTAAGTGAAACAGCGCAAGATATATCGGAGAAAAGCGATTTTTGACAGCCGAACGCTGATTACTCCAGTTATCCAATAACCGAAGATTCCGCATGGCAGTCAGAGTCAATCGCGGCTGTCATTTATCCAAATGTTAATTTAAACAATTAATTTCAGAAGCCGCGAGCGCGGGAACGAGCGAGGGAGCGGGATGGAGTGCCTTAAACATGTCAATTTGCAAATTAAGTACACAACATGACAGACCAGCAGCGAAAGAGATGGCAATATGTGGCGGGAAAGAGAGGGCCGACCATCCATGCACAGAGCCAAATATAGATCCAATCTGAATAGTTAGCCTGAGGAATGTAAATGAAGACTGGCACTCGAGAGGGCCGAAGAATCGCAGGGAGACCGAAGAGTCTGAGGCAGAGGGTCATTAGAAACCAGAGATTTAATTGGGCCAGAGTGCTCTTAAATATGATTTGTGAGTTCCCCAGAGGAATCGAAAAGCGGAAGCCCAGAGATTACAGATGCGAGTAATTACTAGATGAGCCTCCAGATAGCATAGTTCCTCATTTCTGCTAGGTTTGGGCAATATAGTCGTTCGGAGTGGAATATTTAGGTCGAAGAAAACTCTTTTTTAAGATAATTTTGGTCAGGGGAAAAATATGATTACACATGATGCTTTTATACGGTCAGAGTGGCCTTAAATATTATTTATGAGTTCCTTGGGGAAATCTAAAAACGGAAGACCTAATATCTCTAGTTATGGTAATTGCTGGAAAGCTTAGTCTTAAATCAACTTTTGCAAATGTGTGCACTGGGTAACCAGAAAAATATATTTATATTATTATTATTATTTTGAAATATGAAATTATTTTTAGTACTGATAGTCCAATGCAATCATTCAAAGGGAAATGTTTATCCAAGAGAAAACTCTTTTTCAATAATCTTATGTTTACTTGTTGATAGGGAGTTTTCCCTGAGAAAAACGCACCATATGCTATCCAAACAACTGATAATTGTAGTTCTCTGGAGGTGATTAGTGGTCGTTGCTACCGCTCATTCCGACAGGTGTTTCAGGGGATGGTTTTCCCCCCAAAAAAAGTAGAGAAGCTAATTTGTGGCCAAGCAATATATCATGACTTTACAGATGACAGTCGGCGAGTTTCCGTGCGTCCAACTTCTGCCACTCAACTTCTTCAAATGTATTCGGTTTTAAGTGAAATAAATATATGCTTATAGCGCAAAGCGCATAGGTTTATATTTAAACGCTCAGTCAATGGCAATTTCCTGCTGCTGCTGGCTGTTGGCGATGCCTTGCCGAATTTATAGATAATTTTTCATGATTTCCCCGACACATTCTTTCCCAATCTCGTTGCAGATGTGCTCAGCAGGTCGCTGCGATGCCTTCGAGCTGGTGCTGCCGGCAATGCCTGTGATGCCGATGATGATGATGATGAAGTTGCTGCCGCTCTCGGTCCGCCTTAGCTGCTGACAGCCAAGTGCAGTATCCGCAAGATACCAGATACCCGAAACAAAGGAAAGGAAAAGTGCATTTCCTGCTACCTAACTTGTGCGGGGAGTTCTACCTTCGACTCGGCTCTATCTACCTACCTACGATTTTCGGTAGGGAGTTACAATCCCACAAAAAAAAAAAAAAGAGAGTAACTCGCTGCAAGACTCACTCACTCGCCACTCGATACTTTTTCGAGCGCTCGACGGCCAGACAGCTGCCATCGGTTTAGTTTGGTCAAGAAGCGCGTTCGCGACGGCTGCAAAAGAGCGTACCGCCGTAGGAAAAGTCGAGAATACGAGAATAACGAGCGCCTTGGAGCGCGGGTGGATATAACACTCCATACGCTCCAACCCGGAAAGGATTTACAGTGAACTCAGTGAAGTGAAAGTGCCGAAAAGGGCGAGAAGGATCATCAATCCTTTCCTTGTGTACCGCCTATCCCCCTCCCCCCCGCAAATATTTGCCCAGTGGTGATTGCTGTTGACAAAGTGGATTGGCATTCGGGGGACACTTTCAATTAGGCACGTTGCCGCTGCTTTATAAATGTGCCACAATGGCCGCGCCGTCCAGGACGACGACGTCGATGCCACCGCCCTTCCGGCTCCAGTTACAGTTCCGGCTGCTGACACCCCTCTTCCTGCTCCTGCTCCTGCTCGTGCTGCCCCATGATACGGTCCTCGCGGAGCCGTATTCCGGCGGATTCGGCAGCTCGGCGGTGTCCAGCGGAGGCCTCGGATCCGTCGGCATCCACATACCCGGCGGCGGAGTGGGCGTCATCACGGAGGCCCGCTGCCCGAGGGTCTGCTCCTGCACAGGATTGAATGTGGACTGCTCGCACCGAGGACTCACCTCGGTGCCCCGGAAAATCTCAGCGGACGTGGAGCGACTGTGAGTATCAAAGAAAATCGAATCGAATGAGGATTTCCCTGATGTGTGAATGAGAAAAATATGTGTGCTTGAAACGGGCCAACGATTTAATTCCCATAAAATACAAATAACTAGCAGTTCTTTAAAGGATTACAAATCAAATTGACTGAGAGATGTAGGATAGTCTTTACTCTATTTATTTCTCAGTTTCAAGTTTAAGCTGCTTGATTTAAGAACTCAAAGAATTTCGCCTTGAAACCCCACAAATAAATCTCTTGATTTGATTGCGACTTAAAAATCACTTTGAAATGTGAATGCTATTTTCAGCATTCAATTACCACTCCCTTTCAAATGCTGGCGTAAATCAATATTAAATTCACAATTATATTGAAATGCCATTATGCAAACAATCGGAGCAGACATAAAACCAATAGAAAGACACTTCCCCCATGGGAAAACAAAGACGACCGTCAAGTCCCACACCAATGGCATATTGATACCTTGCCATCGCCATCGCCATCGCCATCCCGATTCGTTTAGTTAGGATCGCCATTCAGGCACTTCCTTCTGGACGGACAGTCTGCCCGACTGCATGACAAATTTCAATTATGGAATGCCCTATTCTCCTTCCTTGCCGGCCAATTGTTCAAACATCGAGCACACTCTATTAAAATAATAAAGTCGGACCCGGACGCACACGCCCGCTGCTGCACGGGATTCTTCCGATTTGTATTTATTTAAAAATCAGCATAGGCAAACAACAGCAGCAGCGGCGGTTCAGGGTATCTGGAGGTGGAGTGGAGAAATAAATAAAGCCGTGACCATGTCGTCGTGTCGATGGCGATAAAGGAGAAGGGTCCCGCAGGTCCGGAGGTCCAGGCTCCAGAGTTGTGCAAAAAGAGAGCTGTTCCTGTTGCGAGCTGCTTACATTAAATCGCCATTAAGTTTATTAATTGTCGCCGAAGGAGCCGCATAAGCGCATCAGTGGCCAGGCGGCAATAATTGTTGCATGTTGCCGAGTTGCCGAGTTGAATGCATTAAGCCAATGTGGCTGTGAATGCGACTGCGACTGCGATTCCGCCATCCAACCATTCCGACTTCGTCTCCTTCATCTCTGTCCATCGCTCACAGTCGCCACATAAATTAACGCTCCGGCAATTAGCAAGTGTATGCAAAATACCACCCCGTCACCACCCTGCCACCTTCTCTCCGACCTCAACTCCAACCTCAGCGGCCTCAAAAGCCTGCTGTCGTGGCTGCAGTTTTTCTACATAAATTAATAACAGATATCAGCGGCAGCCGCAGCGGCAGCGGCACGGCAGTAGTGGCGGCAGCATTAACGTTATAGCATTATAGCCCAGTTATAAGCAGTCGGGCTGGTTGCAAGTTGAACTGGCAAACTGCGCTCAGGGACACATTCGGCTGCTGCTGTTGTTTGCACTCTTTACTTTACTTTATTTTCATTCTGTGTATTTATTCGTTTTTAATGCTGCAAAGCAGAGAGTAATATAAAACACAGAAACGAGCAGTGAGCCAACAGAAACAGAAACAGAAAACATATCAACATGCACGACATATTTGCATTTTAAAATAGAGACCCGAACCGAACCCAACTGAACCGGGCACGAAAAATGCGATACACAGGGTGCCTCAGGGCCCTACGAAAAGTACACATATCAAATATAGTATAGTATAGTATAGTATAGTATACAAGTATTTGTCCCATTCTGAGTGGCATTCCATTGGGCGAGATGAGTTGAGATTGCGAGTGTCAAAGTGCGCAGGAGAATGTGTCAAGAGTCTTAGGCAGAGCTTAGGAGGGCAGGAAAGAATCAAAATGAGCGGCAGCCAGGTGAGATGCCAGGTGAGGATGTGATGGAAAGGCTCTTGGGGGAATTATGATTTCAACAGATTATATAGAAGCGGGGGACTTAATTCCCAAAGCCATCAAAGGGAGGCCCAAAGGTGGAAAATACTTTTGTTTCAGTGAAATTGAATACAGTCGAGCCGCGCTAAGTCGCATTGTCTCTGGCACGTTTGAAATTAAGAGAGTTACATAGGCTCAAATTTCTTTATCACCTTTGCAAGTTTTATTTATAGGTGGCACGTTTCTGTGTAGTAAAAAAAATCTTTTCAAATTTATTGCCAGCTTAAATAGATCTACATGATGTTATAGTTCTGTTTTGAACAAAGTATTTTAGCTTGGTTAATGCTGCCAATTTTTTGATCACGAGTTGTATATAGTTTAATTGCATGGCTTGAATGCTTTATTAATGCGAAACCCAACCTTGAGACACCCTAGTGCTGAATCGAGCAGAACCTTCCGACCCGGCACACAAGCATACATCAAATATTGAACATGCCCACAACTATTGGGCCTGTCAATGTGCACCGAACGAGAAGGCGAACGCTCCAATATATACTCACATTCAGTATATATGTATATACGGAGGAGCCTGAACAAAAAACAATGGCAAATGCAAACTGGGACTCTGGCAAATTGTGTTCTTCGCCCCCTTTTCGACGCCCCCGCTCATGTCATTGCCATTTAATTACGAAGCCCCCGGGCGGAGAAAGGGGCTGGGGCCAGAACCCCGAACGCCGAAGCCCGAAGAGAATAGAAGCCGGAATAGAAGAGTTCTAAGCTGACAGGCTGCCAGTCACCCACACAGTTGATTCAATTGACACGACAGCATTTTTGCATATCTAATTTGTGGAAAAGGGGGAAGTGCTCGGTGGCCCTTCACACCTGAGGACGACTAATTTATAGCTGGGGCACCAGTGGCAGCTGCTTTTGATGTTGTTCCTCAGTTCCTCAGTTCTTGGGCAGAGCCACAGCCACAGTTACGGCCACAACAAAAAAAAGGAGAAGCAGCCGAAGAAGGCAAGGGGGAACCTGGCCACAAAAGAGCAAACCCCAAGATGGCACCTAATTGGCAGCGGAGGGCGAAAACCAACAAAAGGCTTTTATATCGGGCCCCACACGGATATCTAATGAAGTTAAATGCTTAATTATAAGCCAGGGAAAACGGCAGAAATTATGCATACGGCCATTCCAACCAAAAGTGATTTAAACAAATTACACAAAAACGAAAAGCAGCGCCAGAAGCGTTTGAAAAATGTTTGGCAATTAGACGGCGACGAGCAAAGACTTTTGTTTTTATTTTTACGCCAACAAAGGCAAAACAAAGCGTATTGAAAATCTGGCTCGACTATCTGATGTAGTTAAAGCTACAGAGATAAAAACTCAGATGTTGTTAACAAAGTGTTTATTAAAAGGACTTTACACATGAGCAGATTTTAAAACACATCCACAATTTTCTTATATGTTAATTTGTATTTCAAATCTAAAAGCCTTTTGATGAATATCTTGGAAATCTCTTGATTGTAAAGAAAGTTTTTGGATTGATAAACCCCGTTAAATATTAAGACATATTTATAGATTTTTCCCCGTGTAGTTACTATGGCTGGCTCAGCTGTAATCAGTTGGATCTGAGCGAGAGATGCCCACATCTCAAAGAGATATTAAGCTCATTAAAAAGCCGTGTATGTGTGGAGACTATAGGTGAACCGAGGAGCAGGCTATATGGCTATATGGCTACATGCCGCTTCTTCTTCATCGGCAACTTGATGCGAGATTCATTAAGGTTTAAGCCGCACAGAAATATTTTACGTTTGGGTCGCCGAAGGTCTTCCTACCTGTTCGTTGTTGTCTTTTTTTTCGCCGAGACCCAGACTCGAACCTTACTCAAAAAAAAAGTGAGCAGCTGAGACCAACTTGATGTTGTTGTTGGTCGGTCGGTGGAACCCATATCGCTATATGGTTATATGGTTGCGCATGCGCACTCGGCTAAGTTAAGTCTTTTGTATGCGAGTATCTCGCTCTCGGTTGCATTTCATTGTTATGACATCTACAGGTAACAAATTTTCTGTTTCTGGCCGGGAAACGAGTTCTGGCTTCGTTGGGTCCCGTGTTCAATGATTAAATATCATATTTTCGTTATCAGCAACAAGCGGCAGAAATCTCTTACTCCTTCTGCCTGGCCTGTGATCCCCCATTGGTTTTCCCCGTGCCAGCTGCATTTCATATCTCAGATTGCTGTTGTCTTCTTGTCTTACAAGCAATTAAAAAAAATTATCGCCCTGCCAGTAGTATGAGTGTGTATGAGTGCCTCTTCGGTTGCTTCAGTTGCTGCGGTTGCAGCATCCTTCCCGCAGCAACTTGCAACATAATTAATGCAATCTCTGTATTCGTAATTTCTTTATCTATATTCGCAGCGAGTTGCAGGGCAATAATTTGACCGTGATATACGAGACGGATTTCCAGCGGCTGACCAAGCTGCGAATGCTGTAAGTTAAATTATAGGACATTAAATCAAAATTGGCCGATTAACTCCTTGTATTTCCACAGCCAACTAACGGACAATCAAATCCACACGATCGAGCGGAATTCCTTCCAAGATTTGGTCTCCTTGGAGCGACTGTGAGTAGCCTTGAGTAGTAAACTTGAAAGTCGTTTCTAACATAATGCTAGTTGCATGACATATTTTTGAATATTGAACTCACTACTAACCAATTTTTGACGATCTCCACATTGGATCTTAATCAATTGATATTTTCTTAGATATAGAAATATAGCTAGCGTGCAAATTGAATTTAGCTTGATGGCAGATTTAGTTTGAATTGTTAACACTTGTATCTGATTCCCGTTTTCGTTCTTGTTTATTTTTATTGCATATCTCTACCGTTCTTTGTCTCTCTCTGCTTTCGTTACGTTTCGTTTTGCGTACCTAATATGCTCGTCTCCACACCAAAAAATAAAAAACCAAAAAAACAAAAACCAAAAACAAACCGAAATCGAAATCGATATCAAAATCAAAACACCAAAAACAAATCCGACACTGTAATCAATCAGACGCCTAAACAACAATCGACTAAAGGCAATTCCTGAAAACTTAGTGACAAGTTCAGCGAGTCTTTTGCGATTGTAAGTAAACTCCAAAGTAGTAGTCGACACTCGTAGTAGAGTCTTGTTAGATATTAGATACTTACCCATGGCCTTATCAATCCTCCAGGGACATCTCCAACAATGCCATCGTCACGGTGGGAAGACGCGTCTTCAAAGGAGCTCAGTCGCTGCGGAGTCTTCAGCTGGACAACAACCAGATCACCTGTCTGGATGAGCACGCCTTCAAGGGATTGGTGGAGCTGGAGATACTGTGAGTAAATTTAGTGCTTTAGTTTAGACTCCAGGAGAAGCCAAAGTGAAGGGGCAGAGTAACCAAATTAGCAAGCCAATCAATGAAACTGCTCGCCAGTCGAGCCGAGTAATTAATCAACGATTTAGTGCCTTCTCTTAATCAATCAAACGGGAATTAGTGAATGAATTAAAAATCAATCAGTTAATGCTCAGCCTAAATTACATAATAAATGGTTGAGCTTGTGGCCAGATAAGCCAATCGCAGCCGAAATGGAGCTCATATATCAACTGATTAGAAGGGAGCGAGTGGAATACGGACTTATTGATTTTAGGCAACTGGTGGTGCAAAAGTTAAACTGTTTGGCAAGTGAAGTGTAAATCCGAGGATTAATTTACATTATTTATTTGCCGAAATGGAACACAAATTATTTTGTGTGAATTAATAAATTGTAACAATGAAAAGCAAACAAAGAAATAAAACTGGGTCACGTTGATGGAAAACAAAGCTGAATTATTTCCTAGCTAACTAACTAAATATTCAGAATTGTTCAAATGAAAACTTTCAATTAAGTTTGGCATGAATAAAACAATAAAACATTATTTTATTGACTTAGTCACTTTTGAATAAACAAAGTATTAATTAACTAAACTGTTACAAAATACGCAAAACTGATAAAACTGCATTCAAAATTTTTAAATTTCCGATGGGTGAAATGTTTACCCCTCTGTAAGTCCGATTTTTGCAAGCTTTCAATGTTATTCAGCAATATAGATAAGTTTCCGGATTGCAGTTATAGCAAAATGAAAAATGCAGTCGCTTCCAAATACGAACGAGATAAAGCGATGGCTGCCACTATTTTAATTAAATTTCGATGGGCAATCGGGTCGTTTTTGGCCGGGCCAAACCCTCTGGAGCCATAAGCATAGCCAGCTCTTAGATATAGTTATCCGATTAGCGCGGATCATCTTTGCCGCACTGACCACCTCCCGCTCTCCTTTCTCCATTCTCCTCTTGCAGCACGCTGAACAACAACAACCTGACGTCGCTGCCGCACAACATCTTCGGCGGACTGGGGCGACTGCGGGCTCTCCGGCTGTCGGACAATCCGTTCGCCTGCGACTGCCATCTGTCCTGGCTGTCCCGCTTCCTCCGCAGCGCCACCCGGCTGGCGCCCTACACCCGCTGCCAGTCGCCGTCGCAGCTGAAGGGCCAAAACGTGGCGGACCTGCACGACCAGGAGTTCAAATGCTCGGGTATGTAATGGCCAATGGGCCATCGGTGCTGTGGTGGGTTTATTTCGTTTTTTTGTTTTTCGCGTTTGTGCAACATGTTGTGGCAGCTTCCACTCCCTGAGTGCTACCAAAAATGGGCAACCTCCTATTCCATAGCCGAAATTAATTAGTTTCTTATGCCAAAGCGAGGAAAACAAAGCATTGCGGGTATAAATCATAAGCAGTCATATGGGCACGCCCCCGATGCCACGAACGCCCACGAAAGCCACCACCACCACCATCACCATCAGCACCACAAAATCTGGCGAGAACCACTTGGTGCTTTGGTGGCTTCATTGGGTTATCCCCCTTCCTTTCTCGTTTTTTTTTTTTTTTTTTTTTTTTCTTTCCATTGAGGTCGTGTGTTTGCCAAAACGTTTAACGCCGTCGAAATCATTGCCTGGTGTTTGTACTTTTTGGCTTCTCCTCTTACCGAAAGACGCTGATGCCAATGCAGATGCTCAGCGAAGGCTTACCTCTCGACCAGGAGATGGAGTCAGAGTCGGAGCTGCAAGATGGAAGATGGAAGATGGAGCTGCGGGCCAAGTGAATGGGAAGTGGCCAAAACGAAAAGCAAAGCAAAGCTGATGACTTGAAGACCGAGCGTGAAGCGCTCAATGAAGCGGAAAATGCGCCCCAAAACGATGCAGCCATGAAACGAGTTTCTCGACTCAGCCATTTCTGCTGAATGGTTAGGGTATCGCATTGTTTTCCGCTTCGGCTTGCCTTTTTCTGGGGAGCCTGTAATCGATATGAGTATGCAGATGAGACGGTACTCTCGTATGCCTGGGAGTGACCCGTGTCAAGTCGGTTAATACATTGAATATAATGATGGGAATTCTGAGGGTTCATATTGCTTAAATTGAGGGATTAATAAAATTTCTAGGAATCGTTTCTAGGCTAGAAATCTATAATGAAAAGGTAAAGGGTGGTTTAAAAACTCAGTTTAACTCTTTTGTGTGAGTAATTTGATTTTCCATTTTGTCCTTAAATTAAAATAATTAATAGTACTTCAAAAAGAAAAAACTGTTTCCTACCACTTTCGAAGTAGTTTCTCTATCATATACATTTTATTAAATCCATTAAAGTGTATCCACTCTTCTATATTCCCACCAAACTGAACTATAATTCCTTGCTTGTTTGACTTTCGTTTTGTATAAAATGCTATGGAATTATATGGGTAAACATTTATGACCGGCGGCTGGTTATAGTTGCACCTCCCCAAAACCCATTTCCCCAGCCCCCGCGATCCCCTTTCACCCCCTTTTACCCGCCACTGGATCGGCTGTGCAGTAGCATTGATAATTACGCTACTGCAAGCCAGATCCAAATCGGATGCTCGTTTTCCCAGCAACCAGCTACCGGAGCTGGTCAATAACGCCAGCGAGCATTATTGCAAACCGGAGCAATACCAAATTCACCAGCTTCACCGACTTATCCCGATCTCTGCAACCATATTGTTTGTCCATCAGGTCTGACGGAGCACGCACCGATGGAATGCGGGGCGGAGAACAGCTGTCCGCATCCATGTCGCTGTGCCGACGGGATCGTCGATTGCCGTGAGAAGAGTCTGACCAGTGTGCCGGTCACCTTGCCCGACGACACCACCGAGCTGTAAGTAGTGGTGCATCCAACCAGGAAATGGAACTCTGACGCTGATTATCCCCCGATTTTTGCAGCCGCCTCGAGCAGAACTTCATTACGGAACTGCCGCCGAAATCGTTCTCCAGCTTTCGGCGACTGCGACGCATCGACCTGTCCAACAACAACATCTCCCGGATTGCCCACGATGCCCTGAGCGGCCTAAAGCAGTTAACCACTCTGTAAGTAGATAATTCCCCATCGGAGGTGGTGCAGGTGGTGGTGTTGCCACCACTTTACTTGCTGCAGTGCAACAAGTAGCCGTTTGCAGAACAAAATGTGCACTCACTTGAGTTTCCCTGCACCGGGGGCCAAAGTCAGCTGAAGGAACGGGGGCAGTGGAAGTGGGGTGCACGTAAGAGGTGCCTCTGGGCCAGGCCAGAAGCGAGCTAATCGGCCCACGCTAAGCGTTCCCGCCAGCTCACACCGCAAGGCATCTGGAATCGGCTTACCTGTGCGAATCTCATCGCCCTGCCACCCAGATCCACCTCGTCCACCCCGCCCCCCACTCCCACCCGCCTGCTTCTCGTCGAGCACGTGTGCGCTGGAGCTGGAAACGTGACACGGACTTAATTAATGGCAGCCACATTAAAAGGGGTTCAAATTCAGCATTTTCAAGTGGGCGACCCTTTCTGTTGGTGGGTGTGCCTCTCACATTTTTAATTCCTGTAAGAGATCAAGTGTATTAATACTAAATAAACGAATTTTGATGAGGGCTTTACAAAAGGGATTTATTAGAAGTCACTACTTGCCTTCGTATACATTAGGTTTGAAATTTAAGAACGGGATTCTAAGTAAATTAAAGGAAAAAAGGATTGGCAATACAAAATGTGTAAATTACTTGATTAACAAGTTGAGTTCCATAACCAATTAAGATATATTAATATGATAAATTCAGGGGAAAACGGAACCATCTTAAACAATCTTCAAGTATGAGCTCTGCCTAGAATTCCTCCGTGTCACGAATCGCGTTTGGAGCTCATCTCCCAGTTTGGCAACGGCAAACAAACCAGTTGCCACCCGCAACAACAACAAAAACATCAACAAGAAGAATGACAGCAGCAGCAACAACAACAACAAAAATAACTTAACCACTTTGTCTTTGCCCGCAGAGTGATTTTTATTTTTTGTAATTTTTTGTGCCACCTCCTTAAAGCGAGGAAAAGAAGAGGGAAGCGGGGATTCGGAGGGGGGTTTGTGTTTCTCTTTCAGCTTTTATTTTTTCGAGCTTTGTTAACATTCGTCGTGTGTTCTATTTGTGTTCTTTTCCATGTCGGGCTCCACCCATCTTGAATGCGGCATTCAACGAACATCGTGGCATCATCCCATCACCATCAGCGTGCTGTACGGCAATAAAATAAAGGATTTACCCTCGGGCGTGTTCAAAGGACTCGGCTCGCTGCAGCTGCTGCTGCTGAACGCCAACGAGATCTCGTGCATTCGCAAGGATGCCTTCCGCGACCTGCACAGTTTGAGCCTGCTCTCCCTGTACGACAACAACATCCAGTCGCTGGCTAATGGCACATTCGACGCCATGAAGAGCATCAAAACGGTGTAAGTACAAGGAGTCCCAGTCCTCCGCCTCCTCCACGCCCAACACGCCCATCCTGCAGCCAACCACTCGAGTGGGGCAACAGGCCCCTGTCGGGATCCCATCTTGAATGGAGCAGGCACTTTGGTGTTAAACCTCTGAAGTGCATTTAGTAGTTGCCTTTGACTGAGTTCTCGCCCCTTCTGCTCAGCTCGCGTTGACATTTGTTTAGCAGCAAACAAGAAGCTTCTCCCCTTTGCCAACCAACCGCCTACCGAACACAACCAACCCACCACAACCATCCCAGTTTCACATCTATGAACCGTGAAGACTTTCGGCCTTACCATCGAACAAAAGGCGAAGACGCCGCGAAGAATTCTCCTTGTGGCATCGATAAATGTGCGCGAGGCTACGAGGCTTCAGCAGAAAACTTGGATGGTTGAGGGGTCCCTCGTGAAGATGGGGGTTTTTTTTGTGGGGGGCAGGAGGGAGTGCAGGAGGTAAGTGCGGCAGAAAGAGGGATTTGTATGCTTGAGTGGGTTAAGTATTTGCCAGGGTTGTCGGCTTTCCGCTTAGTTGCGTACGCATATTTCAGTTGGGAATCAACAGATCTTTAGGGCCTAACAACTCTTGATATGCTAATGAATGCGTTAATAAATAAGCAAAACGAATTGGGATGCATCAGAAGAGTTTTGTTTATAGTTAGTTATGTTCAGGAAATATTAAGGTCTTAAAATAGGTTGTCAAAAAAAGTATGTTGGCAGGTAAGCTTGTGAAACCGAATGCTATTTAACTTTTATGGGCCACAGCAGAGAGTCTCTGCATCCCAGAACGCATAAAAAGCATTTTAAATAGTTGCCAATAAAATCGATTGAGTTGCGAGTGGCTAACAAGCTGAAATATTCCCAGGGGTCCTGCCTCCCTAACTCAATTGAAATAGTAAAAACATTTACCAGTTGTGCAATCCCCAATTGTTTGGCAACCCTGTCGGGAATCGCTTTTAAATAGTTGCAAAACAACAACGGCGGGCGGGAAAGAGACAGAGAGAGAGAGCGAGAGAGGGAGAAGAATAACGGAAATGTCGTAGCCACAAGGCTGGTGCACTTTTAAGACGTCTCAAGCCTCCACGGAAGGCTCTTTCCCTCGGCTTTTCCCTACCAGTTTCCGAGTTTCCCACTTTCGGAGTTTCCCGGGCAACGTCTTAGTTCTCGGACGACCAGCCTTGCCTCCCCCTCAATTGAAATCCTGTACTGCATAACCGTTTCTGCCATTCAGTCGAATGCTCAATGCTACTTTCTTTGCTTACTTTCTTTCCATTTGGGCACGCACACTCGCCCGTACACAGACATCTGGCCAAGAATCCTTTCATCTGCGACTGCAATCTGCGCTGGCTGGCCGACTATTTGCACAAAAATCCCATAGAGACGAGTGGAGCCCGCTGTGAGTCACCGAAGCGGATGCATCGTCGTCGGATTGAATCGCTGCGCGAGGAGAAATTCAAATGTAAGACTGTGCATTCAGTGTCCTTGTACTTAACCAGCCAACTGGAGCCTGCTCCTCCTCCCTCTCCCTCTCCTCCTTCTTCGTTGTCCTTGTTTTTCAGGCTCCTGGGATGAATTGCGCATGAAGCTGTCCGGCGAGTGCCGCATGGACTCCGACTGCCCGGCGATGTGCCACTGCGAGGGCACCACCGTGGACTGCACGGGCAGGGGACTGAAGGAGATTCCACGCGACATTCCCCTGCACACAACCGAGCTGTAAGTCCACTTCCGGATGCCATGTCCCGGCATCCTGCTGCCTCCTTCCCCGCCGCATCCCTAACTCGACATATTATTTCACTTGCCAGTTTGCTCAACGACAACGAACTGGGACGCATCAGCTCCGATGGTCTTTTCGGTCGCCTGCCGCATTTGGTCAAATTGGAGCTGAAGCGCAACCAGCTGACCGGCATCGAGCCGAACGCCTTCGAGGGAGCCTCCCACATCCAGGAGCTGCAGCTGGGCGAAAACAAGATCAAGGAGATCTCGAACAAGATGTTCCTGGGTTTGCACCAATTGAAAACTCTGTAAGTAGATTTACAATTGGAACAAAACGAGCACCTTTATTTTACAGTTTACATTACTTTCAAGCTTCTTTACAATCATTAACTTGTTTAGAACTCCTTTAAACCTTATTACCCTTCTAATTATAATAACCACAATTTGTTAACGCTGAACTAACATTACGTAATCTCTTTTCGTTGCAGCAATCTGTACGACAATCAAATCTCGTGTGTTATGCCCGGTTCCTTTGAGCATCTCAACTCGCTGACTTCGCTGTAAGTAACCAGATTCCCAGATTCCCAATTCTCCGATTCACCGATTCCCCGATTCCCGATCCCCGTCCATCAGATGCCTTTGCTGCTGTGCGTAGCAATTAAAACTGTGCCAAGTGCTCGGGATGCACTTCAATAGATAAATGATTTGGCTTAAGCATTAATTGCCTGGTGGGATGGATGGAGCAGGAGCTCCTCGCTCGTAAAATGAGGTTAATGGTTCTGATTGTTCTCCATCTGAACTTTGTCTGATGTGGCTGCTCTGGCTGCTTTGGCTGCTCTGTCTGCCTTGTCTGCTGCTGCCTTCAAATCAGTTTGGTTCTCCATGCCAGCCAGCAAAAGCACAGCAAACTATTGTATATAATTCAATTGAACTTCAATTTATGGCATGGGTTGCTCCTCCTCTCCTTGTGCTTGTGTGGATTTCAGTCTGAACTGCTGCTGCGATAACAGATACCAATGGCACTAGCTCCTCTTTCTTTCCTCGATGCTCCCTCAACTTTCCCGCCTGTAAATCATCCCCCGAGCACATAAAGCCCAAAAGGGAGCATACATGCGGCATGTGTGTGTGCTCGCCTCCGATGATTTAATTAATTAAAATTGAGTTCAATGGAGAGCGCCCAAGTGAGTTGGCAGGAAAAAGCGAGGTGGTGGTGGAGGTGGTGCTGTGTGGTCCGCTGCTGCGCTGCTCGCAAATTATTGTAAAATTCATTTAAGTAGCTAATAAATAGCATCAATGAAATTCATTAAGTGCTGTGCACCACATGACACCCACCACCACATGGACCCACGAACCACCGCCCACTTGGTTCGCCACCTTCAAAGGTGTTGCGTGAAAGGAGCGCAAAGTGTTAGTTAGCTGCCTGCGGCCTACACACAGGGATACACTGAGCGAAAAAAGTTAGAAGTAAAAATGAGTTACAATAGCTCTACACTCTGAAATACATTAACTATAGTTATTCCTTCGTTTCTGATAAAGTAACGATTGCCACCCTTAAGAATTTTAGCATAAGTTCTGTGAATCAAATTTAGTAACCCTTTTTTTCAAGTGCACAACTTTCTAACATATACACATGTAATTGGGAGCCGGCATCGCTGGTGGCATGACAAAGCAGAATTGCTTATTAAATTAGTCTGGACTCGGCTGCAACTTTGGAATTGCCAATGTAATTTGTGCGCCATTGTTTCACTTGTGCTCTGCTCCTAAAACCCCTGGTCCGCATAATTAAAGTGCCTGGGCATGGATTTTCCGGGATGGAGATGGGGATGAGGAAGGAGGGACAACATATGCTGACTATGGGCGCCGAATGAATACGGAATTAATTTATCAAAACGTCCATACAAATGGGCGAGGGAAAATTGAATTATAAGAACCCTTTATCAATGCCGTTATCGTAATCGTGTTTTTTGTGGCCCATGCTGACACATTTCTTTCTCTCTCTCCTCCATTTCCAAACCAGGAACCTCGCCTCGAATCCATTCAATTGCAATTGTCATTTGGCCTGGTTCGCGGAATGGCTGCGCAAAAAATCGCTCAACGGCGGAGCGGCACGTTGCGGAGCTCCGTCGAAGGTACGTGACGTGCAGATCAAGGACCTGCCCCACTCGGAATTCAAGTGCAGCAGCGAGAACAGCGAGGGCTGCCTCGGTGACGGCTACTGCCCGCCATCCTGCACCTGCACCGGCACCGTGGTCCGCTGCTCCCGCAACGCTCTGAAGGAGATCCCCCGCGGCATTCCCGCCGAGACCTCGGAGCTCTACCTGGAGTCCAACGAGATCGAGCAGATCCACTACGAGCGCATTCGTCACCTGCGATCGCTGACCCGACTGTAAGTCTACTTTTGGATTGTATTCAGCGATTATAAACAACTAATTGGTATTCCCTTCACAGCGATCTCAGCAACAACCAGATCACTATTCTCTCCAACTACACCTTCGCCAATCTGACCAAACTGTCCACGCTGTAAGTGCACCCAGGTCTAATGACTTTTTAATTGCCCAACCGCACCAGAAAGCACGGAAATAGCAGCAAAAACAGTAAAAGCAGCGCAAATCGAAGGCTCGAGAGGGCTTGACACAATTCTGCGCCAATTGCATCGTTTGTCGACCTGGGATTGGGTTTGGGCTTGGGCCATGGGCTGGTTGCCTGGTCTTTGGCTCGAGGTCTGTCCCCCTTTGTCCAGAAGGCAGGGAAAAAGCAATGGAAGCCAAGAAGGCGCAGGCACGAAATTCATTCCGAGACGTAAAGTCGAAATCGTGACTCGTGCTTAAGCATTAGTCGTTGGCGCGGACTTGGACGCCAGCGTTAGAGACCTCTAACTGCACAGTGGGCTAAATTTGAACATTTGTGAATAAAAATAGCTGAGGGGAATTACTTCTTTATACGTTCATAGTTATTCCTAAGCCATTAGTTTGTATAATTTCAGACGAAACTTCCTTTTTAACAATATCACAGGTTTTTATCATCAATCCCTTGCTTAGTATTATTAAAGAGTTAAACCAGGATACTTTGCATTACCAACAGGATGTTTGCTATGCTCCTGTTATGTAAGACCTTTAGGCTTTTCCCACTGTTTCCGCTGATGTGCGCTATCCACAATCAAAGCTCAGACGTTATTTCTGGTGTTTCTCCTTCGGCTTGCGAATGGGAAAACGTTTTGCAATTACTTTCATTTCTTCATCAATTGCGGCATGTGTCCGCTTTTGTGTGCTGGCTGGCCTAATGCAATTTGTAAACGTTTCTCCGGCTTCCCTGCCCTTTTCCAGCATCATCTCGTACAACAAACTGCAGTGTCTGCAGCGGCATGCGTTGTCTGGCCTGAATAACCTGCGCGTGCTTTCGCTGCACGGCAACCGCATCTCGATGCTGCCGGAGGGATCCTTCGAGGACCTCAAGTCGTTGACCCACATGTGAGTAGGCAGTAGGGACAGTCAAACACCAAATTGGACAGTCCGTTGAACCGAATCCTGTTTTCCTGTCTTCCCCACAGAGCTCTGGGCAGCAATCCCTTGTACTGCGACTGCGGACTGAAGTGGTTCTCCGACTGGATCAAGCTGGACTACGTGGAGCCGGGCATCGCCCGTTGCGCCGAGCCGGAGCAGATGAAGGACAAGATCATCCTGTCGACGCCCTCGTCGAGCTTCGTGTGCCGTGGTCGCGTGAGGAACGACATCCTGGCCAAGTGCAACGCCTGCTTCGAGCAGCCGTGCCAGAATCAAGCTCAGTGTGTGGCTCTTCCGCAGAGAGAGTACCAGTGCCTCTGCCAGCCGGGTTACCACGGCAAGCACTGCGAGTTCATGATCGATGCCTGCTACGGAAACCCCTGCCGGAACAACGCCACGTGCACGGTGCTCGAGGAGGGTCGCTTCAGCTGCCAGTGTGCCCCGGGCTACACGGGTGCCCGCTGCGAGACCAACATCGACGATTGCCTGGGCGAGATCAAGTGCCAGAACAACGCCACCTGCATCGATGGGGTGGAGTCGTACCGGTGCGAGTGCCAGCCGGGATTCACAGGCGAGTTCTGCGACACGAAGATCCAGTTCTGCAGCCCGGAGTTCAATCCCTGCGCCAACGGAGCCAAGTGTGTGGACCACTTCACGCACTACAGCTGCGACTGCCAGGCGGGATTCCACGGCACCAACTGCACGGACAACATCGACGACTGCCAGAACCACATGTGCCAGAACGGCGGCACCTGCGTGGACGGCATCAACGACTACGTCTGCCGCTGTCCGGATGACTACACGGGCAAGTACTGCGAGGGCCACAACATGATCTCCATGATGTACCCGCAAACGTCGCCCTGCCAGAACCACGAGTGCAAGCACGGCGTCTGCTTCCAGCCGAATGCGCAGGGCAGCGACTACCTCTGCAGATGCCACCCGGGATACACGGGCAAGTGGTGTGAATACCTCACCAGCATCAGCTTCGTGCACAACAACTCCTTCGTGGAACTGGAACCACTGAGAACTCGTCCCGAGGCAAATGTAACCATTGTGTTTAGCAGTGCGGAGCAGAACGGCATCCTCATGTACGACGGTCAGGATGCTCATCTCGCAGTGGAGCTGTTCAACGGACGCATTCGCGTCAGCTACGACGTGGGTAACTATCCGGTGTCCACGATGTACAGCTTCGAGATGGTGGCCGATGGCAAGTACCATGCCGTGGAACTTCTGGCCGTCAAGAAGAACTTCACGCTGCGCGTGGATCGAGGATTGGCCCGCTCCATCATCAACGAGGGTTCCAACGACTATCTGAAGCTGACGACGCCCATGTTCCTGGGCGGTCTGCCCGTGGATCCTGCCCAGCAGGCCTACAAGAACTGGCAGATCCGCAACCTCACCAGCTTCAAGGGCTGCATGAAGGAGGTGTGGATCAACCACAAGCTGGTGGACTTTGGCAATGCCCAGCGCCAGCAGAAGATCACTCCGGGATGTGCTCTGCTCGAGGGGGAGCAGCAAGAGGAGGAGGACGACGAGCAGGACTTCATGGACGAAACGCCGCACATTAAAGAAGTGAGTTTAGCATAGATTGCCAATTGATTTGGTTTAACTAAAGTTATATTTTCTGTTTAGGAGCCGGTGGATCCCTGTCTGGAGAACAAGTGTCGTCGGGGCAGCCGCTGTGTGGCCAACTCCAATGCCCGCGATGGCTACCAGTGCAAGTGCAAGCACGGCCAGCGTGGTCGGTACTGCGATCAAGGTGAGGGCAGCACAGAGCCCCCAACAGTCACCGGTACATACATCTATCATGCTTATGCTACTCCACTTCTCCACTACTCACAACCCACCAAAGGGGGAACTTTACTTATGGGAGGGGGTGTATGCCATTTATTACTAACCATAAAGATGGGTTCCGCAATGGCTACTCATAACTTACTCGCGCACTTTAAATCTATATGGCTGCCATAAAACAAGTGTCCGTCTGTCGAAGTCTGCTCACCAAGCAATCAATAGAGTGCGGTTTTTTTATGTTTTTTTTTTACGAGGATATGGTTATGCAATTCAAATAGTTAGTAATTAACGGTGGAAGTCCCATACAGACTGCTTTTGAGATTTGATTTTAGAATTTACATAACTGAAACTTTGTTATACATTTCTTCAGTCTGATTAAATTTGCCTTTAAGAATTTATCGGAGAACTTAAACGCTTAGCCTTGAAGCTTGCTGAAGTGACTCTTGAACACAAATAGCGTAGGTGCACATAGCGAGATATTAACACCACCCCCAACCCCTTAATTATTGGCACACATTCACACCACCACACTCATGGCACTCGCCTCGCACGCAACTCACCCATCCATCAAAGGAAAACTTGAGGGCGTTCTCTCCGGGAGGTGACACTGTGCACTTTGTTAGCTCTAATTATCCAGCCGCAAGGCTCGCGTTGCCTTAACCCACTGACTAATTGCGCCTCGTTGAATCCTTCCATCCACAGCGGCGTCCACCTGTCGCAAGGAGCAGGTGCGTGAGTACTACACGGAGAACGACTGCCGGTCGCGGCAGCCGCTGAAGTACGCCAAGTGCGTCGGAGGCTGTGGCAACCAGTGCTGCGCAGCCAAGATTGTGAGGCGGCGCAAGGTGAGTGTATCTCAATGGAAAAAACTTTATAGCAAACAACTAATAAATTATCTTTAATCGACAGGTGCGCATGGTGTGCAGCAACAACCGCAAGTACATCAAGAACTTGGACATCGTGCGCAAGTGCGGATGCACCAAGAAATGCTACTGACTGAAAGATGCGACTACCCAATTGCTCGAGCGGAGCAATAGCAGCTTAGATGTTAGTTTAGGAACAGGTTTAAATCTAACTTATAGTAGTAGTAATAGTAACGATAGTCTTAGCCATAGAACTAGGGATAGCACGGATGTTAGGGGGCAACACACAGCGATGATGATGATGATGCGGAGGAGGAGGATAAGGAATCCGTTGATGCGGGGCAACCAACGGAGCAGGAGGAGAGGCGTGACGACAGTGAGGATTACCCCACGGACGGCATGCAGTCCGATCTCTATGACGACACCATCGACGACGATGACGACGACGACGATGGCCTCGATGATGATTATGCCGATGGGGAGGAGGAGCAGGAGGAGGAAGATCCCGAGCACCTGCCCGATCCCAAGGGTCTGGTGAGTGTTCCCGACGAGGAGGAGGACATGGGCTACGACGAGGACGACGAACGGATCGCAATGGAGCGACCGAGAACGGTAAGGCCGCGACCCGACGAGGAGCACTTCCTCAACGAGGAGGGCAGCGGCTTCGGCGGCTTCCGGTCGCGGTTCCGGCCGAGCAGCAGCTTCCGCGAGAGCCAGCTGGAGAATATCCGCAAGAAGCTGCTCACGGAATCGCAGACGCCGCCGGAGGTCGCCGTCGCGGTGGCCGTGCCGAGCACTGCGATCGATCTGCGCGAGAGCAGCGGCCACTTTGCCAACGATGACGAGGATGGCGAGGACGGCGATGACGGCGTCGACGACGAGTTCGCCGACACGGGCGAGAACCAGGGGCGCGGCTTCTTCGGCTCCCAGCAGCAGCGCAAGAGTGGTCCGTACCATCGCAAGAACGGCAACGATGCCATCAAGATCATCTCCACGCCGCTGGGCAAGGTGAGCATCGTGTACCAGCAGACGGACAAGGACCAGGCGCCCGACCAGGATGCGCAGCTGGAGCCGAAGCAGAAGAAGCCGACGCTCACCGACTTCGACGCCCTGTCGCCGGATCCCGAGAGCAGTCATCGCTTTCCGTCGCCCCACCCCAAGATTACGCCCGTTCTGACGCCCGATGGCAAGGTGGCGCTGCTCTACCGCGGAGACTCGGAGAGCTCCAAGTACGAGCCCATCCGCAACCTCACGCACAAGTTCACCGGCCAGCCGGCCAAGGAGTCCGCCAAGTCCAAGGTGGAGGACTCCTCCTCGGCGGAGGACTCGGTCTACACGGACAGCGAGGATGCGGAGGACGGCAAGGGCGATGCGGGTGCGGCGAAGCCCTCGCCAGTGGCCAGCACGCCCAAGCCGCTGCAGCCGGAGATCCTTGAGCCGCCGGAGAACGTTCAGCCAGGTGGATCCTTCATCATTCGGCCCACCTCGGACTCGCTGCTGCCGATGATCAACCGGCCGCTGTCCGAGGTGCTGGGCATCAAGAAGAACCAGTTCCAGGAGACGCGGGTGCGCGACCACCTGCCCACGCAGCAGCCGCCGCCGCCGCCTCCGCTGCCGGAGGTGGCCACCTCGAGGAGTCCCACTTCCGGACATCAGTTCCTCGCCAAGGTCAACCTGGCCGAGTTCCCGACGTCCGGAAGGACGCTGCAGACGCCGCTGATCCCCGGCAGCCACGACTTCGACTTCAGCCGTGACAACACGATGCTGGACGAGAGGTCGCGGGTGCGCGAGCTGGAGAAGCAGCGGGAGCGGGACAAGGAGCACAACGAGGCCACCAGCAAGGGCGCCACCGAGGCGCACACCATTGCCAACGAGCAGCTGCTGTCCAAGACGGAGGTGATCAACCTGGCCATTGTGCCGCAGTTCGACGAGGACATGGAGCGACTGCAGAGGCTGCAGGAGAACGGAGGCCGGAGGCACCACCGGGCACGCCATCGCCACCGGCAGCAGTCGGAGGAGGAGCTGTCGGGCATCCACTGCATCATGCAGGTCATGATGGGCGTGGCCGCCGTCTCGACGGTCTTCGGCATGCTGGGCACCTTCTTCAAGCAGCGCATCCTGGACCAGCTGCGCATGATGCACTGGTAGTACAACACGGGGGATTCGATGTCAATGTCCGTTGTCGAATGCCCCACATTCCCCCGCCCTCGTCCCGTTCCCAGCATCGTCATTATCATCATCCAGTCCATGGGGGCCAGCTGCCCCTCAGGTGCGCGATCCCTCCTCTTCTACTACTACTAGCGCTCCTCCAGCACCCATATACTCGTATATACTCGAAATCGAACTCGAACTCGAAATCGAACTCGAATTCGTACTCGTACTCGTACCATATGCCATATATTAATCGCATAATCTATGTAACACAGCGGCATCGATTTGCTTTCGTCCCCTTCCGCTTCTTTATACATACTCGTATATATACATTTATATATCTATCTTATCCTTCGGCATTGTGCCTGCAGATGCAGGCACTTCCTTGCCACTCATGTATTCTATATATATTCGCATATGTATCAATTTACTAGTGCAAGCTACCCAGGCGATGTACATAATAACAGAACAGAATAATACGGCGATCGATCGATCCGGATATCCATGTATTTATGTGAGACGCAACTGTAGCCCCTGCCGAATCCGCCGGAAATTAGCTGACCCTCCGTCACTGCTTCCCAGTTCCTTCCCTTTACTTTTCGCCCACTTTTGTGTGCCCCTTCCCGCAGGACATTCAATCATTCATTCAATCGACCACATCAGCGAGAAACAAGCTTTAAGCAAGTCATTGCATGTGCCACGCCCCCTCGAAGTCACCGCCCTCCCTCCCACGTCAGGCATGAACCCCGCAGAAAATACATTCCCCCCCGCCACGCCCCGCCCCGCCCCATCATCATCCGTCGTCAGGAGCCCCAGTCGAGAAACTCGGAAATTGGACGTAGAACAGATTCCTTTTGTAGATAGAAAACGAAACAGTTGTTGGGAGATAACCAGATGAAAAGTCGCATGACAAACGAACACATAATGATAAACTAAACTAAAGTTATAAACGAAAATAACAGTAAAACCGCACAGAAGCACACACGCATTACAAAATACAAAAAAATCCTGCAACGGTCGTTTTAAACGCGCCGTTCAGGAGTCTCAAAGAAACGAGTAAACGATAATAAGTGCATAACGAAAACCGAGAACCTTCTTTAGTCTAAGTTGCTCAAAAGAAAGTATTTTGATAGATCCGGAGCGGAAAGAGATACCAACAAACACAAAAAAAAACCACAAAGAATCGAAAAGAAAATGAAACGAAACAAAGGCCCCCAAAACGTGTAACGAATTTCCAGCAAATTGTTGCAAGTGTTTTTCCTAGAGTTAGTCCTAATTAAACTAAATGTGTGCAAATCGAAGCGTAACTAATATTACAATTAACCTAAACTAATTGAGGAAACAAAAACCTAAACATAAATCGGATAACAACATCTAAGCTGGGTAGTCGCATGTAAATCTCTAACAATTAACAATTACCGACCTAAGTTAGACCTAAACAAATCGAAACGAAATCGAATCGCATTTAAAGAAACCTACATAATAATAATTATTTATACTAATCTATATATACTTATATGTATGCTGTATGTATGTATGACCCTATATGTATATGTAAAATGTTTTTGACTATTTTTCACTATTTATATCCATATATATTATATATGCATATACGATACATGTGTAATAGCCCCCTTTGGTCATTTTAGTTGTCTTTTATATATATTTAATACGTGTATTATTTTTATTATTATTCAAGTATAACTATGCGCACCAATTACACGCATACTTTATGTATAACCTATTGACAAATATATATATATATTATGTGTAATAGCTGTTGCTAAACCAAGTTTAATTATCAGTTTTTCATTTTCCCTTTTTCCGGCGAAGCTTTCGACGGTTCACAGCCGCAAAATTGTGTTCAGCTAACTAATTAGGAAGAGAACGTGTCCTGCAGGCGAAGTATTTCGAGTAATAATGGGGGAAACGACAATTATACTATTCATTTCTGTGTGTAATATTTATTTCCTAATAAAAACGACAAAGAACAATGTTTCAAATTAAATGGGGTTTTGTTTTTTTATAATCAGATGATGCAGTTGTTGGGTGATAACAAATTATACCCATTTACATCCTTACTTGCAAATTACGGGCCAGAAGTTTATAACGAATTTTTATTTAAATGAGTATTAGGTTCCCGCGCTTTTCAAGTCTGGCAACTCTGTGTTTTTGGTAGTTTTGGTATTAAGCACGTACCTGTTATCGATAACTTCCTTGCTGCTTTTCCCACCACTAGCCAAGGCAGTTCGCGCGCTTTTTACTGCCAACTTCTTTAAACTGCGGGAAAAAATCTTGTGGTGGTCGCAGACGGAGGAAAATAAAATAATTAAAAAGTGAATAAAACCAAGCATCCCAGGCCATGGACATCGACTTCGGCGCGGAGGCGGGGCAGTCCTACCACACGGTGCAGCTCTCCGCGAAAGAAGTGCTCGCAGCGGGCCGCCGTCAGCATTATTGCAACGTAAGTAGGGCACCCAATTGCAGAGCTCCACCACTAAAGCCCCATGTAATTTCCCTCGCTAGATGATCGACTTGTTGGCTGCAAGCTGCAAGAGCTCCGGCTTAATAGCCACCTCCTTCACGGACGACGAGCTGGTTGAGTTCTGGCTAGGCGACATCGTGCCCCTGATGTTCGATGAGGACCGGAAGATACAGGACTCCGCCGTGGCGGCTCTGGCGGAGGCTCTGGTGGCCCTCGATGTGTCCGCCATTCACTCGGCCAGATGTTGGCCGCAGATCCGCAACAAGTTTGTCGACACGTACACCACGCTCATTGGGGAGATGCGCGATGCCAAGAACTCCAACTGGCATAAGGTGTGGACACTGTTGGTGCAGATCATGGACGAGGATTTGCTCAGAGGCTGTGTATACATCAACAAATTCCTGGCGCTGGTTGAACTTGGCTTCCGTAACCCGGACAATGGTGTGAGGTCGGAGGCCTTCCTCTGCTGGCGTGTGCTCATCAAGATCTTCGCCGCCTACGACGAATTGGCTTCCGCAAAGAGGCTGCGGCTCTTGCTGATCCCCCTGCGCACCTCGCAATCGCGCTCCTCGCACGTCAGTGGCATCAAGCTGCGTGTGTGGTGGTACCTAATCACCTGTTTGGACAACGAACTGCCCAAGTCCTTTGAAAGTGCCGTGGAGCACTTCCTGGCCTTTATGTTTGGCGGAGGACCGCGCAATCTGCCTTCGGGCCTGGCCCACAACTATCAAACTGCCCGGGAGTTGGCCTTGCCATGCTTAGTGGCCCTTTGGGGCGTGGAGACCAGTGAACCACTGCAGCGGCTGCTAAGGGAACTGCGCCTTGAGAGCTTTAGCCAACCATCTCCCCTGATGAGCCGAGAAGTACTGCAGCAGCATTGGAAGACAATGTTGGACGCCGCCGTTTCCGGAATGAAGTTGCTCACTGAAAACGATGCCACCGAAGCGGAACAGCTCCTCATCCAGCTGCTTGTGAGGAATCTTTGCCTAGCAATGTTTCGACTGGCGGTGGCTCCTTTTAATGTGGCTTGCTGCGCTGAGATCGAGAAGATATTAGCCGAAGGTGCCTCCGGTGGTCGAGTGGTACGTGCCCTCTTCAACACCATTGCTGGTGAAAACCTGGAAATGGAGCGAGTGGCTGGCAGTGACCACCTGGACGTTTTGGAGGCCTACCTGAAGCTGATTCTGAAGTCGAGGTCGGAAGTGCCTGCGGCCATCCTGCAGCGGAGTATCGCTTGCATCTTCGCCGCCGATCGCATTGAGGCGGGCAATCAAAACGAGTTCCGCATGCTGGTCTCCTTTGCTGAGCTTCTGATGCAGACCAATGACGAGGAGGACTTCGAGGGATTCGCGGTGAAGCTGCAGGTGTGGCGACAGGTGTCGCAGGCTTTGACCAACTATCTGCGCGACAATGCGCTCGAATACCGAGTGGCCCATAACGCCTTGCTTCTGGACACCTGGTTGTTGTGGCCACTTCAAACGCTGGCTGGTTTTGCCGGACGCCGTGCCAGCAATTCGTTCGATGTCTCCTTCTGCGAGCAGTGGCGACAATTGCTGAATGCGGGACAAAATGCTTCGGAGAGGAAGAAGTTCTTGACGGAACTAAAGAAAAATCTGGCAGAACTTTTCAAGAGCAAGGACGAGCCGCTCTTAGCTGAGTTGTTCGATGCCTATGTATCCTCGGTCCTCAAGCTGGGACTCTGCAAGGAAGCACCATTGTACAAGGACGTCTTCGGCTTGCTGCAAGCCATCTTCGAACACCCTTCATCCCAGCAGATGCTCGAGGCCTGCTTGAACACGCTCCGCAACTTGGTGGTGGAGTTGCGTCAGAACGAACTGATGGTGGTCTTTGATGCCCTGAAACCCACCTTAGCCTCGGCTATTCAGTGCTGGAACAAGCTGAAGTGCGAGGGAGGCTTCCTGGAGGAGTGGAAGCGAGCCATTCTGGAGAAGTTCCGCAAGTTGCCCATGAAGAGTATGGCGAATCAGCTGAGGGACCTGTTCAAGGGCGACGACCTCTTCGTGATCATCCCCTCGGTGTGGAGCCTGAACCCCGAGAAGCTAACGGAGCGTCAGAAGGAGCGGCTCGCAGAGAAGTCGGACATTCCAGCCCTGTACAACGACATGTCGCAGTCGCAGGACTCGGCTTCCCTCAAGCCCTGGACCCCCAAGAAGGTGGTCATCGCCAAGAGCAAACAGGGGGAACTGGCTCTAACCGGGAAGGAAGACATTGAGGAAGTGATTGAAATCCCGCACAGCGAGGAGCCGGAGAAGGAAGCAGTGAGAGCGGAAGCCTCCACCCCTGTTCGCAAGACACCTGGCCGTAAAACTCGCGCTCAAAAGGAAGAGGACTCCGCTGCCAGGACCAACCAGCCGCCTGCCGAGGAGCCGCCAAAGCGTCAGACGCGCATGCGGGCGGCTCAAAAGGAAACCGAAGCAGCGAAGCAACCCTCGCCAACTCCTGATCGCCAGATCCGGTCGCCCAAGAAACTGCCACCGCCTCCGCTCGCCCAATCCACAGCAGGTAAGCATCGCAAGCAACAGGTGGGCTTAGGATACTAATCCCTCTACTTGTATTTTTGCAGCTGCCGGAAAGCAGACAAAGGCTGCAAAAACCACCCCCGTTGTGGTTATTGAGCAGAGCGAGGATCTCTTCCCGGAATTCACAGCCGAACCCGAGCCTCAACCTGAACCGGTTAAGAAGCCCGACGCTTCCCCCGAAATTCAGCTAACGCCACCGGATGTGCCCGTGGAAGCTGTACCCTCCACCCAACTGCCGGGGATTAGCGGGGAAGCTACTCCAGCTGCAACCGCAGCGGCTGCCGGCGAGACTTCGCCAAAGAAGCCCACCGTTCGAATATGCAACTTGGTAAGTAAATAGAAATTGGCAGGGTAATTAAAATTCATTCAAATCTTTTTGTCGAATTCGATTTAATTTTTGTGCAATACAAATATCTATAAATATTTTAACCTGATGTTTCTTCAATAACTTTGTATCATTAAATTGAAATCGCAAAACATTCACTTAAACCTGTTCTGGCAAATGGAATGCCATAAGAATTTGATTACCTAATCCATATTTTAATAAACTTCTGATGTGTCCCCTTTTTTCGCAGAACTCCCCACCTGATCGCAAGCAGACAAACAATTCCACCAGTCCCACCTTAAGGCCCAAACCCACGGGCCACCTAACCGGCCGCGGTGCGCAGCTGATCAACATGATCCGCAACAAGAAGCTGGATGCGGCTGCCGGTTCACCCTATGCTTCCATGTCGACCTCTCGCCTTGTCCACCAGGGGACGCCGGCCCGTGTCCTCGATCGCGCCGAACAGGTGTGCACGCCCACCAGCGAACTGAACGAGCTGACGGGCACGAACCACACCTCCACGCCGATCCAGGCACCACCCTCCAAGGATCTGCTGGTGTTCTCCAAGCGACTGCCCTCGCCATCGGCCAGTCCCTCGGTGAGCATCCTGAAGCGCAAGCTGCGCTGTGAGAGCCTCGATGATGTCACCCTGGACTCGCCGGCGCTCAAACGCAAGCGGGTGAGCTTCCACGACCCGCCGGTGTCCGTTACCAAGGAGTACCTGCGCGATTCCGAGGAGACGCGCAGCAGCCTGAAGCCCAAGCGCTGCCTGCTGATGGACAAGGTGGCCCAGACCAGCGAGATGCGCCAGGCGCTGAGGAGACGCGGCCGCTTGGACAGCATAATCGAGATTGAACGCTTCGCCAGCGAGCAGACGGCCAGGACAGCGACGACGGACAAGGTGCTAAACAAGTCCACTGTAGAAGCTGTCGAAGAGGACGCCTTCACCAGCCTGAAGTGGAACGACACAGCGAATGCCCAGAACATTAGCCTCAGCGATGAGCCCGCCAAGGCAATGGACGTGGAACCTGAGCCGTTGCATGCTGGTCAAGACCTGGCCATCATGGATCCAGAGGCCGCCCTCGACCTCGTGGTGGAGCAGTTGCCGCTGGAGTCGGTTTTGCAGAGATACTTTGACAAGGGCCACCTGAAGAGCGCCGGCACGCTGGCCAAGTTCCTGTCCGCCCAAATGGGAGCTAACGATAAGCTGAAGACTAACGTGTTGGAGACGCTGTCGGAGAATCACTCGAAGGAATTTCTGGACCACGCTGTGCGCGAGAACCTCTCGTCGGTGGTGTGCGATCGCCTCAATCCGAACTCGGTGCTGGAGTACGTGTGCGCCAAGTCCAAGATCAGCAACAGTTGCCGCAGCGGATTGCTGGCCCAGGTGCCGGAAATCCTCAAGAGCGGACCGCGTTCCGACACTGAGCGCCTGGCCTTCATGCAGCAGCTGCTGGTGCAGTGCAGCCCCGGCGACGACCAGCTCCTCGATCTCATTGACCTTCTGATGCGCACGCGTCGCGAGCGCAACAGCAGCAGCACCTCAACGCTCATTTCCAAGGGCGTTGCATCCGTCGCTGAAAGCCCAGACAACGTGGCCGAGACCGCGGCAGACTCCTCATCCAACCTGTAAGTTGGACCGGGTTAAAAGTCTAGGTGAAATATTACGTAGTTGGCCATTTCCCTCGGCTGAGGATTGGAATTCGATTGTATCTGCTTAGATTTATATAGTTATGTTTAATTTGAATTATGTTAAGTACAAATTTTATGCCCGTTGGTGTATTACGTTTCGGCTACAATGAATGGCTTCATTTTTTAATAAATTTGAATTTTAAATTATGTATCCGACGATGAAAAACTTAATTGAAAAAACATGAAAGAAAGCTAGCTTCGGCGACCCCTGATAAAAAGAATAACATTTTCTACAAGCAAATTGCGAGGAATTAAATTGCAAACACCAGGCCAACATAACCGCTTAGCAGGTGTAAATCGATCAGCTGATCAGCTTAAAATTGGCTTGTTCAGTGTTGAGCGCGTGACAAATTATTCTTGTCACGCCAGCAACAACCACATGGAAATTAATTAATTACTCGTGCGCGGCATGCCACTTTCGTGACACGCACAAAGAATCAGCGTGGTTTCGCATCTCTGATCTGACGCTTTGTTTGAAATAACGGTTCTTTCGAGTGATACGACGTTCTGATTGGTGGAAACAGTGAGGGGAAGTGTGCCAAGGACAGTTATCTTAAAAAAGAACCGTTATTTAAGTAAATTCAGTTTTACCAGCAGCAACCTGCTTTGGATTATGTTGGCCTGGTGTCAGAAATCGAATTTTATATTGAAATTGGTTGGTTTCAAGATCCCAAACACCAGGCAAATAGAAAGGCTTAGTAGGTGGATGCTCAGCAGCAACCTTTATGTATAAAAGCAGGGGCGGGCGCAAAAAAAATTTGGGGGGATCCGATCGAACAATTTTTTAGTTTGGCGTGGGCGTCCGATCAAAAAATTATTTAGTTTATATGGTTGAAGGACCGTGTGCTGCAAGGGGTTTTGAAGACGTCTGAGATTTCGGGGGGAGTCCGGACATCCTGGCTCACCCCTGATAAAAAGAACAACATTTTCTGCAAGCAAATTGCGACGAACTGAATTGCAAACACCAGGCCAACATAACCGCTTAGAAGGTGTAAATCGATCAGCTGATCAGCTTAAAATTGGCTTGTTCAGTGTTGAGCGCGTGACAAATTATTCTTGTCACGCCAACAACAACCACATGGAAATTTATTAATTTTTCGTGCGCGGCGTGCCATTTCGTGACACGCACAAAGAATCAGCGTGGCTTCGCATCTCTGATCTGATGCTTAGTTTGAAGTAACGGTTCTTTCGGGTGAGACGGCTTTCTTATTGGTGGAAACAGTGAGGGGAAGTGTGCCAAGGACAGTTATCTTAAAAAAGAACCGTTATTTGAGTTAATTCAAATTAAACAGCTGGAGCCTGCTATTGATTATGTTGGCCTGGTGTCAGAAATCGATTTGGGTAGCAAAATCGGCGGTTTTTGGGAATCCAAACACCAGGAAAACATAACTTTGAAGTAAGTGACTGTGCAGAAGCGCTACTTGGTATAAAACAACAACAATTTCTGCTAGAAAATTGTGACGAACTGAATTGAAATACCAGGCAAACATAACCGATTAGAAAGTACAGAACGATCAGCTGATCAACGCTTGATGCTTCTTTCAAATAACGGTACATCCTAGCGAGATGGTTCTCTGATTGGAGGGAACAGTAAGGGGAAGCGTGCCAAGGACAGTTATCTTAAAAAAAAACCGTTATGTGAGTTAATTCATTTACCAGCTGCAGCCTGCTATTGATTATGTTGGCCTGGTGTCAGAAATCGGTTTGGATGATTTTACGACGCCGAATACCATGAAAAATATGTGCTACCTTCCTATTGGTCAACCAATAGCAAGACAGCTCGATGTAATTTATCCAAATCAGCCGACACTAGCTGCAAATTATGTTGGCTTGGTGTAGCTGGCTGCTGGATTTTAAGTACCAGGCTATCAGAGCGCATAAGTAAATAAAAAAATTGGAAACTTTATTATATTATTTTAATCATGCCACTGTAAAAGTCAGAATTCTTTTCATATTTTGTCAGGTCAAAGTTTTTGCTTTAACAGCAATTGTTACTTAATCATGTTTGCGATCATGCGGTCGCTATGGCGATTTCGAATGTCAAGAATCTGGAGACTTCGTCGGTGCAAAATAATATTGGTATTTGTTTTTGTGCTACTTTTTGCCAATTGGGATCATCTGGTTAAAAATGCGGAAAACAACGAACGGATGGGTAAGAAATATAGGACTACAAAACTTACATATATCTGAGAACGAGGAATTTTTTTCTTGACAGCGGAACTACCTGGCTGGGAACGCAACAAGTCCCTGAAAATAGGATATTATATGGACCCAATGAAAAACACAACTCTTCTGATGCCCAAGAATTTTTGTCGCAGCAAAATTCTTGTGGTAATTGCCGTGTGCTCCAGTCTAGAGCACTTTTCTAAGCGGCAGACTATCCGAGAAACCTGGGGAAAAACGAAAGAGTTTAACTACGGAACTTTTCAAAAATTACATAGTCATCTCGATGGAAAATACCTGCCTATTATGACAGCTCGTCTGAAGTTGTATCTAATAGGATCTGGTAAATCGTTGAGCGCCAAAATAAGGATTGTATTCATCGTAGGGCGAGCCAAGCAAGACTCCCTTCTGGAATCCGAGAAGTTATACAGAGAGTCAAATGATTACAACGATATAATTCAGGAGAACTTCGTAGACAGCTACCACAACCTGACCATAAAATCCGTAATGGTCCTGAAGCACATCAGCCGAAGTTGCGCTAGGACCTCTGCCTTCCTTCTGAAATGCGACGATGATAGCTTTGTAAATGTGCCCAACCTGATCCATTTCCTACTGGGTGGCACAATACCTCTCTATAAGGACACTGTGGAGTATCACAATCTTGCCAACTACAAAGTTATGTCGCCGTGGATTCGGCTAAACTCCACCAGAGGAGTGATGTACGGCAACAAGTTCTGCAACATGGAAGCCAACAGCGATGCGTCGAGTCCTTGGTACATGCCGGAATACATGTTCGCGGGAGCCAAGTATCCACAGTACCTTTCCGGAACCGGCTATCTGCTCTCCATCGATGTGGTGCAGCGGCTGTACGAGGAAGCGCTAACCACACCCCTCGTCCACCTGGAGGACGTCTTCGTAACTGGAATTTGTGCAGAGAAAGCGGGAATCCAGCGAAGCCATCATCCACTCTTCAACTACCTCCACGGGAAGCCACTGTGCACCCTGAAGGGAATCATAACACTGCATCCGATACCCGAGGACAAAATGTTACAGGCCTGGAACTTTGTTTCCAACTTCAACACCAAATGTCCTCCACCAGATCGGCATGGAATCAAAAGGTTTATTACTGAGAAATCGCACTGTTAGCATCATCCACTGAAGTGGTCTTTATTCGTCATAAGATAGCTTAGAAATACACATTTAAATTAATATCAATCTATTCCTCTATTGATAAATTTATTTGCAATGGTTTTTCGTATTCCATTAATTATCTGGCTATATATTTATAAATAAACATTTAGGGGAGATACAAAATTGTTCTTCTTAAATTGCTTTATAAATTCCGTGGGGTTTACTGACTTTTTAAGCGGTTTCGAAACTTAACAATGCATTTTATAATGCAATATCTTATTCTATACTATATGCGCACATTGATACAAACTCAAATTCTAATTGAGTTGCGTAATTGTTTTTATTTTTGTGCACACTTAGTCATTTGTTTTGTTTTTTTGGTGCAAATGGACTAAATATGTGAAATTAGTTTTTACAAATGTATAACCAAAACAATATATTTACAGAAAACTTGTTAGGCATTTTGTTAGCATTTTTAGGGTTTTTAAGGTCCAGTGCTATAATTTCACGAAGATGTAACCCCGAAAGACCTGGAAAAACTAGCCAACAGTTTGAGAAGAATCCACAGCAGACTCACTAACTTGTGTGGTTTCGATTGCGATGTCGCCATTCTCGCGGGAGCTTTCACTTTCTTTAGGGAACCGTTGGGATTTACTTGACATCTTGCTTTCATCTTCTTTAAGAAGAATCTCTGGCGGCTCTGAGGTTTCGAGGGGAAGGTCTTCAATTAGAGCATTCGAATCCAGATCAGTCTTATCGTCATTCGTATTTTCAGAAGTCAGGACACTGGGACTATCCAAGGCATTCATCAAGTCTTCAGTCGCTGCACAGAGTTCAATGCCATCCATGGAAATGTCTTCGTCTATTCCGCAGTCAAGTAACTCCTTGGGAGTTTCGACAAGCTCGGTTACGTCCATGCTTTCTATGAGTTCCGCTACGGAAGGCTCGCCATTTTCATCGCAAGTTTCCATGGCCTCCGCGCTGTTTGAGTTTTCTTGGTCTGTAAGCGGCTCGCTTTCAATAACTTTTTCTTCCTCCACAGATTTCTCTGCAACCTCTTCTGTATCCTCAGCAGAATCCTTTTCCGAATTCATTGAAGAATCCTTTTCGCAATTTTCGGCCGAATCCTTACTTTCTTCGGGTTTTTCTTTGTCCTCAGATATTTCCGTTTCCATTTCTTTTTCTTTGAGTTCATCTATTTCACTTATTTCTGCATCGGAAGTTTTCTCGGGACTCTTTTTTTCATTATCGGCAATTATAGTTGGATTAAGATCTTTCTCAGTCGTTTCTTCTGTCACATCTTTCTGTTCCTTCTGATCTGTCTTTTTCTTATCCAAAATGGTTTGTAAGTCTACTTCCATTTCTGCAGTATCAGATTTTGATACTTTTTCTTTCGGAGGTGAAAGTTCTTTTTCCGAAACCTTTTCAGATACTTCTGTCATTTCCGAAGTAGAAGGACTTTCTTTGGAGTTTACTTGCTCATCCTTTTTTAAAACATTTTGAGATGCGTTCTTATTTTCTTCATTTTTTTTATCCTTTGTTAATGTAATTTCATTGTCAGCTTCTATTTCTTTTTCAATTTCTTTCGAAGCAAGTTGTTCTTCCGATGTTTTAGCTTCTTTAGTTTTTATGCTTTGTTCTTGTGTTAGTTTTTCTTCCGTCAATTGCTTTTCCGTTTCGCCTATTTTTGCTTTTATTGCCGCTTTTAATAAATCACCAATTTTTTCTTTGCTTTTGATTTTTTCCTTGTCAACTTCAACAACCTTTTTAATTGCGTTTTGTTCATTCGGGGACTCCGTTTCCTCCTTATCTTTTGGCTCTTTCTCTTCAACTGCATTCAAACTTGACGTTTCCTCTGGCTCCATACTTTGCTGTCCTTCGGCCTCCAAAGAAGGATCCTTTTCTGCCACAGAATTCTTTCTCTCTGCGGCAAGTTGGGCCTGTTTGCGGCATTCCTCCTTCCATTTGCGGGCGACCTCGAACTCTTCCTCCGCGCGCCTTAACTTGATCACAACCTTCTTTTTCAGCTTGGCATCGAATTTCTTCATGTCCTCCATTCGCTGGCGCTCCAGCTGCAAAAGCGCCGGATTGGGCTTGTTTGTTGTCTTCTTGCGCGGCTGCTTCTTTTGGCCTGGCGAAACGGATTTGGGGCGATTGGTGTTCTCGCCGATGTCCACTTCCAATAGGCTGGCCAATATCGTGGAGCTGAAGGCAGCCACATCGATGTCGACCTGGTTGTGGGCTTCCCTTTGTTCCTTTTTCGGTGCCGCCGATGTCACTGAGGTTATCTTCATGATTGCCTTCTGCTGAGGCGGCTGCGTGGACGTCGAGGGCGTGTCATCTTCGTTGTCCGAATCGATGGTGATCGTATCCGTTTTGGGCTCCACAATTTCGATTTCATTGTCCTCGTCGTCGCTGGCTTGTTTTTCTGTAAGATGGATTATTGGATTATTAAGTAAAACAACTTAAGTAATAAGAAAAGCTCATATATATAATATATATAAATAAAACCAAATAACTTGATGTGATCAAAACGTAATTTGTATTTTTAAGTATGGCTCCTGGCAAAGTTGGCAAATACAGTTTATTAATGCTTAACCTATAATCTCAAAGTACAAAAACCTTAGCCTAGAAAACGACTGGAATGTAATGTCTAAATGTGGAGGAATCGCATCTCCTCGAGCGGAAAGTTCTTGCGCAGCTTCTGTAGCTTCCGCTCGCTGACCCGCGGATGCCGCTCCATCTCGCGACAGTAGCACTCGTAGGCGAACTTGGCCATCTGCCAGCGGAGCTTGCAGGCCTGGGCGTCCCGCTTGAAGCGCGGCAACCGCCTGGCCACCTCCGGCCAGAGCCGCTCCCTGGCACCCACATCGCTGTAGTCCACATGGCGGGGATTCCACAGGGTGGGATACGCGCGCATGGCCAGAACCAATTGCTGTGAGAACTGCTTGTCATCGGGCATGTCTTTGAGCTTCAAGTCGGAATCTCCACCCTCCGGGACACAATCCTGCAGCGGCTCGAACTCGTCGCGGAGGTCCTGCTCATCGATCTTGTAAAGGAAATACAGGCTGGCCAAGTACTTCGAGTACTTCAGCTCCAGATTCGCAAAAATTCCTTTGTCTTTAATACTTTTGAGGCGGAAAGATTTGTACATCTCGTACATTTGCTGCCAGCGCTCCACAAGATACTCGCAGGCATAATCTGAAAGAGTTGAGCAGTTCGTTTGGATTAGAAAACCACAATTAAAAGGCCAAATAAAAACTCACTGGGCGCCGACTTCCAGAAGTTCTGCCACAGGGACTTTCGGGTTTGCTCGTCAATACTGTTGAACTCGGGATCCGCTGACTTGCGCCAGAGAACCGGATGGCTTTTGGCAAAGGTGATGATGCGCTGGTCAATGGAACGCACCTCGAGTGGACGCACTGGCGCACGAGAGCCAGGTTTTGCTTTGAGTTTTATGATTGGATTCTTCGGCGGCTTGATGTTCTGCTCCATTGTGTTTTCGATGACGTCCAGGTGCTTGCGCTCGAAGCCATCGCCATCATCCTCACCGCAGTCTACCGCCAGCCACTCGCTTCTCGGCCGATCCCTGTTTTCCAAATAGTTTGTGGCCTTGTCGAAGTAGCCCTTAAATCGCTTCCCCTGCTTCAGGCGCCTCTCAATGCGAACGTAACGCTTCCGTACGTTTTTCCATCGCAGTTTAATATTATCGCCGCGTGGAAAGTGTGTGGCGATCACTCGCCACTGTTTGTTAGTGACCTCCTTCTTGCCGTAATCCGGATGACGAGTGCACCACAGCGACGGATACTCTCGGAGGAGTCTCGTCAACTTGCGATCGTAAGCGTGAGCTTGTTCGTTGCGATTCATGCTCTCCTCGGTGCCGAGTTCTCCGCACTCCTCGTTGTCCAAGTCATCGTCGTCTAAATCATCGTCCAGATCGTCCGGTTCATCGTAGTCGAAATCATCAGCTTCTTCTTTCTCATTTTCCGCTTCGTCCGGCTGCAGTTCCTGCACCTCTTCCGGTTCCTCCGGTTCATCAATGGGATCACCTTCGGCTCGAACTCCCAGTGGCATTAGCGGCGGCAGAGGACCGCAGTCCTCGCCATCCTTCAGATTGGCATGCAGGCTTTTTCTGTATTCATAGACCTGATTGTGGAAACTGCTGCAGCCCGTGTTGAAGAGATCCACGTCGTCCAGCTGGCCATAGCACACATAGTCCACAGCTGCAAGAGGAGAGAGTTAGCATCACTGAAAAAACTGCTGCTGGGTTCTATTCCATTGCCTGTTCTGGATGGTATTTCGCAAACACATGGACCAAGCTAAATCAAAATCTCGTCGTCATCGCAGCCAATGAAATGGAACTCGCAGAGTTTTTCATAAACACAGCATACTTACATGCTCATCAAATCATTATCACCATTAGCTTCAAAATAAAAACACACGCGGAAAACGAAAACCGAAAATCAAATGCCAACGCCCGTCCATGTGTCGAAAATACGCACCAAAGACAGGAAAAGGGATAATCCTACTACCAAGTTATGGAGTACGATTTATAACATTATTTTTTATATAAAAAGTTATGAAAGTTTTGTAAATAAATTAGCAAAACGTCATCTCGAATTTAACCTCTAGAATATATGTGTGGTATTTTTATAACAAATCTAACCTGATTTAACACCGGTTCAATTCTATTATAAGAATTATGTTAAACTCACCAGCAGCTAATTGTCCGTTTTCCAGACTGTTGGCGTCGTTCTTGAAGCCCTTCTCCCTCATGTCCACCAAACACTTCTCCTGCAGATTTTTGAACCGCCCGATGGCGTAGGTCATCAAATAGGACATGTGGATGTACAGCTCCTTGAGTTCCATAAAGTTGCGCACTTGATTGTAGGCGTTCGAGTGGGTGAGCGATAATACTTTGCCGGTGAGATGTGTGCAGATGTCCATGGCGCTGAAGATCTGCTCCTGCAGCTGGGCGCGTGCCTGGCCCATCGGCGTGTTGGGGAAGCTCTGCCGCACCAGAGTTGGTGCCTTCGGCGGAGGCGTGGGTAGCGGCGCAGGAGTAATCATGAGTGTCTGGCCACCATTGGCATTTAGTGGCGGGCCTTGTAGCGGTGGAGCCACTTGATTTGCGTTCCCAACGCGCACATGCGGAGCCCTCTGCTGCTGGTTCGTCTGCGGATTGTAGATGCCCATATTGCTGCCGTAGTTGCTGATGTGCACTGCGGGTCTGTTTGCCGGAATCGGAGGTCTAGGGCGGATGACCACACCTGAAGGAATGGATACCGTTGGCGGTGGTGGCGGTGGAGCTGGTGTCGGTTGACCGGCCTGCGGCATCTGGCGCTTCACCTGAATCAAACGGCCGTTGGGCAGACGATAGGAGTCCTGTTGCGCTGCGCTGTTTAAATCCACGCGGAACCCATTGATCGTGTGGAAAACAGGACCAGTGGTCTTCACCGAGTTCGGCACCACGGTTCGCCGCACCACATTCGGGGCACCAGGAGCAGGCTGCCGGTAGCGAATCCCCGAGCCACTGAGCACCAGCGGAGGTGGCAAACTGTTGCGCGGATTTGACATTGCAGAGGAGCCGCTTGCACTCCCATTGCTGTTGCTGGAACTCGGTGATGGCTGGTAGTTCTGCTGGACGGTGACAATTCTCGGAGTGGTGGTGATGTTGGCCGCCGGAACGGGCTGACGACTTCCCGAGGGCTTCTGTTGTACTGACAGTTGGCAGTCCGGCTCCAACATGCTAAGAAGATCCGGTGTGCAGACCACTTCGTCGTTGGAAGGCTTTGAACGCTTAGCTAGCGGCCCTGAGGAGCCGGCTTTCGGCATCGATCCTCTTTTTGTCGAGCTCACCGAGCTGGCATGGCTGCGTTTGGAGACGTTGGACTCTAGGCTCTCCATAGAGTCGGACAAACTGCTAGTTTTAGACTTGGCCAGGCGGCAGCAGTTGCTGTTATCCTTAAGCATATGGCGACGTGCTTCAACCTCGGGCAGCTGCAAGCTTTGAAGGGCTCTGTAATATAAGGGAAGTTTTGAATTATAAAGGTATGTTACAATTGAAACAATTGGCACTGCTGCACGAATCAATATAGGATACCATCACACACCTCTTTTGTGTCTGGATATAGTTAACCAAGGCCCAGTGCTGGGCGCGCAGTGGCCAGAGGATCTTGGAGGTGCAGCTGAAGCAATTCCAGTGCTCGTTTTGCTCAATGTCCACGATGACGCCCTTGGAGAGGTTCTTCACGATGCAGGACTTGCAGAAGACATAGGGGCAGGTGGAGCAGCAGTAGACTTCACCTCCTTGCCCGCACCAGCGGCAGTACAGCTCGGAACCGTCCTCGCCCTTGGAAAACTCGCCGCTGTTGTAAAAGTCGTGACACTTGACGCAGTGCGTCACGCGCAGGATGGGATGCATGCGGATGTTGGAATCGGATGCGGGCGCGGTGCCCAGATGCAGTTTGCACACTGTGCAGTGCACCTTCCGCTGGTTCACCAGATCCACGTAGGGGTACATCTTCATGTAGAACCGACGCTCCTCTTCCGAAAGCGAGGGGTGCATCTCGAATTTCGTACCTGGTTATGGATAGCAAGGAGTAATCAAACATCGAAATCTTGTGCATCCTTGAGTATCACTTACACGTGAAATCCACATCCAGTTTAGCCAGCGGTGATGGTGAAGGCGTCGCTACCTTCACCAGGGCACTTTCGGCGCCCGGCGTGCTGCCGCTCATGTTTGTATCCCTGTATCCTGCTCCTGGCACTTGCAAGTTCTAGGATCCGCGCGAATTTTTGCAAGAACCACAAACAATTCACAATTTAGTGCTGTCGCTGCAAAAAATATGAAGCGGCGCGTTAATCGCACACTTTTAATGCTTGCTAGCAACAACAACAACCTCAACACTGACGCGTGTTTATATTTTTACTAGCTGCGCCAACCGGCAAATTTACAGTTTTGAAATTTCCTTTAACAATTTGTGCACAGCAAAACTCATCGAAAATGCGAAAGAAAAGATTTTTTCACACATGAGAATGACAGCCAGCTATTCGGTATAATTTTCAATATGGCTGCCCCTTCGGTTCGAAGCCGAAGTCGATAATACGAAGTATATATAACAAGTTTGGAGCGATACTCTATGTATGATTTTGGAGGGAAACCCTTTTAAGTCTTATCCCTAAAAATCCTAAATATTTAAAGGTACAGAAGGTAAGAAAAGTATAGAATTACATGTGCCCAAATCCTTAAAAACTTCCGATCGTGAAAGAAACCAATTTTAAAAACCGCAGAAAAAAGCAATTTCAAACTTAATACTTGAGCTTTCTATTACTTTTAGGCTTATATTAAAATATTTCATATAGTTTTGGTATTTTTGGATAAAATATACTTCAAATTGGATCAATGTTTGCAAAACTCCACAACCCTAAAACAACTAGTTGTCCCTTTCGCACTTACAGGCAGTCCATTAAAACACGAACGCGTTAAGAAAGAGAACCCAGTAATTTACCAATCATTTTAAGAAATTAACAATACCAAAAGTTCAAAAATTATTAAAATTACGTGGCACTAACTTATATGGGTAAAATTTTAAACTTCGCCCAGTAAGATAGTTCAATGTAAACGATATTAGTGTGACCGTAGACGATATGCCAATGTTTTCAAAATTGCATATATAATTCAACTATGAATCAAAAAATAGAGATATACACAAGTCATTAAAAACTGCAAAACAATATAAGAGTGAAGCAAAAAATTTTAAACCACGTAAGAAATCAAGGATCATGAATTTTGTAAATTTAACTAGTGTAATTTTCTCGGCTAATCACAGATTTATCACGTTTCGAATGTCAATGACATAACTTTGCCTAAAAAACTTATAAAGTGATAGATATTGAAGACGGCAGGAAGCTTTAACGAGATCGTGATCAATTACAAATTCGACGTAAAATCGTAATAAAACTCTTATCACAAACTCCATTAAATTTTAATAAAGCTTGTTTTTTTCTTCAAAAATATCGATATAATAGTATCGATATAGTCGATATTTCTATCGATAGTTTTTAGTTAAGTTATTTTTTTTTATAAAACCTTCTTAAATAAATGCATTTTAAGTAAGGAAATTGTAATTTAAGCCCTTTAGCAGCTTCTCTACAAATATTAAAATGACACCCTTGTAATACCGAACATTTCATAAAGCCTGTGCTTTGTTAACTTATGAATATAAATAAGGCCATAAAAATGTTAATTTTACTTAATATCAGATATTGAAATTCGTCAAATGATACTAAACTACAGGGGATAAGATTCCATGAAGTCACAACTTCGTGAACAAGTCACAATATCGCCAAAAGGAAACTATCGCAAGTATTGCCCATCTCAGATGCAATACAAAAATCATTGTGTACGAAAACAAACTTTTCTGGAACTTTTGTAACGTTTTGTTGTGAAAATAAAATGTTGTAAACTTTTGCTTTCAAGATAAGGATAACTGACAGCTAAGAAGCTCTGGAAAAACAGACAAAACAATGTAAGCTGATTTTTTTTCCACCTAAGCATAAATTAGAGCGTTTCGTTCTTGATCCCGTTCAGAAATTGTAAAGGATTTCTGTGGTCGCCATGGAGAGTGCATCGGCTGCCAAGACGGGTGATTTCTTCTACGGATGGGATCTGCTCTACAAGACGGTCCAGTCCGAAGTGGACAAGAAGTCTGACCTCCTGATCGCCCTAGTCCACTTTCTGCTGACCAAGCACTACAACTTTCGCTGCGTAGGCATCGGCGATGATGTGAGTAGGGATCTATTGCAGTATTTATCCCTGGAATCATCTATACGATATTCCTAGAAAACACTGCCGGAGGAGGAGGGTAGTGAGCTGCTTCCGGATAACTGGAACGATGACGATACAAAGTACTCCTTGCGCTACGTGCACGACAAGATGCTGTACCTGCTGCTGGGTCACATCACCGAGGATGCTTTGTTGATAAACCTGATGGACATCAACACCAAGAAGGTTTCTAACATTTGCGTAGAACCAGAGACCCTAGTCGCCGCCGTTAAAGGAGGTATCACTACGTTGATGCCCAGCGCCTCAGAGATTGTCGACCGCTATCGCAAGGAACTGCTGGACCCCGTCTTCACCGGAAACTCTCGCGAGGTTACTACCCAGACAACAGCCGCCCCGCGCCCCAGCGGATCGGATCCCCTACGTATCGGCGAACCCAGACGTGGCGGGTAAGTCTTAACTACACTTTATAAATTGCCATGTTTAGTTAGCAATTGTAACACCCACTCTCTTATTTTAGATCTTTTACACCAGGAAGCTTTGAGCCGCGTCCTTTTGGCTTTCCAGACATTGGTCGCGGGGATCTGGACCCACTGGGTCGCGGTGGTCCTGGTAACCTGTTCACCTTTCCATCACGACCAAATATGGGGCCGGGACCTTTGCCTCGCTTCGATCCGTTCAGCCCTCTCAATCCGAATGTGCCAGGTCAGGGTGGACCCAATCCGGATCACATGCGTCCACCCAATTGGAATCCCGACTATTACATGTGATCTCCAAGAATGCCAATAATGCACTGGAGGCATAGTCTGGCATAGCTCGACATTAAAATCATTAGTTTAATATTATAAAGGCGGGAGATATTTTTTAAAACTAAGAAGTTGAATTAATTTTTTGAAAGATAAATTTATTATTTTTCATACACAATACAAAATATTTCGATATAAAATAAAAAGCAGCCAGAGCGACCATTCAGAAATTAGCAGGGCTGTTCGGGTTTTCGCAACTCTGTAAAAGTGAATACCCGAACAGGCCTGTTTCCAAATTGTCGGCTGGCCAAGAAAAATTTACAAAAATCTTAAGAATTAACTGAACTTTTAATGTAATGTAATGGCTATTCATTCAACTCGTACAACAGGGTAAACAAAATTGGCTCAAGTGCGTAATCTCAAAACAGCTAGGGGAAAAGCGCGAAGTATCCCTTTTCGTACCACTAAATATTAGAATGGTTTGCGTTTGCTCTTGCTTTCTCTTGTTTTGTTTGCTTATGCCTAGCCTAATATTATTTTACCATAATATTTTGCTAAATTAATATAATGTAAATAATATTTCAAGCTGTGTGCAGCCGGTTGACTTAAATTAGCTCTGCTCGGGCAGCATTGTTTCCGCGCGCCGGGAAGTGCAAGTGGTGTTTCTATTTGTGCCTTGGCCGCTCAAAATCCGGCTAAAAGCCCGCCCAAGTGCGGTGCGGTGCGATCTCGGCTCAGTCCCATTCCCCGATGAACATGCGTGGTGTGGGCACGTAGCCGCGCGTTGGCAGCGGTAAATGGCGTCCGTAGATGTGATTGTAAGGTGATTCAACAAGCTCCGAATCTACAAGAAGCACAGAGATTTTGGTTTACAAAACGGGTGCGGAAATGTTTTTCGGATTATGAATGAGATTATGTAGGGCGGATTGATTTTGGCGGTGGATCTAAGCAGGGGTATAGTAATCTTTGGTAAATGCTCTAATAGGTTTTACTTCGCGAACACATTACATCTTTGAAATCGAATTGAGATTCATATCAAATTTGTTTCTAATATAGTTTTCTTGAAATTCCAAAGACTACTTGCCACTACTCAATTCACCACCATTTGAATCAACCCTTTCGTAGTTTGTGTATGTACAATTGCGTTGCGTGACTGTCCAAGGAGTCCAAGGTACCGAGTTAGTAGACATTTCGTACAGTTTAGTGGTTCTGGTTCTGTTCACCGGGTAAAAGAGGTAACCATGACGCGTTGGCAGGTATAGTATGTACAGAGCGGCCCATTCTCCGACCCAAAAAAGGGGTAACAATAACTAATATCGATGATGTCTGGGCCATATAACCTCGTTTCGATTTAGAGCAACCCCATACAAATTCACGTGTCCGCCCGTTTCAGTAGTCGAGTATTTGGATTTTCTTCAGGCTGAGGCTGCGCGGCTTGCGGGGCTTCAGGTAGCCATAAATGGACTCCATGTCGCTGATGTCAAGGCGGCTGGCACTGCGCCCGGTTCTGGTGCCCGTCGCAGGAGGAGGAGCAGCGGGAGTCGCCGGAGGAGCCGCCAGGGTATTGTTCGCCGCTGGGCTGGTGGCCAATGTTGGGTTCATTGTTGGCCCGCTAGCTCCTCTGGCTTTTCCGCCTGCTGCTCCTGCTCCTCCCGCTGCTCCTCCGCCAGATGTTGCTGCTGTGCTTGCTGATGTTGCTGTCGCTTTCGCTGCTGCTCCTGCTGCTGCTGCTGCTGCTGCTGCTGTTGCTATACTTTTGTTTTTACTATTGAAATAATTTTTGCTTTTCAACATGTCGTCATTGTCTTGCTTGGCGTTCGTTAGCTGTCTTTTGTGCTGGTTGTTGTTGCTGTTGTGGTTGTGGTTGTGGTTGTTGTTGCTGTTGTTGTTGCTGCTATTGCTATTGTCATATCTTTGTCTTTTGTCAGCGTTTTGAGCCTGCTCCTGTCGCTTGCCGCCTCGCCAACTGGGCGCTGGCAGCATCGGCGGCTTCTTGTGGCCCTGGCCCCTTTTTGGTCCTGCCGCACCGCGCCCCCTGTCCGCGGAGTCCGTGGAGCCGCGCACCCGGTCATAGATGTTGGCCGCCGACGGCGCCTTCACCGCAATCCGCTTCCTGCCGCCGTACATGTACAGCGAGCCCTCCTCGTTCGGCTGCTCGAAGAAGCTCTCGGTGGACTGCGACTTGGTGCGCAGCGCCGCCGGCGTCCGCAGCTGGCGCAGATGCGTCCGGTCCACGTACATGTCCACCGTCTCGGTGCCCCTGTTGCGTCGCGGTATGTTCTCGGTCAGACCCAGGTCGTCGTCCAGGTCGAAGGCCATGTCGAAGTCATCGTACTCGTAGCAGTCGTCGTAGCGTTCGTTCCCCGCTCCCTGGGGCTCCAGCTCCAGCACGGAGACATCGCTCTCGCTGCACCACTTGACCACTCCCGGCCGGATCTCCGGCTCCACCTGGCTGCCGCTCAGCCGCTGGTGGCGCCGCAACTGCTGCTGGCTAAGGCTGCGCTGCGGACGAGGCGGAGGAACTGCACCGCAGAGCGGAGCCAGGGCGTAGCAGCTCACGCAGTTGCAGGCGGAGCTCTCCTCGGGCGCAGGTCGACGGGTGGACAGGCGCCGCGTCACCTGGCGACCCACTGAGTCCTCCAGGTTGTCGTAGTACGGCTGCGGCAACGAATGTTGCTGCTGCTGCGGTTGCAGCGGCGGCGGCGGCGGAATGTGTTGCTGCGGTGCCGCGACGTGTTGCTGCTGCAGGTGGGCGTGCCGCTCGCAGTGGTGACCGTGCCGGTGGTGTCTGTGGTGCGGATGTGCGTGCGGATACGCGAGGTGCGGATGCGAATGCGGATGTGCCTGGTGGTGGCTACGTGCTTTGTTAGCTGTGCTTTGTGTCTTGTTGTTGTTGTTGGCAGTGATGGTTGCCGTTGCCGTTGCAGTGGTTGCTGTTAGGTCCGTTGGCAGTGACAGTGGTTGTTGTTCATGTTGATGTTGATGTTGCATCTGCAGCTGCTGATGCTGATGCATCTGCACTTGCAGTGCGTGCGATTTGTGTGGTTGGTGGGGCGTGCTGGGCCCTCCCTGTTTATAAATACCTATGCCGCTCTCATAGCTGCGGGTCTGCCAAATCTGGTGGTGCTGCTGCTGCTCCCGCTGGTGGCCGCCGTGGTGGTGCTGTGCCGCATGCGCAGCCGCCGCCGCGGCCATCAGCTGCTGCTGCTGCTGCTGCTGCTGCAAGTGGTGCGGGTGCATGCCGCCCAGGTGGTTGTGGATCATCGAGGTCTTCTTCTGGCTGAGCGTGCTGATGCCGCCGTTGCCGATGTTGTTCCCGTTCCCGTCCCGCTGATCCTTGGCTCCCTGCCCGTTGTTTGGCTTCCCGGACTTCACAAAGTTCGGCACTCGGGCCCGCAGGCCGCAGTAGTAGGGATCATCTGCGGAACACACATTATACATTTTAATATACAATTAAACGTATGACTATATTTTTAGTGGTTATTTAAGAAAAACGATGATTTTCTTTACCTAGTAAAATTTATGGGTCTAAGTTGCTTTGTTATTGTTTGGAAATCATAAGAGTTATTCATAAAATCAGTAAAACAAAAATAAACAAGGCAGTAAATTGAGCATTAGAATATGCCAATAAAAATTGTTGAATTAAAGAATGCAATAAGGTTATTTTAGAACTTTTGCTTAGCGAACTTTGACTGTAAGTTACAAAACTTCGGGTTAAGAAAGTTTGATTCTATGTTATGTATTTATTCTTATGTGAGCATACACAAAAATTTGTTAAATATATTCTTCGTCCGAAGGTTTAAAATACTTCACGCTCGCCTAGTAAAACCCTTCCTCTATTATTCATTCATTCCCACAACGTTCTAAGCGAAGAAGAGATTTCAAAGAAATCCTAAGAGATTGCGGTGTCTCATAAATTCAGTGCTCAATAGGTATTTGGGTCAATGTGATTTCCGAGGCACCGTTGTGTAAGTCCCACCTAACATCGAGCGATCTTGATCTTACCATATTTCTTGTTATCTTTGCCCTTGTCCGATTTGCCACGCGACAGTTTGATGCGAGTCTCCAAGTCAATGTCATCGTAATCCGGCTGAAATGAGTGAAATATGCATAGCGGAATTAGAAGGAAAGTGGTTGGGCGATGGGCGATGGGCTTTGCGATCATAATTTTCCACTGGCCGTTGCGCAAGGTGTGTCCAGCAGTTTGGCACAGCGGACCACCGACCACCGAGCTCCCCAAGAAGCACTGGCTCGGTCGTTGGGCCCAATTGGCAATCGAGCTGCAAAGCAATCTGGCGGCATTCCGCGCATATTAATTACACGCGATTCGTTTGCAGTTATTTGCGGCCAGTCGCTGCTGAAATTCGAATATTATTGAGTGCAATGCAATGCAATGCAATGCCAATTGCCCACTGAGGCTCAACGGCGAAATCTTCGCGGGCAGTTCCATGAGTTCCAAGAGTTCCATAAGATCCATGAGCGTTCCATGAGGGAGACCCATATTCAGCGTTTTGCAAGTGGCCGCATTGCGGCATGCATGTGACCAAGCTTGGCCAGTCAAACTAACTAGCCAGCCAGCCAGCCAGCCAGCTAACTAAATAACTAAGTAACTTCGCTGGCGGTGCCCACGGAGTAACTCAACCCAGCGAGTCGACTCGACAGGTTGCCACACTTCTTCTGGCCCGGCGTGGCTTGTCCTACTCGTGTTTTGGCGCTGCCGAATTTGTTCCGACACTTTGCCAGCAAATGAGCTGCACTTGGGCAATCTCCCACACTTCGCTTGCTCCCCAGTAAGCCATAAAAAATATGTGTGTACTGCATGCCCAAAGATCAAAACCAAGTGACGTGGGTGTCACTTGTCATTAAATCGCAAACGAAACTCTAAACCCTTTGAACCTTTGCTGCACTATTACTGTTACTATTATTATTACTATCCTCAATATATATAGTATTTCCTTACCTTTGGAATCAGATCGTGCGAGTAGATATTATCCCTGGGCGGCAGTTTTGGTGGCTTCTCGCTGCGCTTGTGGGCCAGCTGTTGCGTCTGGAGGAGCAACTGTTCCCGGGTGGCGGCCACATGGCCTCCTCCGTTGCCGTTCAGGTGCTTGCCCAGCTGCTGCTGTTGCTGCGCGTGCAGCTGCGACTGGTGGCCACTGCCGAATCCAGAGCTTCCCGAGCTTCCGCCACTTCCGTTGCCCGCCACGCTGTAGGGATCCTCGTCGGGAATCGGAATGCGCGGGCGGTTCTTGATGTCGACAATGGGACGTTGTACTGGTTAGGGGAAAGTACATAAATATTACAAAATATATTATGGATTTTAAATATGATAAAGTTAAAGGAAAGGAAGTGCTTTAATATTTCGAATGTAAGAGTGTTTTAGGTTGAACCCAGTAGTAAAGAAATATTAGGTAGATAGATAAATCCAAATTGAACCCACCTGGCGGCAGCTTGCTCTTCAGCATGTCCATGGCCACCACGTTGACGATAAGCACCCAGATGGGGCACTCCAAGATGTCGTTCTCCGACTTGACAAACGCCACCGAGGAGAGGCACTGCGTCTCCAACCGGCGGCGATCCGGATAGGCGCGTCGCAACTCGCGGTTCACGTTCGACTGGAACTTCTTCATGTCGAAGAGCTGGCGGCGAAAGAACAATGCAGCGCTTATTAGCATTTGGAGTGGATTCGCATTCGCATTCGCATTTGGATGTGGATGTGGGATACACATTTACAGATCGCGATAAATGGCAGCCGTGCTAGTCGCACTCACCTTGACTATTTTTTCGGATTCGAGCGCCTGATTGGGCAGCTTCAAGATTTCGGCACCGATGGAGGTCTCCTCGTTGGGACTGCTGGCGGTGCTCTTCACGTAGACGTTGCTCTTGGCGTACCGCCGGATCAGAATGTTCCCAGCATCGTCCATTTTGATTTTGACACCCTTGCAAAGCAGGAAAGTTAATTAATATAAGTCCCCAAGATGGTGATATTATTTAAACCACAAAGAATAAAGTTTGCTATTCAAATTAGCTTGTAATATCTAAAAACGGGTTTAAAGCAGTGTAGAAACGTGTGAAAATTTTATACGACATAAAATAGTTTTAAGAACATTCTGATCTCTTAATCTTAATTGCGTTTGATAATATCTAAAAAATCTATTCAAAATACCGCCAAGTGCTGAGTGCGTACGCAACATAAAATAATTTAATTTATTTTTCGCATTAGAGAAATATCTTTAAGTAGTTCGCAATCTTCACGCCATCTCCTCCGCTAATGGAGATTTCTCGTCAATTTTTCGGGGTTTATTGTCCAAGTTAATTAAACCGTTGTCGCCTTGATTGTGATTGTGCCATAAATTGGAAACTTACCTGTCCGATGACGCGCTTCATCTCGTCGGTCTTCTGATCCCTCATTGGATTGTCGAAGCCGCAGAGCCCGATTCTGCAAATGGAGGTAGACCAAGTTGGGCAATAATTAGACGGGCATAATGAGCGTGTTATTAATTGCGAATCAATCAGCTGCCGCATTTGCGTTAAAATCGATAAGTCGGCAGACAGCCCGCCAATGCTGCCAAAATGCCTTGCCACTTGGCGCCATTCACTTTCTGGAATCGAGGTTGCTGCCTCGAGTGAGTCATTTGCTTGGTTTCTTGGCCCGCGTGCCGCATTTTGTTACACTAAACGTTTGACAAAACATTTGCCATGGGCTTGGGTTTTTGGCTTCAGCCATGGATTTTGCGTTTTAAGTTTTGGCTTTTGGGCCCAAGAGAACTGTTCAATCGACTGGCTCAAATGCGCAGTGACAGTGATTTATGCCACATGCGGCAATGTGTGGCAGCTGCAGCCCAAAAAAGTATTAAATAAGCATGTCATATTTCGGCGCCAAGGCCTTAATTTTTATCCTAATTGTTTAGGCTCGAGAGCTGAGTCATTAAAAGCCTAGACTTTGGCTAACTGGTTATTGGAAAACTTTTAAATTAACCTCCTCTATCAGCGAGGTGATTTGTTTTGATTAAAATAATACCGTAAAATTAGTATAATCCAAAAAAGGGCTTATTTCGTATGCTCACAATAACTCTGGCCAACCTTAGTTGGGCCTAAACAATCCACCGAAACTGCAGCTCAGCCTTAACCGAATGATAAATGTTCGTATTTTCGTTTTTCTGATTTTGGTTTTTCCTTCGCCGTTAAGGTCGCCGAAAATGTCGGCAGAAATGCTAACAAGAAGCGGCAAGAGGAAGCCGCAGAGCCAAGACAATGAAGCCAAGCTAATTGTAATTGTCGTTTGCATAAAATAAAAGGCCACGGCAAGGGGCTTCAGTCGACGATGATCATGGTGATGCTGCTGAATTGCCAGTGGAAGTGGATGTGGATGCTGCTCCTGCCGCTGGAGATTCCCCACTTGACGCCGCTCCGTCACTATAATGTTTTATGTTAATTTGTATAATGAAGCGCTGCCAGTGCAGCAAAGCGCATCAGCAGCCAGAACAAGAACAACGGCAGCAGCAGCAACTAGCAACCAGCACCCAGCAACACCAGCTAGTAGCAACACCAACAAGTAGCAACTGGCAACAATCGCCGTTAGCATCAGTTTGGCATTTGGCCATGTGCCTTAGTTCTTTCTGCGCGTAACGTCTGCCGCTCGGCGCTGATTTATTGGCTAAACGCTTGTAAAAACCGTTGAAATGTGTGTCAAAGTTTTCCATGAAACGAAATCGACATGGACGGGCTGTGGTGGTGCTGATGTGTGCCCCTCAAGGTTGAGCGCTGGCTGCCGAAAGCGGATTTGCAGTTCTTTGTTCGGTAAATGCTTCGTTAAATTCGAGCCATCAAAAGCGAAATGTTATTAAACCTGAATGCCAACAGCTGAGAGCAGATGGGTGTATAAGAAGTACAGGTGGGCCTGGCTAAGGAGAATGTTCTGTACCTCAAGAACATTTACTTGAACGTTTACTTTTGGAAAGAGCTGTTATCCATGATTAAATGAAGATTGTTTTGTTCTGGATTTAGTTGAAAAGGTTGTATCTCACCAATCAAGCATCCTATGAATTTATCTTAATGGTACAGTTTAGTTTCTTTAGTTTACTGTACTGCTCTATGGTGTTAGGCTATTAAGCTAAATTCGAGAAACAGCAGCCCAACCCACTGACAGTTTAATGCATACTTATACTTATTCAGAGCATGTCTTGTGGACATTCACTTCGATGGGGACCAGGCATTATCGCACCTTAGCATGATATCCATATCTATATAGTGTGTGAGTATGTTGGTTGCAAGGTCGTCTGGTCTCAGGACTGGACTCGACTTGACACGCCTAAATGAGCTGGAAATGCGAAAGGCAACGGAGCCCAGCCGAAAGCGAGAGTCGATCTTGCCAACTTGCTCTGCAAAACTGGAAACCGAAGCTGCGATTTTGGAGTTCAAGTTAAACGTGTGCAGTGGGTCAGGCTGCACTTGCGAGGACGAGTCGGGCAGCGATGGAGCTTCTTCGAGGAAGAAACCAGACGAGCGGACCAACCACCAACCACCAACAAGCAACCACCGAGCGGTGCAGCCGTTAAAAAGTTGCAGTTAACGGCAACTGGTTTCGAACGGTGGTTGGGAGCAACTTTTGACCTGCGGCCAGTGGGCAAAAACAATGTCCAACCGGTTCGGCTAAAAATACCAAAGCAAAGACACCGATGTGGCCATATAGCCAATATATATTGGCTTAATGGGCGTGCATGTGGTCGCGTTATGTGCTCAAGTAAAAGTCGCCAAACGAAAGACTTAGGAAACGAACCCTGATCGCCGAACTAGTTTCGCTCGATTTGGCTTTAATTAGATTATGGCTAATTATAGGCAACGCTCGTTCGGCCAGAGCATTTCCCGCTCCAGTTTTGGGGTCGCACCTTAAATTGCGGACCGAAGGCCGTCGCAGCTATTGTTCTTGCCCCGACACAAATGTGGCACGTGTGCCGCCGTGGCAGCCGCAGCAACAATGACAATGTTGCTTTTGCAACTACCGCGGTTACTCAGCAATACTCGACGGCAGCGAGCAGCCCCCTAAAACCCAGTGAAAAACAGGCTGAAAATGTCTTTTGTCTGGGCAACTCTCGCAAATCTCAACCTTGGCGCGCCCCTTGCCTTAGTTTTTTCCGCACGAAACATGCTAAAAAAAAAAAAATAAATACGAAACAAAACAAAACGCGGTGTGTATACCCATATTGTGTGTTGCAATCGGAGCACAGCTTGATATTATAATTTGATTTCCACTTCATTTGTTCCCAGCCACATGCAAATTCGATTGGCAACGCCCACGCAACGAAGTGTTTCGCAAAACTCGCCACAAACTGTCATAAAGCGAGCGATTTATATTGGCGCCGTTTCAATTGGGCTTCGAGTCGGGGGATAATGTAATTGCCGGACCACAATAAGTGCTTGAGGATTGGCCATTAATTAGCCGCGCTTGTTGAAGCCCAATGTGTCTCCAAGATCATCGATCGCAGTTCGCTGGTAAAGTGTGCGTGTGGTCCTCGTTTTGAGTGTTGCGCCCACACCAGCAACTTCCAACTAGCAATCTCAACCAGCAACTTCCAACCAGCAACTAGCAAACAGCAACTAGCAACATGAGCGTCAGTCTAATTAATTAATTTACATGCAGCTGTGGACTCCACAAATGGGAATTTGTCTATGCATGCAACTCCAAAAAATGTGAGTTAGTACGCTAAACCTAACCGATGGCTAAATGCTCTGGCTGGGAATAAACATAAATCTAAACGATGGTAATGAACCTAAATGAGGCAACCAAGCTTACAAAAGAATCGTAAAATTGGCAAGCATAACATTCTTTAACGCTTCGCATTCATTGGTAAATTTAAAAGGTTTTCAATAATAGTTGGGGTTTATGTTATGTTTGAGTTGTTAAAAGTTATAAAAAATAAGCTATATCTTAAGAAAACTTAATCCTAAACTTACGGCAATAACTTAAGTATAAAGAATCAAACTTAATGGCATGCTTATGATCTTTGAATGATTTAACTTTGGAAAAAGTTGAAGGTTACAAATTGTTTTAACAATATTTTATGTAAAGCCTACGCAGAAAATAAATAATGTTGGCCGTAAAAAATATATTTATGCATCAACACTTTAGAGTTACTCCGCTGCAGTTCAAGCAAGTTGATAGTTATTGTTATGGGCACATGTACTCGTATTTTGGATACACAACACCTATCATAGCTCAGATCGCAGTGGTGGCTCCATATATTTGCATACTGGCCAGATTTCCAGCGAAGAGCGTTGCGTGTGAAATGGCATTCAGCTTGCACGTATGCTGATGTCTTTGGGTTGGCACATTCAAATGCAATTCGGTTAACCCGAAAGATAGCAGCGGCTAACAAGCGCTGACAGCGGCTAATTAAACAAACAAGCTGCTGGCCCTAGACGGCCATAAGAAAAGGCAGAAGTAGGAAGAAAAAAAAAACAGCAGCAGGCCCAAAGACAAAGACAATGGCAGTGACAAGTACAAGGGTCTTTGGACCACACTCAGACTCATAAACAAGGGGCAACATGGCCATAAATTATCTTTCCCGTGGTGTGCATGTTTGAAGTCGGCGGCAATTGGCAATTGATTAACTTGACACTCTCGGCATGCAAAGGCAGTTTTCGGCTTCGGTTTCGGTTTCGGTTTTTTCCCTCAGATTTTCCGTCTCTGCGACTCTGTATTTAACCCCCAGTTGACATAAACAAGTAGTCGAAAAAGCCCGAAAGAGCCAATCTCCGGCAGAAGAGGGGGAAATTGCAGAGAAAGACTTGCCATGACAAGAGCAATTTGCATGGCCAATCTGTGATGACCTCGTCACGAATGAAAACGAATTGAATGAATGACTTTCGTTATTATTTTCAATTTCATTTGTTTTCCCCTCCATCTTTCCATCTTCATTGTCTCCATCTTCATTGTCGGCCTGCTGGCAATTTATTTGTGTTTTCGCTGTTGACATTTGGCTGGCAGCAACTTTATTTGTGGCCATTTACAAAGGAAGCCGCCGCTGCCACACGATCTCCTGCACTTCTGCCCTCCTGCACGTGATGCCCTTTTTTGGCCATCTCCTTGTGGCCGTAGATTTCAATATTTGCACTGAATAATCGGCACATCCATGCCCATGTACTTAGCATTAGCATTAGCCTAATGCATTATGCATAGATCCATTGAATTGTTTTCTTATGTTCGGCCTGAATACTTCTTGACATTTCGGATCCAGCAAATTGCCACGGCAATTGAGCGTACAGCATTTGGCATTTGGCAATTTCTGGCACGCAACAGCAATATTTTTGAGGCGGAATATGTTAATTAGGCCCTCGCTGCAATTGCAACCTCCCAAAAATACCAAGAACCGCCGAGAGACCCCCAAAAAAAAAAAAACGAAATGAAAAAACTAACAGATACAAGCCGAATTCTTGGCTCAAATTGCTTTGGCAAAACGGAAATCGCTCATTTCATAGAAATAAGCGCAATTATTAAAGCATTTTCACCCGTTTTTCGGTTCGTTTTATTCTGTTCATCGCGCAGCTTTTCACATGCTACAAATTGTTTCCACTGAGGTCAGCGTTTTGCAATGCCCCGCCCGAAGGTTCTCCGCAACTTACATCTCTTGCGTAGTGAAGTTCATCGGGGGAATTAAATTTTAATGGCATGCCCATCAATTTGATGGGCGTTTCATTCATTGCCCCTTCGAGAGCACATCACCAGGCATTTATTATTACAGCAAAAAGCCAAGACGGCCAAGCGAAGGTTACAGCCATTCGCATCGAAGTTGGCGATACACTTGTCGTGGGAATTACGAACACGTTTTGGAAATATAAAAGAGCTGGAAATCAGTTAAAAGAATCTGCGTCTCAGCTGGGAGTCCCCAAGTTAAAGAATCAATTATGTTATATACATAATAATTATATACATAATTATATATGTTTATTATTTATTGAACGAAATGATAAATTACCCATGTCTGTAGCAAACTGTTCATCAAAATGATGCTACCCCTTTGAGATTTCAATTCGCAGAAAGAAAGACAACGACGTAGCTCCTGCTGGGTATTTTCTCTGCCAGTGGGTCAAGGGCATATTATTTTGCTAGTGCTGAAGCCCCAACCGACATTAATATTTATGCTTTTTGTGTCTCATTTTGTTTTGTTTTAGCAGAGTTCAAAGGCATAGTTTGCCCATGTTTAATGTGTTTTTTGCCTCGGTCCCTCTGTTTGTTTACTTGCCATCGCTTTGCAATGACTGATTATTATGGAAGATGGAGGGATGGAGGACGGGATGGACTTGACCTGCAACAACTAGTACTCACCGCATGCCGTCGAATCCGTCGTCGGATCCATTAATGGTCAGCACCGGGGCACGTGCGTACGCCTTCGCCACGCGCCGATTCCGCTCGAAGACGATCACTTTGGCCCAGATCTCGTCGTCGATTTGGGTCCATTTGTCCAGCACTTCCTGAATGTGTTCCTGGAAATCAAGAAAAGACAAGGAAAATATTGAAAAACTTTCGAAAGGCATACGGAAAATATCACCACATCAACTTAATTGTTTCTACTGCGTCACATTTAATTTACACGAATAATAGTATGCAATTATTTTCAATAGCTAACAACAAAAATTTCTTGTTAAAAATGAAACCTGAATGAAAATTAAAAAGAGCATAGTGCAAGAGTCTCCGAAATTGAACAGAATGCCATAGCTTTAATTGGATTAATAAGCAACACTGATAGTATCACTAACGTTAACGAACAAATTTAACGATCCTTTCAAAACCTATTAAAAAGCAGGCGCAACAAAAAGGCAAGGAATTCCCAAAAAATCAATCGATTTGATCCTAAAAGATTCGGAACTCGTTTCGGGGCATCTGGAAAATCGCATGGAAAACATAACGACTGCGACTAATGCTAGCAATTTTCACTTTCCATCGTGCTCGAGTGTTTGTGCCAAAGTGAACGGCCTTGTTGGGCGCTTGCGTTTTAAGTTTTTTTTTTTTGTTTTTTTTTTTCACTCACTTTACTTTTACTTATTTGAGCTGCCTTTTTGTTGCCTGGCTGCCATTACAAGCCGCGCTCTGTGTTTGCGTTTGTGTTGTTTTGCAGTTTGTTAAATAAAAGTTAAAATCAAATCGGAGCAAATGCTGACACGAACACAGCCAGACGAGAAAAGACCAGAGCGGCGTTTTCAGGGGGGGTGTTTCAGGGGGGCTTTTCATGGGTTTTCGGCTCGGTTCGTGGTGCAGTGAGACATATAAAATTATAGACAACGATATCGTTGCTGTCGGTGGTGTTGCCTTTGCCTTTGCCTTTGCCATTGCCTTTTCAGCTTTTTCCACCGCTGCAGCCTGAGCATTTGTGTTGCTCTGCTTGAAGTCTTTTTTATATCCAACAATATACTTATATGCATAGATATTTGAAGTGCTGCAAGGCTTTTGATTGCAACTTTGTCTGCGAAGTTTGCACTGCTCTGCTCTCGACTTGCGTCATGCCTAAGTGCACTCTGGAAATATTTTACATTTCTGGCTTATATAAACCGGCTGGCACATAAAGTGGACTAGTGCTATATGCTTTATAACGTTTCAGTTACTGAATTCCAGGGCTTTTAATCGATTACTGGATCAGCGTCTCGAGCAAGTGGCTTTAATGAAAGCAAAAGTGGATCAGCGACTAAAAATTTATGGCAAACAAATCGCTTTCGTTGCATAAACATTAAATAAATAATACATAATACCTCTGCCATTAAAAGATCACAGCTCAATTTAAGCATTAGAACCCATAATTTAATTTAACCTCTGAAGTAAGCCATTAAATTGTACATTAATGAATGCATATTAATGTTTATTAGCAGATGATATGTCTTTGGAGCGTTTATTAGCTCTAAAGCTTCGGAGGTGATATTTTTTCCACAGTTTATATTTATTGCCCCAACCCATTTTGCTTTCGTATGTGTGCACATCCAAAGAAAAGCCAAAAAACCGAACAGCTGGGTTGTTTTCCCTCCGTGGCTGGCTGGCTGGTTCAATTAACCCGAACAAAGAACGTCATAAACAAAGCCATTAGCCCAGTAACCAACATGCCCACAATTTGAGCCACTTTTTTGGCTTATAATAATAGAAGTAAATATGAAAAATATGAGCCACAAAAAGTGAGCAGGCAGCGAGCATCAAATGTTGGCTTGGCTTTTGGCCACAATTCTACTGACGGACTGGCGGACGGATGGACGGACAAGCATTTTGGCCAAAACTCGTCTAGGCAAGCTCACTCATTCCATTCAGCGGGCACACACATTAAAAATGCAAATAAATCATGTAGTAAAACTTGTTAACCTTTTCGGATGCTTTGCGTTTGCGTTTGCGCACTCGGCCTGCGAGATCGAGAGTCTGGGAGTTGGAAGCAAAGCACTTTTGATTTCATTCCGTTGGATTCTTTGGGCAGATTCACTTCACTTCAGGTTTCACTGGCGGCAGAAGAATCTTGTAGGCCTGAGACTCGAGACTCGAGTGCCGACAAACTGGTTACAACCTGCGGTTGTTTCTCATTTCTCATATTTCTAGGCCGTGCAGAGACGACCTCAAAATGCCGAAGTTCACCGAGTGGTTTTCGCCGTTGCTTGGCTTTTAATTAGTCGCCCCTGTTGTTGCAACACAGAAGCTGCAAGCTGCACGCTGCAAGCTGCACGCTGCAAGCTGCAGAGTGCAACGCCGAAGTGCCACACCGCAAGCGCGTGTTCTCCCTGGCGTATACGTAATCTGGATTGTGCATGAAATTAGCTCGAACGAGTTTCGGAACGGGTTTCGATTAGCATGCGAGGAGCATTAAGTCAGAAACAGAAACATGAATTATACGGATTTTTGGCCAGACGAGCGACGAGTGACGTCAGTGTGACGGCGACGGCGACGGCGACAAACCAACCGCATTTTTGTGGGCGCAATTAAAGTCCATTATTCTGTTGCAAGATCCGTAATGTAGCCCCATTGGCTTAAGCTATAAGCTTGGCTTGCAACACGTGCAACGCCGCCGAAGATGAGACGCTGGAGAATCCCCGTCGCTGCTTGCACTTTTTCGTGTAAAATGTTGTTGAACTTTTGCAGTCACGACTTCCATTCCACCAGCCAGAGCAGCAACAGATGCTCGCAACGCTCCGAGTTGACATTTAATAAAATGATTTTTATTTGGGATCCGGCGGCTTCGGCGGCGGCAACTGCGGCGGAACTCTTTGTGTCTGCCAGGTCAATAGATACAATCGCCGCAAATTATTACGGTCTTGATAAATTCATCTTGTGACAGGTTGCACCAGCAGCAGAAGCAGCAGTTGCGTCCAAAGTTCATTGATATGTTTATTTTCAATTTGTTTGGTTAGGCCAGGCCGCAAACCTAATGCCAAGTGGGTCTGGCCGAAAAATAAGAAATCTAGGTGTATAATTTATGCAAATTTCTGGTTGACATATGGTAATTATAGCCCAGAGCGGACCAGCTCTTCCGCCAGCAGGTAAATCAATCAAGCAACGAGCAGGAAACTCAATTGATCCTGGACTTTGATGAAGTGGCAGCCACAAAAATTTCCATTGAAATTGTCGTATAATTTTTGGGCTTAAAAGCCAACCCACATCATCAGTGTCTCACAGTGTGTGTAAGTGTGTGTGTGTGTGTCTGTCGTCTCGTTTTAGTGGTTTTTCCTGCTTATTTTGCGTCAACGCCAAATCCTGTTGCTCGGGCCAGGCCAAAAGCGAGACCGAAACCAGGTGAACGGGTGCCAAAACAACCGTCGCCAGACAACAAAATCCAGGGGGAAAAGGAAAACAAAGGAAAATGCTGAACGAGAAAAGCCTGCGCGTGGAAGTGGAAAAAAAAGCGAAAACTGTGCAGACCAGCGAGAAAAACTTTCATTTTCACGAAAACGAAAACGAATGCGAAAAGACTTTGTGTCTCTTTTTTTCTGTCCGCTAGAATTCTGGTTCGATGCATGCAAGTTTGTTGCCTAAGTCTTTTGTTTTCTCAAGTCAATTTTTTTCTCCGCTCCGTTCCCAGATAATAAATTTGTAAACAATATTGAAAATAGCACAACGGCAGCCAGAGCAACCGAAATTGCTCAATAAGCGCCCCGAGCAGCCAAACAAGTCGAATCAAAGGGCTAACAAACCGAAGCAAGCGAACAACCCTCGACGACAAAAGGAAAATTCAGACATCAGACATCATTGCGGCCGTTTCCATCATGGGAAATACAGTTTTTGTTTTTGTGGACGCCTTTGTGTGGGGCCAGACTAAACGGAATTATATAGATGCCACGCTCACGCTAATTGCAACATACCCATAGACGGAAAAAGACAAACACACGAATCCAGCGACTGCTGCACGCTTTTCACTTTGGGCGAGGCCTTTGGCTCCCCGAATCTCCGATTTCGGAGTTCGGATCTTGGATCTCGGATCTCGGAATCGCTAAACTCGAATCGCAGATGTAAACGAAATTTATGCAAATTTCCATTAGAAATAAAACATCAATTTAATAGGCAGCTTTTTGATGGCTTTTTTTCGGGTGTTGCTGCCGCGCTTTGTTGCCGTATGAAGTGCAGTTAACCCAGTTGAGTGCGTGGGCAGCACCGCCTGCCAAAAGTGAGCTGAAAAAAGTCATCAGAGCTGCGCAACCAGCTGGGTAAAAGCCAAACAAAAAAGCTTAAAATAACAACGGGGTTATAGATAAAGTGAAGTGAGCTATAAACGGCTAGAATGCGTTCAAAATAATAAAAATACAATAAAATACAAGGAAACTAAAGTTTTATTAAATTCGTGCTGCACATATTGAAATTTTGTCAGTATTTATTGGTCTTAAAATCGTACTCCCTTATTAGATTTGTATCTCAGGGGTATTTCTGTATTTTACTCAAACTCTTTTAAAAGATATAAATCACTTTTTCACTGTTTTTGGCTTGCAATAGATTTCTTAATTCACCCCAAGACCTTACCCACAAATCTTAAACGCTCGAAATAGTTCAAAGGTTGAAATTAGCCTAAAGCCACAGTTTAGAGAGCTGCAACGCAGTCGACTTGCATTATATACGATCGTAGAGCCAAAAAAAACCCCACACACCCATGGACTACAATGCTGGGCCCACTAACACTCCTTGGTAAATAGCCAAAAGGGTTAGCAGCAGTTAGCAGCTACGTCAATGGAATTTCCACACATAAACAATACTCGTATACTCGCAACTTGCAAAGAGAAACGGCCCCAAAAAAATAATATATCGTAATCGAAGATGGGCGAACGAAAAGCGATCGGCGGGCTCGTGCTGGGCTTGTCCAAACATTAGGGTTACCTATGGCGTTTTTATGGCCATAGTTACAGCGGCTTATTGCCGTTGCCCGTTGGCCATTCGCCGTACGCTTTTGGCCGACTCCACCGATTCCACCGACTTCTCTGCTTTACTGCCTTGGCCCGTAGGCAAATTAAAAATGCACAACGCAATGCGATGGCCTAACGGTAATTAATGCAATTGGTCAATACAACAAACACCAGAAAGCCAGGCCAAAACAATGAAATTAAACGGAAAAACAGAAACCCAAAGCCTCGGCGTTAGTGCGTCTCATGGTGACCCCAATGCGGTGGACCCGACTCCACCACTCCGCCACTCCGCCTGCCGCACGTGTTGAGAATGAGCGACAGGAAAATAGCCGCAAATCATAGAAGCCGACTGTCCAAGTTGGGCGGAAGTCGGCCTGCTCGACGGTCGATGGGCCAGGGCCAGTTCTCCACGGTTCTTCATAGGCTCACCAGAGTTTATTTTTGGTTTGGAGGTGCCGCGGAAATCACGGAAAATAAGGTAATTTGCCAAATTATAAGTTATCTAATGTAAGTCCTAATACAAATCTCTACGGTTTGATTTTTAAACTTAAATGAGGCATGGATTCTTAATTATGGTTAAAGAATAAACACATCTTAAAGCTGGAATTGATAATTTTAATGACTAACTTAAGAATAATGTTCTATCAATATCTATATATTGTGCAAGCTCGAAAATGTATTACGTTTTCTTACATAGTTTATATTTATAGGTTAACAATTTAAAGTATTCCTCAAATGGAATAGAATTTCTTGCATCTATGACTTACCTTGTATAGTTTATCCTTCTGGTACCAAATGTCCTCCTCCTCCTCCTGCTGGGTAAATGTCTGGTCGAGATTAAGATCGTCGCGTGAACGTGATAGAATTTTTCGCCGCGACACCATCTTGTGTGATTTCTGGGGTCTCTGTCCTCTGCAAAGAGGGAAAGATATCAAGTCATAAAGGGTTGTGTGAATATTCGCGTTATAAACCAAATACATAATATGGGCAGGGAGATCTTAAGGAAGGCCGCCGCATAACGGTTCGTAAAACAGCAAACACATCAAATTTCCTCATTTTGCGCTGACAGGTCCCACAAAAAACCCAAAAAAATATTTGACTCTCTTCGAATCGCTTAGCAAACAGAATTATGGCATCGGCATCCCTCGGGTTTTGAGGTCAACGCACCTGAAACTGGGATATGCCTTTTGTTTATGACCTGGACTCCCTTTTTACAAGTCATCCCGCATGCAGAGAAGCTCTTAAGACCCCCTAACACCAATGCAATTTGCCTTCCTGTATCTCTCAGTTGTATGCTCTGTTTCTATGTGCCCAACTTAATGTTTCTTTCGAGCAGAAGAATTTATGTGTAAAACATGCAATTTTTATTGAAATGGCTTGTTATGACGATCATGTTGTGCGAGCTACGCATCGCAGATTCGAAATTGAGATCCCAACTGCGATTTAAGTTGTGAATCAGACGGAGCATATGAGATACCATCCAAGGCACGTTGAAAGCAGTCACAATAAAAGTAAATAAAGAAGAAATCACCTGTAAGCTGAAACAGAAAACAAGTGTTCAATTGCGGAATGGGGAATACCCTTTTGGAGTTAGTACTTTGTAAAGCAAGCAACGATTTATTGTAATAAAAGCATGCGTAGAAAAACTTAATTGCAATCAATTTTATTTAAATCTATGAATGTTATGTGAAGTATTTATAAATACTTCATTTTATATTTTTAAGAGTTTTAATTGTTACTTTAAACGTTTTCGTTTTACCCCCTGTTGTTAGAGTATTTCGATTGAAGTCTTTTGTTTTTTCACGGCTCAGATTGTCAAGTTGATGAAAAAACGTTCATTGCATAATAAACATCTATGGGGGCTTGGAGCTCGGGGCTTTGGGGGTTGCGAAGCGTGTAGCGGCAAGAAAGTGCCCTCTCCCTCGCTCCCCTTTCTCCCTCTCTCCCTCTCTTTATTCGAAACACTCTCCTTCTCCCTCGCTCCCTCGAGAAACATGCAAATGTGCGAGGTTCGCTAACCTGTTGTCATATATATTTAGCCGTCTTTGTTATTAGTGTCTATAATTGTGATGTGTCTGCTTTTGTTGGCTTTCTTTTTGCAGAAACTGTGCGTCCGAGTGATCGACGTCTTTTTTTCAGATCCGACAGTTCGGATGCTGCAAGGGCTGCTGGCTGGCCATAAATATTCATCGCCTTTTGCGCAATCTCGACTGCCGACTGCCGACCATATTGTCAACGATCGACGCCATTTTTTTCGCCAGGCCATAGATTGCAATCGCATAACAAATGTTGCCGCTGTTGCAGCCCGATTTATGCAACAAAAGCCGTTAAATTGTACAAGTCTCGGTGTCTCAGTGCCATTTGTTGCCGCTTTATTGAGTTGCATTTTCTTTGTGCACACAACACTCTCGGCCGGTTGTTGGCTGTTGAATGTCTCCCTGCCCCAAAGTATCGTTATTTATGGCCAACAAAGGGCCACTGTCTGCGACACAAAAACGAGCCCAGAAATCACAAATCGCTGTTCGGGTATATAGAACATATGTACCATATAGTCGAACAAAAGTTCGAACAAGAGTTCCTCAAGCTTGGCACGTACAAAACAGACGTGTTCTAGTTTGGCTCTCGACTCGGGTAATTACGTGAATTGCATTCCGAGTGTCATTTATGGGGCAGAAGATTTACTGGATGATCCACACGGATATACTTGTCTACTGTTTCTGTTTTGGTGGTACAAGTTGTAGGATAAGGCAGAGGATGTGGGAAAAAGTGGGTATTGTAGGAGCACATTAACTGTAGTCAAAGTCAAGGACAAAATAACTTTAAAATAAATATGTTCTTTATATTCTTTTAGAATTATATAATACAATTTCATTCTTTAATTTTCTTAAATCAAAACCATGTATCTTACTTTGTATGCCAAAATTCCCACCCATACACAAATATGCTTTTATCCAATTATCCAGGAGAAGTAAAGGCAGCAAAAAACACCTTTAATTTCACCGCATTCTTTATGGGGCACGTCAAATTAAAACACTTAAACGGCATCTGCCTGTGTTCCCGGAACAATTCTGGCCAAATAACGCTGACATATCAAGAAAGTTTCTTTCTGCCCCTGCGAATGACGGACAATTAACGGCCCACAGCTGCAGCCAAGCTGGCCAAGCTGGCCAAGAGGAGTCGAGTGGTGGAGTGGTGGCCAAGAGGTGCTCGAGTATCCTGCACACTCACAGCTCCTCAGCGGATGGCCTGTTTTCGTTGCCGGACTTTTGTAAACAGAACAACTGTGGATGCCACTTGATGCCGTAAAATAAAGTCATCAGAGCCTTGGCTTTTTCCTTCATTTCTCATTTTTTATCTGGCTGGATGGTGCGTGTTGACTTTGCTGATTTGGCCGCATGATAATTTCCCTGATCTTTTACAGTTACAAGTCCCGAAGCCAAAGGAATTGGGAAAATGTGCGCGTCCATTTGGCTCGCAATTTTTCAGCCATCAGCATTCACTTTTCGCTCGAAAATAATAAATTTTTCCTTCGCACACGCAAAAATGTGCAGCAACTTTCACAAGCGAAACAAAAATAAAAATAAAAACATCAGTCAAGGCTAACAAAAAAGCAGCTATTTGAAATCATTTAAATAATGCCAATTGATGATTATTTCTTAATTCACTGCAATCCGCCGCATCATCATCCAAGTTCAAACCGCGCCAATCGAACTCGGATTTGAATTTCAGATTCGTTGAACTTTCACAATTGTCCAACGAAATGATATTGAATTATAAGCAGGCATTTTCCGCGCATTTCCGATGGGTTCAATAACTCTGCGCCGGCGGATCGAAATGGAAAGCAAAATACACAATAATTTCGGTGCAAATATTGATTTGGGAAAATGTGTCGAAAATTACAGATGGGCTTGTTTGCTGATTAAGAGTTTATTCATTATGCTGCTGTCATTCCCTGGCTCTATTAGTATTTTAAATTCCCACAACAAAGGTGGCTTCTTTTTCGACTTCTCAACAGCTGACATTGAAGCTGCCCACACGGCATTATTCTAAAAGATGACGCCATACGCTTAAATCCGCTGTTTCTCACAGATGGTGGGTATATACTATATACTGTATATCTTACGTAGGTTCAAAATAGGTAAACATATCATAGTTTGATAAGGAAAGCTTTTGGAGTAAGCAAAATAAATAGATATTTTGTGGAAACTGATTTATGAGGGAATATTAATGTTTTAAATAAAATATCAATCGGAATATAATTTTATAACTGTTCCGAAATTCAAATACTTATCAGAATAGCTTGAATATTTTCGTTGGGCGTGATATTTTCTACGAAGAATTTCCCCAACAATAAATTAAAACGATGAGCCTCAAACTTTATGATTGACAAGCGGAAAACTCGTTTCTCTCAACTTTCTACAGAACTTTCCTCCGCTGGTCGTTGGAATGAAACTATGCATAATTTAATGACAACATTCGCTGCATATTCAAACACCAGACAACCGCCGACAATCGCGCACTTTATGAATGAAAGTCAACGTCATGAATTATTGTAGATTCACGAGTGGAGACTCTAGGCAATCAATAAAGAATTTTGATGATGACAATCGTGCTGACAACGCTAGTTGCATATTGATCGCGTCGGTGAATGTAAATGATTCTAATGCAATTGCACCTGGCGTGGAGTGGGTATCGCTGTGCCCAGTCAAGAGGTCGTTAGCTGCCGTGCTTCACTGTAGTGGCTAGCAACTCGTCTCCGCAGTGCAAATATCTTGCAGTTCATTTACCCGGCGAGATCCGAGATCCGAGATGATTGCATTGTTCGAGTGCGTCACGAGATGGCGAAGATTAGACGTGTCTACTTAGCTGAAAACCAGCTGAGATCAACAGCTTCCATCCATTTGGAGGCACAATTTCTGCACATTCATTTGCCAAACTCCGCTGGACGGCCAAATGTTAAGGTCAGAGCTCAGTTTTGTTTATTTTCTTGCCGCGCATTTTGGCTAGAAAGTATTTTTGGCACCCTAATGGATTCATTATGTAACCAAATACCTCATGAAAGTTGCCGGGGACCTAATGAAGCATCGAAAAATGGGATGGCGGAGGAACACTTAATACTTTCGCAGAAGACATGCCGGCCAAGAATGCTGGGGAGCCGCATGATTGATTGGCCGAGAGATGAGAATAGCCCGTAAGGAAATTGCTTTCACAGGGGTCAAGCGAAATGTTCCCGAAACGAAACACCATAGGCTGGGGTATACGATACATGTGGCCATTGATTTGTGTCCAAATTAAATTAAGCAGTCATTGACTTGTGGAAAGGAGGCAAAAGAAAGAGCCCGCCGTTTTCTAAGGTTGTCGAAATAATGGGCGTGCTGAGAAGAACTCAACGCAGTTTGGTAATCCGTTTAATTCTGTATTGGAAATGTCGGCAGTTCGGGAGAAAAATTATCCATTTGTTGGAGCGTATCAGATTTATGGGGTAACACTTTAACATTTAATAGTGCTCTAATCGAAAGGTGTGAATGTTTATTTAGGTGGCAAAGTAACACGTTTTTAACCTTGACCACAAGTTTGTTGCTAAGGAAGTGTTATAAGTTTTGTGTTAATAAATATTTATTTTTTTATGCTGGGAAATTTTGTGGCTTAAATGCCTTGTGATGATATGCAACTTCCGTTTGTTTCCAGTTCCTGTCACTTTCCCTTCGCCACCCACTAAATATTTGAACCCTTGAAATTGAGTAATGAATTTGGAGTGGGCGAGGGAGCCGCGGATCTGGCGAGCTGATCATATTTTCTTAACACTTGTCGGCGGTCGGCATTGTCTGCAAATGCTTCAATTTGCATAGCGTGAAAGTGGCGTGTAGTCGGAGTCCAACTTCAACTCAAATTCGCAGTCGCCATGGTTCAGTTCCTCGTTTGGGGTTAAGGTTTTCATTATGCGAGGCAGTGCGCGGTGCAAATTATGCAAAATTGCTCACATCGGGAAGCTAATAATGCGAAATCCGAAGCATTTAACATCGAATCGTATTGCGGAACTCGCTGGCTGCCGGGCATTTAACACCTGAGCGCATCAGCGGCGCATCATGGCCTCATCAGCGGTAACAGTAACAGTTAAAAAACCAAGAGCTACATATACATATAGCTAAAGCTAAAGCCAACCGATACCGACAGGTTGTGCATTTCGATTTCGCAAAACGTAAAAAACACTCGTATTTCCCATCACGCACATCTGGCGCTCGGCTCTCCATTCCGGCAATTATTAAGCCCCAAAATATGTTAAATCATATCTATATAAATGAATATTTGTGTGAGCATCTATCAGATACTTTTCAAAGTCATGTAACTGTCAGCGCTTTGCGCAATCCCCAAAGACAAACGAACGGATGGTTGAATGAATGGATGGATGGAGACGAAAGCCCCAGAAATTAACATTTCAATTTTTGAAGATCTCCGAATGTCTTGGATGGTTTTTTGATTGATTTTCGCTGCTAATGCTGCAGCGACCGCCGATGCAGCACTTTCAAAATGTAAATTTAATAAATTGCTCGACACCTTTTGAAAATCTCTTGGGGCATTAAATCAAATGATTCGAGTCAACAAAGAAAACCGTAACTTGGAAAATGGCTAAGCAAACGGAGTACAAAAAAGGTAAACAAAAAAAATCAGATGTCTTGTCTTGAGAAACAAAGAAAAATACCATGAAAAATCAATATATAAAAATATGGTATTTCATTATTGAAAAAGTTACAAAAATCATAATGCAGAAACAAGTTTTCCCTGTTGGTTTTTCTTTCAACTTCTCAAATTTGTTGGCTTTGAGTGTTTACTACTCCATAAATAATTCGAATATCATAACTATCAAGCAGCCACTAAAATGGAAAACACTCAATATGAAACGCGTAAAAAAAGTTGTATTTTCCGCTGTTGCTGTTCGCAGCAAACCCATTTTCTATCTCACAAATTCGTTGTGCCTTTGATTAACTGAAAACGCCACGAAAAACAAGTTGACACTTTCATTAAATTGAAGCGAATTTTTTCCGCATTTCGGCGTTACGTTCCGAGTTGCCCTGACCAAAAGCGAGGTCCGTGCAACAATTTGCTGGCCAAAAAGAGCGAAACAGAGAAACAGGCTACAACTTCAACTTCAACTAGAGTGAAAAGCAGAAACACAGACTAAAAACACGAATTTCAGCAAATGAAAAGCGAGAAAAAAGAAGACTGCAACTGGCGGCTGCTTCTGCTTTCGTTTTCGCCTGCACGCTCCAACTGCTCCAAAACGCTCCCATCAGGTGCGACAGAGAGAGCGCTACAGTCCGGCCAACGAAAGAGAGGGGAACAGTCTGGGGAGGGGAGCCGGGTAAACGAAGCAATTTGAAGCGGAGCTATGACAGCGCCGTTGCACTAAATTTTCCACAAGCGACTGAGTTTGAAACCGAAACCGAAACTGTAAACGAAACTGAAACTGATTTCTTTTAGCAGACCGGTGAAAGAAAGATATATGTATGTATATACTATATAGAGAGGGAGGAAGAGCGGTCTTACACCAAGAAAAAGTACTTGAGACCTCCAATTTCAAACCGGAAATCCGCCAAGAAACAGAATTCAAGAACAAGTTGTAAGGTAAATGGTCATGAAATAAGAATAACAATATCAAAATTGTATGGAACCTAATGGTACTTTCATCTTTCCTTGCAATCTAAAATTACTGTGGCAATTTCTATATTGTTTACCTCAACCTTTGAGCTTGCTAAGATATTAATATTAAATTTTTTATAATATTTGTTCACTGTACACTCGTGTTACGTTGACCACCATTAGTTGGCTCAATGGATGACAAAATTTCTCCCGCTCTGTTCGACCACCACTTTTGGCTTCTTTCGTTTAGTGCTTATCAAATGGCTGCAATCAAAAAATCGTCCAAGTTTTCACTTTCTCAGTTTCCCAGTTAGCCGTGGATCGTAATAATAATGGTAATGATAATGATGATGATCGTGGAGCCGGCGAGCGGAAGTTAGCGTGTAACAATCAGAAAGATCATAATATTTGTGTTGAAGCGCTTTGTTCGGCTGATTGAGTCAGCTATTGGTGGTAGGCAGAGCTGCCCACAACAGAAACAGAAAGGTTGTATTTAAAATGCAATTTATCCGGCGAGCCGACAATGGCAAGCCAAATAATAATCTTTTAATAAAGATGCCTTTGTCTGGCGGCGGGGCGTTAAAGGCCATCATCCCAGCCCCTAGACTCTATATATCTATCCGCTGGTATCGCCGTATCTGGCTAATCGTCGACAAACAACAACACGTGCCTCGCTATCAGACTTAATGTCTCTTTCACACTTTGAAGGCGCCACAACATCAGCGGTTTAATTAGCTTTCAAATCTACGAATGCACGCACTCAAAAAAACACTTTTTATGGCGTTTTTAAGGTGTGGACTCCCTGTAGAGAATATGAGTCTGCGAAAGATTTGAGAAAATAGTTTCCCAGTTACGATGTGTGTTAACAAATCTGAGATCACATTCCAGTGTGTGTTTCAATCACAGCTTATTAATTGGGACAATTTGGGAGTTCATTGGCCAGATAAAGTGATATTTTATCTACTCATCGTTAGATAAATAGCAGTGGGACGCCTCGAACGTTAAACACTTAATAAAATAACAAATATCTCCAGTTTCCAGTGCCATTATTTTGACCGCAACTGTGTGTGCCTCCGCTGAATGAGATTAACCCATTTTCCGCTAATGAACGGTGCCCATTTGGCGCGGGGAATGGCTGCCAATAAACCTAAATAGACCCCAGCCATCGACAGCTCATGAAATATGCGCGCAGCGTGAAAAGAAATGGCCAGAAGCACAAAGAGAGTGAAAGAACCGAATAGCGGTCGAATGCAAATTCTCCTTCTCCCGGAATTTGGCCAAATCGAATCGAAATGGGCTTTCGGCCAAAAGGCGGAGAGTTACAAAACGAATTTATTGCGCGACCTTTTTTCGGGGCTTAGTGCAGATCCATTTGTTGTTTTGCCTAAATGTAAATGAAGTCAGCGTCTGGCTGACTGACATTTCCCATTAGCTCTTTCGGCCACGTTATTGTCTGCAGGTTCTGCTGAACTTTTCGGCCAGACGGATTTCAGCACTGCCTTCAGCAGAAGAACCGCACTTTACAGGGTCTTTTCGACGATTGTTTACATTTATGGATGCATAATTGGGTGCCATGGCACCTACCCATCCCCCCTCCCCCTTCTTCTCTGCACTCTTAGTTGTATTTAAATTTTGCCCACTAATTGACTCCCACAAACCGATGCAAAGATGATGGTCTGAGAAGCTGAATTCGAAGTTGGAGCCGAGGCTGTAACCGAAGCCCAATGAAACTGCAAACTCATGCCGACATCGACTTCCTTCCTCTGCCTCTCGAACTCTTCGCCAGCCTCTTCTTTCGGATATATACACTATACCAAAAGATATATATACATATATATACACGAGTGTCGGGCCAATTGTCGCAATCGAAATCGGAATGGCAACACCTACTGCACATTTTAATTTCAGCTTTTTTCGGGCCGCCTCGTTTCGTTATTAAATGCATTTGTTTTCGAAGGCGTGTTGCCAGTCAGAAACTCATCCATCTGTCTCAGCCAGGGCCACATGTGAACTGAGAAAAATCGCATTTAAGCCAGAGCAAACTAGACCTTTTAAAAGTCACATGCCAAAACTCAACTCATTTAATTTATTTTAATGTTTTTTTAAAGACAAGCACAACGAGTACGTTTCCAGATATTTATTAGTCTGGCTTGAAATTTATAAATTATAATATTAACTTGAAATATACTTGTTATCAGTGGCATTCATTAAATATTAATATATTTAAAATCATCATTACTTGTACATACTTTCAAGATTAGGTTGCTGAATATTTCACCAGTGTACAAATACCTCGAAAAAAGATGCTGAAATTAACTTGACATTGTGCTGCTAATTCAGCACTAATCGTTCGAATTGATGGCGAAAAGGAACTATTTACGAAACCGAAACTGCCCAAAATTGTATGATATTCAAATGCGAACACGCAATCCGAGAAAGAAACCGAAAAGGCAAAACGACAAGAGAGATGTTGTCAACCTTGAGAGTTTGTAGCAGCTTGTAGTTGGGGCTGCGATTTCAGCTCGCATTTAAATGAAAATGAAAATGAAACCGAAGTGTAGCAAAGAAACACGGCAAACAATAAACAAAAAGCGCGTAAGCAGGAAGTCCAGTGCCGAGTCAAAACAGTTAGAGAAAAAACGGTGCGATTATGAATGGGAAGCTGGGATCTTTTTCTTCCGGAAGAGCAACAGGTGCTAGGGTTTCTCCTTTTTTCCCTGCTGTTTTTTTTTTTTGTACCTTTTCCCTACTTTGCATGCGTGTCTCTTGGGCTCCCCAACTCACCTTTCTGCTCAATTACTTTTGTTTTTGCTGCAAGTCGCTGGTGTTGCTGCTGTTGTTGTTGTTACTGTTGTTTTTTTTTTTGTTGTTGTTGTTGTTGTGTCGAAACTGTTGCAAAATTGCTGATATTTTCCCAATGATTACGTATTCGCAGAGCGGCGACGAGGAAAAGTGTTTGCCCCTAACTGTTGTTACTTCTCTACGTATTTTTCTTTTCTTTTTTTTTTTTAGTGCTGTAACAATGATTTTCTGTTATTATTTATATTGATTTTGTAATTGCCTTTGCTACAATTGCTGTGTTTGCGTTTCACTTTATTAATTTCACTTTTGGCCGCTGCTTTTAGCTGGGGAAACGAGTTTGCCATAAATTGTAATATTTAATTTTGCATTTAATTCGGACATCGAGCGGCGAGGGCACGAGTATTTATGCGTCTTTTAAACTCGCGCGAAATAATTTCTAATTCCCCAAAAGACAAATGAATTCGAAATTGTTGCTATCTCGGCATTTTATGAACGCACTTCAATTGCATAACGGCGAAGACTGCGCGCACAAAGTTTCGTGATGGCGATGATGATGATCTCCGCTTCTTTGATCACCTTTCTCAGCAGCAGCTTCTCTCTCTTTCTCAGTTTGTTTTCTTTTTCTTTTGCTTTTCAAAATATTTTTTTTAGTGGCTTGGATTTTCTTTTTACTTAGCTGGACTGCCGACGCGCCAGCGAACCAAACGCACTCGACGACTTTCGCGACTCGACTGAAGAATCGACGGCAGAGCCGGGCTTTTGCCGCGGCAGAGTCGAGCTTACCGGACGGCCTTACCTTACCTTACCATACCATACCATAGCTTACCTTTTCTTGCCGTAAGTTCGGTTACGTTGCTCGGCGTTTCTTTTACCTGTTTTTTACCTCGTCGCCTTGTCGCTTCATGGCTAAGTTGGCTTAATAGCATTTAGCGTGTCCGAAGCTTGCCATTCGGAGCTTTTTCGGAAAGAGTTTCTTCGGGCTGCGCGAAGAGCGCGTTTCTTGCCGGCTCTCTTAAAGAGCTCTTTATAGCTGCATTTTTTCTCGCGCTCCCAGTGGTCATCAATCTCATCTCTCCGCTTTCTACACCTTAATTACATCATCTGCATATATTTCGGGATGCTGCTGCTAAAATTAATTAGTTGTATTTATCACGCTGTTACTTGAAAGCTTTTTAACCGACATTTTTGGCGAGCCTAACGGTTCTGGATTTTATATTCACTTTTTATGGGCGATGCGCCGATTATTCCGATGGCTTTTTGAAGGTCAATCGAAATGTCAAACTACCTGCGGCTATTCTACGCCCGCAGATCTCTGGAATTTATGTGACAGGCAATTAAAAATCTGCATTAAATAAATAACACCGCGGCAGCAAGTGCATGAGCCAAGAACTTGTCTGAGTTGGCCGAGTCTTTTGCTCAACCCGTTTGGCGGGCAGAAATTAAATTGCAAAATCACCAGGCGCAACCAAAAGTGACACGAGGCAAATGCACCACTTCCACCGCATTGAAGTGGAGCGAAAAAATATAATTCTTAACTTGATAAATAACATTTTAAATACCCTTATTTATTACAGCAAAGTTTGTGCAAACACAACATTAAACTGAGTTCTCTGGAAACAAGTAAAAATTAATTGTGAATTTATTAGTTGAGCCACTTAAAGTTTATGGACACGTCGTTAGGAAATAATTCATTTTAATTATTAAAACTGTTCTATACGAGATTTATAACACAAAAAATTTAATTTGAATAAATTAAGCAAGCAGGGTACAAAATTGCTTAAACCTATAATAAACAGAATTTAGTAGACAAAGACAGTTTAAAAACTTTATATGACCCCTAATTCCTTGTTTATTGCGCTAAAAACGAGCTTAAAATATACCCTGCAAGTGTGTATGCCAAATGAAGATCGTGAGGCTGCTGATGATGATGGACGGCCCCAGCAACAATGCTGGGAATGCTGTCTAGAAATCCGCAGCGCGTAAAATTATGAATTCAAGACGACGCAAGCCGAAGACGAAGTTCGTTGCCTAAGTCTTTTGTTTTGATTCGAATGCGCGCTGCTGCTTCTTCTTCTTCTTGCGTTTGTTAATCGATAAGAAGCGCACCAAAGTTTTCCCATTTAATTTGTCTAAGCAAATATGACTTCATTTTGTACCAAAACCAAGAAAAAAAGATTCCGGTTCGCATAACTCATCATCAACTAATGACACCGTTTGTACAACCGGGCAATAAGAAGTTTTGACTACTGCCGTATAAACACTTCGCTCGGGTGCTAATTACGGCCAACAACAATGGAGGGTAACATAGAGATTCGGCCAGCAATCAAGTTTAATTGATGCCATTATCAAATTATGAGCATTTCCAGGAGGAGTCACGCGGATGGCATCATAAAGCTGATGAAACTGCAAAGTGTGGGCGTAGCTGTCGTTATGCATTTACTATAAGCGAAGTAGTAGTTTCCCTCGTTATTGCTCATTTCGTACATCTTAATATGCAGCCCGCGATCTTTGCACTTGTTACACTTTGGCAATCCATATTCAATTACCATGGGACAACGCTGGCATCGCAAATTGTGGCATGCGGCCTGAGGGTTACATAACATTCCAAGCAATCCGAATCAATTGGTCGCGTTAATGAAAAGTGAAAGACCAAAGTGAAAGACAGCCGAAATATGGGAGAGAACTCACAGGTGCTGTTATCGTTGTTGTTGTTGTTGTTGTTTGATTGAGACCCAATTAAAGTCAAGTTCAAATGGCCGCACCTCGGGTAATTAAAAAGCTGTTGTTTGGGCCGCCAATTGAGCGTTGCCAATTCGCTAACCCGAAATATACGAAATGCCTCGGGGTCGAAATATTTGTAATTTCTGGCCCCATATGAGGGTGCCGCGACATGCCCGCCTGGGCTCCACTGTAGTCACACTCGTTAATAGTTACTGGGCTAAGTCAGAGCCTTGACAAACAAGCGGCTCGAAGTCGAAAACAAAACGGTGAGAAACCCGAAGCACACGCACAAAGTTCAAGTCCAACTGGTGGCTGAAGATGCGGAATACAAAGTCACGGGGAAGAGCACAACGAAATGCAAACAAACAAGATGTTTAACTGCAGGGCAAAATAGTCACTGGTGTTTGGTCTTTGAAAGCTCAAACAAAGATACAAAGCTTGGGGGTTTTTTATTTAGTATTTCAGTTAAATATAATTAGTGCTTTGGTACATCCTTAAATAACTCAACAAAAAAAACATTTCAATACATTATGATTGTTTATTTATGCATTAAAAGAGAATAAAAACAAATGCTTTATTACCAATATTAAGTTATTGCTTTCAATAAATATATTCATTGATGATAACAAATGTTTATTATAACAAACAAGGTTAAATACACCTTTCATCTTTGAAGTGTTATTTTACCAATTGTTAGGGAGTAGGAACACAAAGTAGAATAATTACAATTTTTAATGCGGAAATATTATAATTAAAGTAGCACAAAGGCTTGGGTTTGTGCCGAACAAATGTTCTTTTAAGGTAAAAAACTCTTTGTCGCCGAAAGCCAAACAATTGCGTTTCTAAACTCTTGATATGGAGAAATAGAAAACCCATTGAAACGGGGAGGTATGAAAAATTGGTTTGTTGACTCATTCGCTGGCCATTCAAGCCCAGCTCGGCATAATCATTCGATTGGCAAAAATTCCTTTATTCTTTGGGGCCAAAACAAACAAAAAACTTGAGAAACAAAACGGAAACACTTCGCGCAATGGCACAAAGTAGTAGTTCTGCAGAACCGAATGGCCCAAGATCTCCATGAGCCAAGATCGAATCGACCATTGAGCGGAGCTGGGTTCTTTTACGGCCATAAGTCGCTCGGCTCCAGATCATCGCAATCAATGTCGCCCGATCAGCGCCACTTGGTCGCCATTTGTCCGGAATTGGAATCGGAGTCGGAGTGATATAAATTGTGAATTATGAACTTGACGCCAATGTGTCACACACTTGAAAAGCCTCGAGTGCCGAATCAAAGCGAGTGTGGAATGGTCTCTGGGACCGGGCTCTGTTGTTCGACTGTTTAGCTTAATTAAATCATTTAACGAAATGATTGTGCGCTATTTTGTACCCCATGTCGCTCGGTGTCATTGGCTCTCCCCCTCTCTCCCCTTTGGAGCCTCAAATCTCCAGTGCGAAGGTTAGCTCTAAGTGCTTTTTTATGCCTCCTTACCGGCGATTGCGCAACTGGGAACTGGGAACTGGTAGTCGCCACCGGCGGAGGATGTAGGTCATTGCGATGCCACCGCATTTCTTTCCCTTTCTTTCCCCCGACCCAGCTGCTTTCCGACTTCTGCCTGTGGCATGCCGCAACCGCAGGAAACGGGTTTGGCCAACTGCGCAAAAAAAGGTAATAAAAGAGGAAAACCTGAAAACCGGGAACGCACAAAGTCACTTTCGCTTGCCGCGACCTTTGACAAGTAAGTGCAACTTGTGGCACCAAACTTGATCGCGGTGACTAACCAGCTTGGGAGAATTTTTTGCAAGCAAATAAATAGTACTACAAACTAAAAAAAAAAATAAATAAATAAATACTAGAGATAAAAGAGATAAATAAAATGAGATTCGTACTTTTATTCATCTGGAAGATAATTCCCTAAGTAAATAACCAAAAAATGGCCCAACCCATAACTTTTCTAATTTTAATCAGATTTTGAAGTGGCATACTTCTAAAAGTTTGTATTTTAATTCTCTAACAAACTGCATTATTAGAATTTTTTATTTGTTGGCCAATTATTTTTTAAATTTTTATAGCCCAAACCCCTTTTGAAATATATTTTTAAATTCCTCATAAAAAATCTGTATTTATTTATATCCATTAATTTCTTACATTTTCTTCTTAAAATTTCACTTTCTTCAATTAAAAGCTTTTGTGACCAACAAGGCCGCTGTAAATTTCAGTTTCTTTCTGTTTTTACCTGCTCACTTAACGTTTCATCATTTCACTAATTGCAACGATACTTTCTATGCCATCGTGGAATTAATCGGTGTTTCATTTTGCCTAATCTCTGCTTTTCATCTCTTGTTTTTTGGCACAGAAAAAGTTAAATACTTCTTTGTGGCATTGCAGCTAAAGAATGCTGAAGATCTTGAATATCTAACTACTTCCTTGGCTTTAGAGTCACACAAACATTTTAATGTCATAAATTTGAGAGACCACTTCCCCGTGACTTTTGTATAGTCACAACCGATCTCCAAATCTCCGGCTACTGGGTAACTGAAATGAAAGTGTGTGTGCGATACAATCTCAAGAGTTCAGTTCCTGCTCGGCGGCTACTGATTTTGGCCAGCAGCCGAAAACAGAAACGACTGACCCTATAAGCGGTGGATAGATCTCCATGCGAGTGTGTACATATAGACTACATTCCTATCTGATCGAAGCTATGTCACGTGCAGCCGCCGGTTGTGGGATTTTGTGGAACTGCGTTTGGGGAATGATATCATGTAATTTGAGACAATGTGCCGTGAACAATTCATTATGGTAACCGCTGACAGCTGCGCCTTGTTAAGTGATATTCAATAGATTTAAGCCGCAATATCGGGGAGGGGGGGGGGAGGGGGAGGTAGAGGCTTTGTGTGTAGCGCGTGCTTTTTGGCCAGGATTTGTTGGGCGCGAATGGAATGTAAGCCCGCAGCCTTTCACCTGCACTCGCCGCCGACTGTTGCACTAATTGTTGCACAATCTCTAGAGCAGAAGGGGGAGGGAGAGGGGGAA